CCCCCCCCGCCACATAGGGTCAGCTCACCTACATCCGACCCAATCACCAGCCCCGCTACTACACCTGAGAGGTCCCCTGAGCCTGAAGACAAGGGCATGCAGATGGCTCAGGGCTATGCCTCCACCTCAAATGAGATGACATCTTCACCCAGCAATGCCACTATTACTCCTCACCAAGACCTGTCCTTCAAGGGCTCAGTGACTGCAAATGGCAATGACGCTGACATGGTGGACATAATTGTGGACTCTGCTTTCGAGGATGAAGGCCTGCTAGAGTTTTTGAAGAGAAAGGAAGAACTGGCTCTTGGATATAGGAGAGGTGGTTTTGCACCATTATCCTGTCATGATAGGTTCAGTCCTGAGAACCAGTACTTTGTGCTGTGGAAGTTGGGACACGGGATGACCTCAACTGTTTGGCTCTGCAGAGATACCAAGTACGAGGTCTCACACCAAGACATTGGACTATACTGATGTGAATGGCACAGGGATCCTAGTGACCAATCTGGCTTTAAGGCAATCAAAGTCTCCACTGCCGAATGGATTGTCCTCCGTGGCATGAATGATGAGGTCTCTTTTCTCAAGTGAGTCCAGCATCATAATCCCCAACACCCTGGATATGAGCATATAGCACCATTCCAAATGCACTTTATTCATAAAAGCCCTTTTGGAGAACACCTGTGTATGGTGTTCGATGTGCTGGGTCAACCTTTGAAGAGTTCCACTGCTTCCACCTATCCCCTCACCATGCTCAAGCACATTCTTAAGGACAGCCTTTTAGCGTTGCAGTACATACAGGAATGTGGTATCATTCACACTGGTTAGCACCATCTGCCCTCATCCCAAGACACAGATGGCATGCTGACTGCCCTACCTAGATATTAAGCCTGACAATATTCTCATAATGCCTAAGGCTGCTGAGCTGATACCTCTCATTCGGCAACAGATGCTATTCTGTCATCCTACAGGTATCAATATGGTATCCCTCAATTTCCTGCCCTATGAATATATGATTGTCCCATCTGAGCCTCTCACGGTGTCCATGGACTTCTCCCACCCCTCTGTTGCCCTCACTGACTTCAGCACTGGTAAGTCTGCTCCGGACCTGGCATGTAGTAGCATGCTGACTTCCTGGTCTGCCAGCTGTCTGGGCAGGCCAAAACCACAACCTGCGAGGCAAGGTGCAGAGTCTCCCCATGCATGCTCCCAAGGTCATCCTCAATGCCAGATGGAATAGCAAGATTGACATGTGGGGATATGCTTGCTTGGTAGGCTGCAATCCTTGCATCCATCTATTGTTGCTGACAAGGGGCCTGTAGTGCTATGAATACTACACTGGCAAAATCTTGCACATGCCAAGGGATACCAGCAATATATTTCCCAAGGATTTTTTTCTGGCGGAAATGCAGGCATCAATTGGACCGCTTCCTCCTAGTCTGTTCAAAGATGCCATGTTCTATAATGACTTCTTTACCAATGAAGGCAAGCACCTGCCACCTCAACTCAGCCCGCTGACTTGTTAACATCTTCTAGGTATCCTCCACAAATCCGTGAAGGTTCATGGTGGAACCTTGAAAGAGCGCCTGAAGAACGTGGTGCTGGCCCTGTCCAAAGTCGACTGTGACAAGTTCTTGAGTTTCATTCAACCAATGCTTCAGTATAACCTGAGATTGAGACCCATGCCTGGCACCACCCTAAAGCACAGGTTCTTCAAAGGCATTTGATGAACAAGCATAGTTTATCAGGGATATCTATACCTACCCCGATGTTCCCTATTGGCACTCTTTACATTCCGGATTGTACCCTTTTACAATGGAGAGCAATGACATGCAGCTGTGATTCTTGCGCAGTGATTTATTAGTAAATGGTCGATTGTGGCTGTTCGATCAGTCAATCAATTCGCCACTTCTCCAAACCTTCGGCCTTTGCCTGCAGTGTAGTCCAGAGTTCACTCCGGATCCCCCGGCCTCTTTCTTCACCAATCCTGAGATGCCCAGAGCCGCCAAACCTATCGTTATTGCCTCCAATTCCCGGATTTGTCCAGCATGCAAGAAGGCGCTCAACGGTGCTCGCGCGTTGTCTGTACACTGGTTTGCACACCTTGGCTATGCTAAGAAGTGACAAAGGCCTGGGTGGATGAATAATGCCTGAAGAACGGGTGCTGACGGAAATTTGATGTGAACAGGAATGATTGGTGGATTCTTCTCGGGTACAAGAGGGAAGACGGTGCCCGATGACCCTAAACTTCGCTCCCGTCTAGAGTATTGACGGGGTGGGGGGTCATTAGGAGGGGAACGTTAATGCAGCACACGCCCCATAGACCGGGTTGCAAATTCCTGTCAGTGCTGGCTCGTCCCTTCCCCACATCCCTCCCCAAAGCACTGTACATCCTGTTGGTAGGAAAGGAGAGGAAACACGGAGTTAACGGTTGTGTTGTACATTGCCTCATTTCTTAGATTCCCCTTGTACTGAGTGTGTAATTGATTGATTATCGGAGGAGACGGTGTCGGGGCATTCGGCGGTAAAGGAAAGGAAGCGACCCTCCCTTCATCGCCCCACGCGTGACAACCGTCCCAGAGGTGTCCTGCTCGTGATCGACGACGACCACTTAGTACTTGCTCTTTCCTTCGCTCAAAGGGATTCATCTACAAGTCCTTAATACCTAATCTCTCTCTCTTACCACCACCATCCCCTCAATCTATATTCCCGCAACTCTTCATTCACATCCTTTACCTTCTCAAAAAGGCGATTGCATTGCCATACTTTTCCCCGTTTCTCCACGTTCCCTCTGCACCCGCTTCTTGGGGCTTCCTCATCGCCCGATACACCATCTATCACAAGGCTCACCAGGACAATGTCCTCTCTCTCTACCACTCCGGAGCACTTCAAGGCTCCGTCAGGCAAGACGCCTCCCCCTGCTGCGTCCGCTGCCTACTTTAAAAGGTCCGCATTGTTGCATTTTTCATCTTCCTGATCCGTCGCTTACCGCTTTGATATTTCCAGAGCGTGGGAGATACAGGCTGAGGAAAGGATGAACTCGCGCTATCGTCCACCAGCGCTTCGAGCTCTCTCTGGTGAAGGTACTAACCAGTCGGACTCTGGCTCATTGGCGAGCCCGAGTGATTCGGTCAGCACCTCCCCCTCGAGCAACTATCCTCCTGGCTTCAGGAGGGCAAGGGCCGGAACCTTGCCCTCCAACGTCGCACTCGCAGCGGACAACCTATTTGGATCGAGTACCAACCTACCCCAGAGCAGCAGCACTACCTCGCTCGTCGACGTCCCGGCCAGTTCTCCTGTCGCACGACCCAGCCTTCGGCATACCAACTCGGTTCAGCCTCCATCGTCTGATCGATTGAACCGCCTTCGCTCAGGCTCGCTCACTACCCTGCCTTCTGGTCTATCATCGGCGTTTGGTCCGGCTGTCTTTGCTTCGTCCTGGCTCAGCTCCCGGGAATCTGTTGCGCTCGGTGGGACACTGGAACCTGAGTACACCGACCTCCGTCCCCGCATGCAGGCGGAAACCCACTTGAATGATGACTACGGTCATCGTACTCTGGACTATCTCGGCCTCGACGAGGCCCCGACCGTGCGTGCTCCTCCTCCGGCTACCGTTTCTGAGCTCCGCAACCAAGCTCAAGCCGCTATCGCTGGCAGTCTCGCACATCCATCCCGCCTGCGCGCACAGACAGTTTCCAACTTCAACAGGCGTTCGCTGTTGGGCTCTCAGGGTGGGCTGGATTTAGAACCGCAGATTATCGAGCCTGCCCAGGACGAGTACTCTTTGTACCGCGAGGCACAACCGATTACCCGTCCTCGTGTCGATTCTCTCGAAGGTGCCCTCGGTCCTAACCAATTCCTGTACAATAACGCCTACGTCGCCAAGGGGTTCAAACCTCAGCAGCATCTTGCGTCCAGCACGGCTGCGTCCCGCCCGCGTGCGGTTTCAGTCAGCTTGTTGGAAGACAGCCTGCGTACAAACACCTCGCAGCGTCTTGGGACATTGGGCGGTCAAGCCGGTTACCTGAATGAAGGCGGACTGCAACCACCTGGGTTCCTCTCCACTCCCGGATCGGGCTCGAGCACCCCTACGCCCAACTCGATCCTGCGGAATGCACCGTCGGTACACGGTGAAGGGCGTGAGCAAAAATCCACCCTCACCCGACCGACGATCCAGACTGTCGGCGTGCGCTTCCCAGACTCGCAGCTCGAGACGCCCACCCGTACTGGCAGTCTGTTGTCCGTGCCCCTCAGCTCTGGTTCGAGGAGTGTGTCTCCCAAAACGGCGGAAGGAAACAATCAGACCCCCTCCAGGAGCTTGTGGATCGGGAACCTCGATAGTCACATCACTGGCCAAGTATTGGCGAATGCGTTCACGAAGTACGGCCCGATTGAGAGCTTCCGCATGCTCGCAGAGAAGGTATTCAAAAATAGTGGCTCTCATTTGATAATCATTCTGAAGCGCATATAGGAATGTGGCTTTGTCAATTTCGTCGACATATCTGATGCCATCCGCGCTAAGGAGGACGTCCTGGAAACCCAAGGCGGAGTGATTCCTTCCCTGGGAAACTCCCAGCCAGTCCGTATTGGCTTTGGTAAGATTGACAGCGCCCCGTCCACGCCCATGGGTGTCGCGTCTCCCGGAGGCATGCCAGGCATCATGACCCCATTATCAGCTGTGGCGCCACAGTCTGCGGGAGGGATGGAGGCTCAACTCCAGTCCTCGCCTACGAGGGCACTTTGGATTGGCTCGATCCCGTCTACCACAACGCCAGCGACGATCCTGTCCATCTTCAGTCCTTTCGGCCCGATCGAGTCTGCTAGAGTGCTCACGCACAAGAACTGCGGTTTCGGTAAGCATATATTCTTGTTGTGCTGAGGTCTAGTCTGAAACTTACTTGGTTTTAGTCAACTTCGAGCGACTGGATGACGCTGTTTGTGCCAGGAAGGCGTTGAACGGCCGGGACGTGCTCGGTCCAGACGTCGGTGCCATCCGCATTGGCTTTGCTCGTGTGCCGACCAAGGGCGCAGCTACTCCCACCGGACTGGAGAATGTCACTGAAGAGAGTGGCTTCATCTCTGGCCCGTCAGGTGTCGGTGACATGAGCATCGGTGCTGCCATCTATGCCTTGCGGAATATCAAGGGTGCTACGGCTGTCCCGACGGACCAGCAGGTCCTTGGAGGATCCGTGGAAAATTACCGCTCCAACTTGCTGCTTGATATGGTCAGTTTGGGGTTGAACCAGCCGACTGATACCGCAGAGGGTATCAAGAGCGGCCCGCTTGTTACTGAGCAGCAGATGATAATGCGTGAACTGAGCGATGGCATCCCTTCTGAGCCTTATTTGCAAGCTATGGCTGGTAAGTCATGGAGATTTGTGGAATATTTCGAGGCTTATCAGATCCAGATTTCCGCCCTCCGACCATGTACTACACTACTATTCCCGCTGTTGCCGAACGCGGCAATAACAGGCGTTGGGATGCTACCAAGCTCCGCGACTTGCGGAAGAAGCTTGATGCGAGTGCTCTTACGCTTGAGGAAGTCGATGCTACCGTTACAGAGCTGTTAGACGGTGAGATCGTCGAGCTGGCTTCTGACTGGCTCGGTAACACTGTGAGTTGTTTTGACAGTATCAATTATTTCATGTGACTGACATGGTTCATCTCAGGTCGTGCAAAAGCTGTTCGAGAAGTGCTCGCTGGAGCCCAGGCTCCGTATGCTTGAGCGCCTCGCACCGCACCTTGCCACCATTGGCATCCACAAGAACGGCACATGGGCAGCGCAGAAGATTATTGACTGCTCGAACACGCCGGAGGAGATAGCGCTGATCTCTCAAAACTTGCGCCCATACACTCCGCCGTTGTTGCTTGACCAATTTGGCAATTATGTCGTCCAGTATGTTACTTTTCACACACAACAGTCGACCTGTGCTGAACGACTAAAGATGCTGCTTGCGTTTTGGTGCACCTGGCAACGATTTCATTTTTGATGCCATGGTGGATCGTCTTTGGGAGATCGCACAAGGTCGATTCGGCGCACGAAGCATGAGGGCCTGCTTGGAGAGTCCGCACATCACCATTCACCAGCAGGTTTGTAGAAAAAATCATCCCCATGATGCCCTGTTGATCTGCTTTATAGAAACGCTTGGCTACTGCAATCATCTTGAACTCCATTCCTCTTGCGACCAACCCTAACGGAGCGCTCTTGTTGACCTGGTTACTGGATTCGTCCGGCTTCCCGGCCCGTTACAGGCTTCTGGCGCCCCGTTTCACGCCGCATCTGTCGCATCTCTGCGCGCACAAGCTTGCGTCGCTCACTGTTCTACGCATCATTAATCAGAAGCTGGAGCCGGAAGCTGCCACACAGATTCTCCACGCTTTGTTTTACTCGCCGAATGACCACGTCCTTAATGACGTTCTCAGCGACCAGGTCAACGGTGTTGCAACTATTCACAAGATCATAACCAGCGCATTCATTGACCCGAACGAGCGCGCCGTGTATATGGAAGCGACCAAGCGCGTCCTCATCGAACTGAAGGCGACCGGTACTCAGGCTTACCGTCGCCTGGTTGAAGAAGTAGGTTTGCCCGTCGCCCCGGTTCCCGCTCCGCCTTTCTTGTCCAGCCCTCAGGCGTCCAAAACTCCGCAGACTGCAATCGGTCAGAGCCGGGTGACTAATGGTTCTGGTCCAGCGACTCCTATGGGCTACGCTGGACCTGCCGACCCTTCGTATATCTCTGCATTCCAAGCCATGCAAATTTCAGGAGCGGGAAGCCCTCTTGGTTTCATGGCGGCCAATGGTCTTCCATCCCCGCAATCACGTCTACAATTAGATCCTCGATATCAGCAAATGCCCGCAATCCAAGTCGTCACATCTCAACTGGCCAACCCGACGTTCTCTCCCTCTACTGATCCTTTCAATCCCTTCGCCCTGCGCTCTCCCGATCTGACTCCCGCTTCCCCACCAAGGGCTGTGAGGAGGAACAATAGCGGACACAACAGCAATAACGCAGCCACGTCCTCTGCCGGTGTGTACATGCAGCAGGCCAGTCTGCCCAGCCTCACTCAAGCTGGATCTGGCTTGATGGGTCTCGGGCAGGCTCAATTCATTCCAGCAAACCTTCCTCCACAGCAGGTCGCATATATGTTGCAGGAGATGCAAATGATGCAGAACGGGGCGTATCAAGCTTGATTCTGTTCACGACCTCATAACGATCCCACAACGCATCGATAACGCAGTCTCCTTGGGTATCTGGGCACCTTACTGGGCTGTATTCCTTGATGGCTTTCCTCACCACGCACTGATTGCAGACAAACAATTCTTGTTTTTCACTCCCGCAAATTCCTCGCAACTCCGGCACCTTGTTCCATTCCTCTCTTCATTCCCCGCGTCCCCCTCCCTTCGTATACACGTGCGGCCAGTCCGTATCTGTCAAACTGCTTTGCTTGTTATTCGTCTAACCGTAACGTATGAAAAATATGCATGTTTGGCTTTCCTGTATTACTATACATCTGCTCTAGCAGGTAATATACCCTCCCGTAGAATTGCCCTAACAATCCGAGTCTAGTCTACGCCGACTTGTTAGGTGGGCTGGCCCAAACTGGACCATTCGCTCCAGATTGTTGAACCTGTGGATCTAATTCAGTATACACGGGCATGGAGGTGGCATCTACTCACCTGCTCTATTTGCCGTTGCAGTGCATTCTTCTGGTGTGCGATCCTTATCTCATCCGCCTTCCTCTTCAGATCAGGCGAGAGTTGCTAGGTGCAGAGTTTGAGTAATACAGCCAGATCCCTCAGGTAGGTCCCAAGCTCACGCTGTAGAGTTGCTCGGGAGTCGGTACTGTGGCTGTCGTAATGTCAGCATCGAACGAGTGGACCGCAGTGGCAGCATACTTTTCATAAGGACATAGCCCGTGCCGACGACTGCGTAAACAATACCAGTCAGTGACGTTATCGATAGGGACGCAGAAGCAGACGCACTGATCGTGGACCACATCACAAAGCGGCCCCAAGCAATATTGGACATGGTGGTAGAGGTCTAAGGTGGTATCAGGTCGTCTAGCGGTTGTCTCTGCGCCACAGCGAGTAGAGCTCTTTATATATGGAAGCGGGTTACGTGTGAGGGATCCTTGTGGTCGTCGACGTCAGCTAATGTCAGCCACGGAGGGCGATGTCAATCTCGGCGTTGTTGCCTCCGATAATCGCTCTTGTTTGACAGCCGTCCATCCTACGCATGCTTCGCGAAATCTTTTGCACTATTTTGTGGATATGGTATGTGGCACTGTGGTGTATAGGTCTGATAGGATGGAGAACAGCGTGAGCATGTTTCGTGCCGTCTCATGATTGCTAAGCTAAACAGAAGGACAGGCGAAAACAATATAGTAACCGACCTCGCTCACCGCTCTCCTCCAGTCCTGCGGATGCGGTCCCAGGCGTGTCAATCTTACGACCCCTGAAAGGCCTTGATACGAATTTGTTCGAGAACCTCGAGTCATCTATGGTGCAGGAATACCCGAAGTATGAGGTCATCTTCGCGGTTGAAAACGAGAGCGACCAGGCGTTAGGAGTCGTGCGTGATGTGATCGCTAAGCATCCACATGTAGACGCGAGGGTAAAAATTGGTGCGTTCGCGGCGTTCGCGTGTGCTGGTCTCCTCGTTGCTGTATTTCTGACTGTAAATCGCAGGGTATGATGCCGTCGGAGTGAATCCCAAGGTCAATAACTTGATACGACCCTACCGTGAGGCGAAGCACGATATCCTATGGGTGATCGACTCCAACGTTCAAGTCGCGTCTGGAGCGATGGGTCGTGCGGTCGATGCTCTCTGCAAGAACAATCACAAGCCTAACGCGAAACGTATCGGCCTGGTGCATCATGTTCCCTTTGCATGGGCATCAGAACGACCTTGGGGATCACAGATCGAGGAGGCATTCCTAAATACCAATCATGCAAAGATGTATATCGCCCTGAACGTCCTCGCCGTCGACTCTTGCGTGATAGGCAAATCGTGTATGTACCGACGATCCGACGTGGAACAACTGACGGGGACGCTCAAACCTGCGAGCAAGCTCAAGGATCCCAACATGAAGCGCGGACTAGAAGCATTTGGCCGCTTTCTGGCAGAGGACAACATGATTGGTGCAGCGATATGGCATGAACTCGGGATGCGACACGACATGTCGTGTGATGTCGCCAAAAATGCTATTGGCAATATGGACCTCGCCGCATACTTCTGGAGGAGAGTACGATGGGTGCGCGTCCGAAAACATATGGTCCTATCGGCCACTATCATCGAGCCATTCACGGAATCAGTACTGCTTGGAACTCTCATGGCGTGGAGCCTTCGCTCCATGCTTGGCTTTCCAATGGTTGTTGTCCTCATATGTCACACTTTGGTTTGGCTGCTTGTCGATTTGGATGTATATGCCGCACTGGCAGGCCACGCCGTCCCAGCTTCCATCCGTTTAACATTCATTCGAGCATGGTTTTTCAGGGAGCTCCTTGCGCTACCTATCTTCCTCTATGCCGTGTTTGGAAATGAGGTTACATGGCGAGGACGGACATACCGGGTCTTGTCCAATTCGGAGGCACAGCGGGTCGAGCGCCCTTTGAAATGGTGGGGCCGAGAGAGACGGTCGGACGAGAGTGCTGGTCAAACCATTCAACCGCTAATGGACGATGTTTCTTAGATAGACGCTAGCAATTGCTAATACGAAATACTTCATCTCAGCTGGATGTGTCAACTTCGGCGAGAATCTCCAGGGCACGTAAGGGGCATTATGAGTTCAATTGGTCCAGCAAATACTAAAAGACTCGGAGACAATCATAAAAGAACAGAACAAACTCGGTACTAATAACAAGCTGTCAACAAAAAATTACTCCAGCTCTCAAATCCAGTGATGGGTGCCATCACTCTGGTTTCGTCGCTTCAGTTTTCTTCGTAGCTTTGGCCTTCTTGGGTGCGGCAGTGGCCTATATAATATCCTTTGAGTATACGTTGTTCCCCAAAATGAGAGTCATACCTTCTTGGGAGCGGCACCCTTGGTCGCAGGCTTAGCCTTGGGATTGGCAGCCTTCGTTGCCACAGGCTTTTTGCGTTATTAGCCAAGTGAAGCTGTGTCCCACACAAAGCCGGGAGAGCTTACCTTCTTCGTGGTAGCAGCCTTCTTGGGTGCTGCGGTCTTGGCTGTCTTCTTCGGTGCCGGCTTCGCCGGCTTCACAGGTGCTTTCTTGGTGACAGCTGGTTTCGCCTTGGTTACAGCAGGCTTGGTTGCAGGCTTGTTCTGCATCGCGTCACGAATTGGTCTAACCGTAGTGCAAATCCCTTACCTCTTTCGATTCAGACTTCTTCACCTCAGTGGCCTTCTTGCTGGCGAGCTTGACTTTGCCGGAGAGACCTTAGGCAATGACATTAACGAACATAAACTTATAATATTCCGAGTGTGTGACATACCGTTGGGCAAGACAAACTTGCCGGTTTCATGACCACGAGTGATAGCTTTGCTGATATTTGTGACATTGCTAGCATTCATCTCGATTTTGAACTTCGTTTCAAGGAACCTAATTTAGGCTCATTAGTCCCTGCTAGCACAAAGCTATGTCGATTGAGCAATTACTTCTTGATAGTTGGACGAGATACTCCGCTGCGGGCCTCCTCCGGGTGCTCAGTAATGCATTCCTGCAAAGAAGAAAGGTGAGTCAGTGGAATGTTCCTCCTCAAACCAAAGGAGAATATATAAGGGCTGTGGCGCAGCTGCAAGAAGAGCAAGTCACGTGACAAATGTTTATACCCCATTTCGACCATTTCCTCAACCCCGAATTCAGAAATAACTCAAGAAAATGCGAAGAAACGATCTTTTAGATATGTTTCGATTGAAACAAGTAGAAGAAAGACCGGAGTTGTGGCAAAAATGCCGTCAGCAGTTCAAGGGGTCATGCGATAAGACATCAGCATCGCCCCTTTCACGTCCATGAGAAGCCTGGGTCAGGATTATGCATAAGAATCAACGGTTCTGGAGGAACCACAAGGTGGATTAATTGTGCATCCATCTTGGGGTCGGGTCCATAGACGAAGAAAGATGCAAAAGGTGTATGAGACTGATGCTTACAGCGATCATATCGACGAACGAGGGGTGCGTGGAGGTCTTAGCGGAGGCAGAGTTCCCGCCAGCAGGCTTGGCTGCCTTAGTCTTTGTAGACTTGGTCTTAGTAGCCGACATATTAGTAGTGGTTCAAGATCAAGAGAATCTGGAGAGGTTTAGATAAGTGCCGAAAGAGTTTGAGCCAGCAAATGAGCGCGAGGTGGTCGTTTGGGCGAGTGGGGTGCAAGATGGGAGGGTCGCAACTCGCGCGTCGAGCGCCCTGGTATATAAGGCCCGTCTGGCCTGCCTTGCCTTGAGCGTCACGTGCCAAGCGTAAATCTCTCGACTCCTAAAACAGCATGCAGTGGCCTGGCAGGTTAAGAGACGAGTGACTATTTTGTTTGAATGTTGTGTCCGATGTACCAGGCAGTAGTTCCCAGGTATGCGGGACCCAGGGCAAACATCGCCCGCTTTGAGGCAACTCGTCGTCGTCGTCAGGTCCTGCCCGTTCCCACACCAGACCGCATCAGAAGGACATCACAATCAACCATTAGATACAAGACAACATTTGGATTATTGTAGATGCATTAGAAGTGTCGCCTGAGAATAGACCTTTTAGTTTTATAAACCATCTTAAGTCGCCGTGAAGAAGGTGTCGCTTGCCTTCTATTCCCTCCGCGCCATATAGCACCCTGGCGGAGTTTGAACCGGACCCATTCACCGCCCTTCCGGAGCCGCGAGTCCTCCATGACAGGGTAATGTTTAGCTCGAAACTAGTCTTGGTCAAAGAATATTCCTGTATCTTGCTCTGCTCCGTTGTCGCCTTTTGGTTCAAGTTATAAAGCCTCCTTTCGCCACTCATTCTTGTCCACGAACATGATCATTCCTCTATCTGAAGAGAAAGACAGCACAAACAAACAAGATGGTTCGATGGAGGGGACGTCGGTGCCCGATGCTAACTTGACGTCTATTGTGATGCAAATTATTGTGCGGAGGGATCTAATGGATGTCAGTCTTTTGGTGCCACGTGGTGGTCCGCCCTGAACCCGTCATTCTCAGGTCGAAAAATGGGGAGTTGGTCCTCTAATTGCGCAAGGCGCACATGCGGCTACAGCGGTGCGGGTCTATACGTTCCTGTTAGTCCTGACTCATAATGACCTTAGGTGTTGTATGAGTCGCGAGATTCCGCTGAAACCCAGTTGTACTTGGCTGATCTTCATAACATGAGAAAGGTTGAACCTTCTTTGACAATTCTCTCGGTTGCTCATGCCTCTCTATGCAGGTAGTTCTACAGGTACGGGTTGTTCTCAGTTCATAATATGCGAATTGATCCAGTCCTAGACACCAGATGCGGACACACTCAACAAGCTGCACAACCTGCTCTCAAGTGCAACCCCCCCAGTTCCACACCACATGTGGCTGGAGCAGCCCGAAAATACGCCTACCTGTATCGCGCTTGCACCGAACAGAAGAAGTAGCGCGATCAAGAAAGCTTTGGATAAAGCCAAATGCGGATTGTGGCAAGGATAGGTTATGCACATACCTCGATTACGTACACCCACGCATCTCATCCTTCTTATGGAAACGATGGCGACGGTCGTCCAGGTTGATTTATTAGAAGATGTGTTATCACGTGGAGGTCTTCCCATTCTGTTGGAGACAGTCTGCCTCGTGCGTGCAGAACAAAGCGCGTTTCAAGATGTACAGTAGCAAAGTCATAGTGCCAGAGGGGGGTTTGAGATCTGCTGGCGGCGCTGGGAAAATCCAATAAAGCACATGTGCAATGTTGAAACACTTGTTGTAATACAAGAAGAAAGCTATATATGGGGTCATAGGAGAGAAGCACGGTGTGGTTACGAGGATGACGGACCCACGGGACATAGAGGATGGTAAGGGAGTTGTCCAGTAAGAGTAGGATTTTGGTAAAGAAGACGGTCGTTGGCTTGAATTGCACCGAGTATGGGGATATGCAGGGAGAGAGAAAGGAGCATGAACAAGAAAAGCTGGGTGACGGAAGTAGGAAAAGAATGTGAGCAGACGTGAGCAGTTGAGATCTACACATGGGCCGAGACAGACAAGAGATAAGTCGTGGAAATAGGAGTAAGACTGGAGTGCATGGCAATGACATGGGGAACGTGAATGGCGTGGGCTGAGGCGTCAATCGTTTAGGGCTACGGTGGCAACGAGTCCCCGCTCGTGGCCGTGGCGCTCCGTTGAGGGAGTTCGATATTCTCTTGCATCGCCTCGTCCAGCCGTTCGTCTAGCAGATATGCATTATCTTCGGTGTCGGGAGATGCGAGGGGTACATATTCCGTCTCCCCGTCCTCGCTCATCTCCGTGCCCATGGTCTGCGTCCGGGAAATGGGTGTCCGGGTGCTGGACCCGGCTAATGCTTGGTTTATGTTAATCACGGGCGCAGGCGCTGCAGGTTCGGTAGATATAGGCACAGAGGCGGACGCAATAGACGTAGGATTCCGCGGTGGGATTGACGAGGAACCGGCCCCCTCATCGACGGTGGTCGGATTGAGGAATGTCGTAGCAGCCAAAGCAGCGGCTTGATGGGTTGGATTTCCGTTTGTAGAATCTACCAATGAGCTTGGGCGACTTGATCTCAGGGGTGATGGCATGGAGGCTGTGGGTGAGATAGCCGGTCCACCTGTGGCAGAGTCACCAGATGGTCGAAGAGGGCTGCCGTTAGTCCTTGGGGGTGTACCAGTCAGAATGGAAGCTCCAGATAATCGGTGAACGTGGGTGGGTGCAGAGGAGCTGATCGCAGCATCTCCTGACAAATCTACACGGGCAGGAATCGCGATGGGCGTTCTTGATCCACTCACGGGAGCAGACGAAGGCATAGGCGGCGCAGCTGGATCAGTATTTGTCCCACCGGTTGAGGAACCTTCCCCGCCGTTTGCTCGTTGTTGTCTGGCTTCTTCCTCCTGTTGTCGTCGTAGAGCCTGTTCATGCTCAAGCAAAGACAATCTCATCGCTTCCATAACCATTAGCTGGGAAGATATTAGCAAGGCCTCCCGCCATCCATAATGGATTACACTGACCTCTTCTAGATCCTGCCCTGCCATACCCATGCCGCCCAATAATTGACTGAGCTCGTGTCTGCGCCGTCGACTACCTCGGGTCGAACTGTCATCCGTCTCGACAATGGGGCCAGTGTCTCCCATGCCATCTGTGTTTATCTGAACCCGTCCCGAGGTAATGCCAACAGGAATGAGCCGATCTCCCACCTGCCGCATGATGATACGGCGATTAGCGCGGCGTGCGACTGCAGCGTGCACCGCGGCAAGTTTTGCTTCCCAGTCCGGCCGTATTTGATCTAGCGTGCTGACGTTAGCGAAAACTATGGGAAAGAGCTCCAAGCGCCCACCAATTGTTACGACACCCGGTGCCGTGTGACTGAGCGATTGACGTCTTTGCTTTGCCATAGGCGGTGGAGGCGCAATAGAACCAGACGAGCTGACCTTGTAGAGATCGGGCGATGGCTTCAAAACGAACGCAATCATTGTCAACATCTTCGCTTCTTCCAATGCAATTCCAACTCACATAACCCTCACTCCCTATACCAGCTCGCCACGCCGGAGCAGCGTAGATGACACCAAAGTTATCTTGGACACAATACGGACAAGCGGCAGGCTCCGACACTAGATGTTGCGGTGTGGGGTCAGCACGCTTGATCTGCACAAAACATTCTGTACAAATGTAATGGTCACAGCATCGGGTCCTATTGATGTTCGGTGGGTAGTACTGCGGCCGGCGTTTATCAGTACACGTAAGCTATGGTGAAATAGGGCAGAGCGCACTAGAAAGCAGATGGGACATTCTATTGCGCCCCGGTACAACTGTGCTTCCGGTATCTTCATTGTCTGTGGTCTCAACCGCTCGCTTTGTCTTGTACTGACAGAGGAACGCGAAAGCGTAACTGACAGAATGTCTGATGCCGCATCGGACGTCGGAGAAGCTTCAGTTGGTGGCACCTTGCGCGCTGCCATAATCTGCTCATCCGTCATCTCATCATCATAGTCCTCCAGCGGCCAGTAGAAAGGGGCAAGCTTGCGTTCCTTGATAAGCCGAGAGACAACCTCGTGGTTCCAGTCCTGCGGTCCAGTGTAAGTACCAAAGGGGCGTGTCGAACCAAAGTCGATGTGGTTCTCAGTCCGCTCTTTGTGTGTTGAAGCTGAGTTTCCCATCCTTGTATATTGACTCGCCGGTGACCCAGGCAGGGGGGAGGAGGAGTAGCGGGGAGTGGTGGTGAGGAGAGGAGGAGGGGGGCAGCACTACTGCGAGCGGTAAGAGGTTGGGCGCGCGACTGGAGGCGTGTGTGACCGTCTCAATGACAGCATGCGACGGAAGCAATTAATGGGATTGCCAACTCCCCGAAGTCTGGTCCACCATCTCAGCCTCTTCGTCTCTCCTTGCCCACCATGCCCAGCCAATTATCTCTTCAGAATTTTAAAGTCGTTTATTCTATTTGCAAACCTGTCTAAGCCTTTGAATTCATCACCAATCCTGGAAGCAGCCTTGGCTTCCAATGATAGGGGTTTCTGCAATCTGAGCCCGATTATCGCGCAAGAAGGTAACAACCAGGTAACATAGGGGCCTTCTATATCTCGACCAACTCTTCTTCAGACCGACTTTCCTATTGTAATAGACACATCTCGCCCCTCACAAGTCTTGTCACCTTCTGAAAATGAGGACAATCCAGCACACTCATGCGTCAGCACTCAAAGCACTCCGCAGCCCTAGTCAGCATCATTACCCATGAAGCTGTGCTTCTCTCCATTTCTTTCACAAATTGGTTTGATCACGCCGAAGCCATCAAGACAGCCGCAGAATTCGGCATTTTACAAGGACCGTGATTGCGGTTTCCTCCGATGTCGTCTCCGCATAATGAAGTAATGTGACGAAACCATCCGCACATCTAAATCCGGTAGGTAAGGAAAGTACGGTGCCAAGCCGGGTTTTTTTTTGCAGGTGCAGCGCCTGTATTCGACAGCGAAGAAGTCGGAGATATCCCAGATCTGCAAAATTCAGCTTCGCACCATCAGCAACGATGGCGTTATCTGAAGGAGAGGCTTCCGTACCCCTACCCCCGCGTACCATTTACACATTCCCCTGCCCTGTTCATCGTCATTCGCAATGTTGACCCTTTGCTATTCCACCTTGCATTGATTAATGATTTTCACATCCTGCCACGTAGCTCTTTGCCCAGCTTACCAACGCCTCGGAAGTGTGCCTGCTCTTGGCTGCCCCGGGCGGCTGTGTCAGCCTGAGAGGGAATCTCCACGTCGTCGCGCGCCAAAACTTCTGGCACCGTCGGCGTGGCCGTAGACATATAGATTCCCTGTCCCGAATATCCACCAACCGTTCGCACTCATCCTCCTTAGAGCTCTAGGTTAAGACTCGCTCCTTATAATTTATCCGACTCGGTGCTTTGTATCTGGCTTGCTACCATAAAGTATATCCAGGCTATGGAGGGAGCGTGGACAGAGACGCCGGAACGCGTCCTCGCCCATTTCTCGACGAAGCGTGAGTTGGGTTTATCAGAGGAGCAAGTGCGCAAGCATGCAGCAGTATACGGGCGCAACGGTACGTCTATTGTCTCTTGCTCAAATACCATTTATCCTGATTTGTCGTTGACAGAACTTCCTGAGGATCCACCAACTCCATTATGGGAGCTTATCCTCGAGCAGTTCAAGGACCAGCTCGTCCTTATCCTGCTCGGGTCCGCAGCCGTCTCTTTTCTCATCGCCGTAGTTGAGGGTGGGGGCCTGACAGAGTTTGTGGAGCCCCTGGTTATCCTGCTCATTCTGGTTGCGAATGCGACAGTTGGTGTGGTTCAAGAGACGCAGGCAGAGAGTGCAATTAGCGTGAGTGACACATGTATGCATCGTCAGACCTCTGAACTAAGCACATACGCAGGCTTTAAGCGCGTACTCTCCGGACGAAGCAAAGGTTCTGCGCGGCGGTGAAGTTAGGAAAGTCCGGGCGACAGAACTCGTTCCGGGTGACATCGTCAGTATCCACGTAGGTGACAAGGTGCCTGCGGATTGCCGAATCCTCGACATCTCGTCCAGCAGTTTCCGGATAGACCAGGCCATCTTGACTGGCGAGAGCCAGAGTGTTGGAAAGGGCGTTGAGATTGTGAAGGATGAGAGGGCGGTCAAACAGGATCAGACAAACATGGTTTTCTCAGTGTGTTTACTATCTATAAATGTGGCTGCACAACCAACTGACTCCTTTTTAGGGTACAACTGTCGTCAGTGGACAAGCATTTGCCATCGTGGTGAACACTGGCAGCAAGACCGCCATTGGTGATATCCACCAGTCCATCACGTCCCAGATTGCCGAAAAGACACCCTTGAAGCGCAAGCTGGACGATTTTGGTGACATGCTCGCCAAGGTCATCACCGTCATCTGCGTCCTGGTCTGGCTGGTCAACATTCGGCACTTCTCTGACCCGTCGCACCATGGGACACTCCGCGGCGCAGTCTATTACTTCAAGATTGCTGTCAGTTTGGCCGTCGCTGCTATTCCAGAGGGTCTGGCTGCTGTCATCACCGCATGTTTGGCTCTGGGAACGAAGAAGATGGCCAAGAACAATGCGATTGTCCGTAATTTGCCAAGTGTCGAGACCCTGGGTTGCACCAACGTCATCTGCTCCGATAAGACTGGAACTTTGACCACGAACCAGATGAGCGTCGCGAAGGTGTGTCAATTACTAAAACTTTGGTTTCATGTCTGACACATTTTATAACAGTTTGTTATGGCGACCGAAGCTGGGACTGTACAATATGTAGTCGAAGGCACCACATATGCGCCGGTCGGATCTATTGCAAGAGCAGATGGTGTCATCATCGAAAAGTCCGTTTTCACCACCGATGCCTTCAGCAAGCTCAGCACCATCAGTTCCTTGTGTAACGAAGCTACCGTTGTCTATCACGAGGCAAGTGTTATTCTTTATGCAGCTTATTTCGATTTCTAACGGAGATTTCAGCATCAGAACCACTATACCAATGTTGGTGAGCCTACGGAAGCCGCTCTCAAAGTGCTCGTGGAGAAGTTGGGCTCTTACGACGACAGTCTCGCACCGTCTCTATCCTCCTTGAACACCAAAGCACGCACTATGGCAGTAAACCAGGTTTACCAGCGCGACTACAAGAAGCTCCTCACTTTTGAGTTCTCCCGAGACCGCAAGATGATGTCTGTTCTGGTTCGCCGGGCAGATGCCCCTGCAAGCGAGCCGGCTTCTATTCTGGTCAAGGGAGCTCCTGAAGCTGTTCTTACACGGTGTACAACTGTGCAATTTGGTGATTACATCGCGCCTCTGACGGCTGACCTTCGGGCCAAACTCATGGAAGAGATGCACGAGTACGGCAAGCAAGGGTTGCGGACACTCGCATGCGCCTATGCCGAACTCGCAGACAGTGACGCTCTTCACTACAAGACAGAAAGCACGGCCGACTACTCCCGTTTCGAACAGAACCTCACCTTCGTTTCGATCGTCGGTATGTTGGATCCCCCCAGACCGGAAGTCAAGAACGCTATCGCTAAATGTCGCGCTGCGGGCATTCGTGTCGTTTGTGTTACCGGAGACAACAAGTCAACCGCCGAGACCATCTGCAGGCAGATTGGTATTTTCGGCGAGACTGAGGACCTTACTGGAAAGAGTTACACTGGTCGCGAATTTGACTCACTCACGCATGACGAGAAGATCCAGGCGGTACAACGCGCTGGTCTGTTTTGCCGTACGGAGCCCACGCACAAGAGCCAATTGGTCGACCTTCTTCAAGGTCTCGGCCTTGTAGTTGCCATGGTTTGTTTTTAAGCATGAATTGCGTGCGTTACTGACGGGTGACCTAGACCGGAGATGGTGTTAACGATGCCCCTGCCTTAAAGAAGGCAGACATTGGTGTAGCCATGGGCAGTGGAACTGATGTTGCGAAGCTGGGTGGGTTTCTACATATTCTGAGCAGATAGGACAGCTCCCGCTGACTTTCAAAAAATAGCGGCCGACATGGTGCTCGCGGACAGCAACTTCAGCACGATTGAGCAAGCAGTCGAAGAAGGAAGGCTCATCTACAACAACACCAAGCAGTTCATTCGTTATCTCAGTTCGTGACCAAATTCTGGTCTATCTTCGCTCTCTCTAACGTAACGTAGTTTCCTCCAACATTGGTGAAGTTGTCAGCATTTTCTTGACGGCACTACTCGGCATGCCCGAAGCTCTTATTCCGGTTCAACTGCTCTGGGTCAACTTGGTGACCGATAGTTTGCCTGCAACAGCACTTGGATTTAATCCGCCGGATACCTCCATCATGCGTGTACCACCCCGTGATAGTCGCGAGCCACTTGTCGGCGGTTGGCTGTTCTTCCGGTACATGGTTGTCGGCACTTACGTTGGCTGCGCGACTGTCTTCGGCTATGCTTGGTGGTTCATGTTCTACAGTCAAGGACCACAGATTTCTTGGTATCAGCTTGTCAGTGCCATGATATTACCGTGCCGAGATTTATGCTGACCATTCTCAAGACGCATTTCCACCAATGCTCCTCGCTCTTCCCGGATGTGGGGTGTGAGATGTTCACGAACGATATGGCGAAGAGTGCAACCACCATAAGCTTGTCCATTCTTGTGGTGGTAGAGATGTTCAACGCCATGAACTCTTTATCCGAGAACGAGAGCTTGCTCCGCCTACCTTTGTGGAAGAACATGTATCTCGTCGCGGCTATCGCGCTAAGCATGATATTACACGTTGGGATTGTTTACATTCCATTCTTCACTGTGTGTACTGTTTCCTTTACATGACGTATATCCACTGACCGACTGATGCAGGATTTGTTCGCTATCATGCCGCTAGATTGGGAGGAGTGGAAGGCAATTCTCCTCATTAGTGCTCCTGTTATTGTGTTGGATGAAGTGATGAAGTTTGTGTCTGCTACCTTCGTTGCACCACCAGCCAAAATTAAAGTAGATTGACCATGTAGACATTAGATATAATGCATTCGTGGATTACTGCTACATACGAGTTCCTTATTGTTATGGTTTTACCGCTTCTTCGGGGCGTCAACATAGGCAGAAGTCCAATATGCCTTGGAGAGATCAGGTGCCTGCATAGACTGTGAACAAAAGCGTCTCACAAGAAGCCTGGGTATTCCCGAGTCGTTCGCATCGGTAGTTTGCCTGCCCCTAGCGGGTGCGACAGTGGGAGAATTGAAGCGCTCTGCCAGGCGGTTAAGCACCTCCACGTCAACGCTGTAGTCCTTTGCGAGATTCGCTAAATCTGCTTGTGTCTTGGCAGATTTTCTTTCGTTTAGCATATCTGTTACAGCTTGCACAGGTAACCGATTTCGTTGCGGCACTTCAGAAGCCTCTTCTGTAGCTTGTCGGGTTTGAAAGATCTTGGCTATGCGTGCAGATTGCGCCTGCGATGGAGTCTTTCTAGGCCATTTATCACCTGAGATGAACGGACGTACTGTCTGGAACGGCATATTTTGGGGATTGACAGTGACTGGACCGATTCGGTTAAGTTGGGATAGCAGATGGGGATCTTGAGCATCCTGTTTTATAACTGCGATTACCAATGAGACATGAAGCCAGAACGATGCTGAGACAACTGACAGTCATCCTTGATTGCGCTGGCTCTGCCAACGGTGCTTGGCCGGGCCCGAGCAGCAGCTTCTGTTGACTGTGTTGTAGCAGCCGCCCAGGTCGGGGGTGTTTTGGTCGCGGTTTGAGCTGTCTGACGAACAGCTTTAGAAGAAGAAGCTCCCATAATTTTGGGCGGGTGGTGACCGGAGGAAAGAACAATGATGCCGTAATGCGATGATAATGCGGAAGCACCACGCCCTTTTTGACGCGCTTTCAGGGTAGCGCGTCTCGTTGATGCATGCGAACTTCAGATTTATACTTGCGATTACCAGTGCGAAACCTGCTAGACTTCATTATATCTTGGATAAATCTTCCACTTTAATATCTTTGAGAGGAATGGCTACGCGGACGAAACGGAAAGCGACTGAGAAAGTTGTATACGAACTCTCTTCCGATGATGATAGCATTCCTCCAACACAAGTAACGTCTCCACACAAGGCAATAGACCAAGTTGGTTGTCGGCATTCTACGTCATTCCACTCCATCTCTCGTCTAGAGGATCATCAAGGTGACCTACTTAAATGGTTTGATACCTCCAAACACGTCAGAGGCATGCCTTGGCGGAAGGAGTACGATTCCACCTTGAATGATGAGGAGCGAGCTCAGAGAGCATACGAGGTACAAAGGACTCCATCCAGTCTCTTGAAGCTCACGCAATTGTAGGTCTGGGTCTCGGAGATTATGCTCCAACAGACTCAAGTTGCTACTGTGATACCCTATTACAATCGGTGGATGGAACGGTCAGCCTGAGTGTTGTACAATAGTACCCTGGCAGCACTAAAATGACGAAAGGTTTCCTACCATGAAAGATTTGGCTGAGGCTGATCAAGAAGATGCCAATACCATTTGGAAAGGTCTTGGATATTATCGTCGAGCAAAGGTCCATTTTGCGCGTTTGTTATTTTCGGGCCCAATCTGATAGTTTTAGCTCCTCATGGAGGGGACCAAGAAGGTTGTCGAAGAATTCGAAGGGAAATTTCCGGAGGATGCTCAGACGGCCTGGAAAGCAGTTCCTGGAGTAGGCCGATACACAGCTGGTGCGTTTTCATGTCTTGACCATTCTTTAAGCTCACAGGTTCTGTAGGAGCTATTACATCTATCGCCTATAACACAAAGGCGCCTGCAGTGAGTCTTTTTATCACAGCACACCACTTTTGTCTCACCAGTATTTAGATAGACGGAAACGTACAGCGGCTGCTAAGTCGACTCTTAGCGATACACGCGAATTTGAAGTCGAAGCAGACAGAAACAATACTGTGGAATGCAGCCGACGAGCTGGTCAAAAAGGTCGATAGGGCGGGTGACTGGAATCAAGCCCTTATTGAGCTTGGCAGCACTGTGTGCAAACCGAGAGATCCGAACTGCGGTGGTTGTCCGCTCAGGACCTCTTGCGCTGCATGGCTGGAGACTCAGGTAGTCATACCTGCAGACTTCTGGACGGTACTGACATTCACCCCAACAGGGTCAGCTATCAGCACCTCTCGTCAATGATATTGAAGATGCATGTCAAATTTGCGAGCCTTTTCCACCGGATCCACGAGACGGCGTAACTCGCTATCCCATGAGCATCGAACGGAAGAAGGCTAGAGAGGAGGCGAGCGCGGTCAACGTCATCGAGTGGAAGAGCAAGGGAGACAGCTGGTTCTTGTTCGTAAAGCGACCCGAGAAAGGTAATGATCAAGGCATGCTATGAGACTCCCAGAAGATCTGATCCATATTTAGGTTTGCTCGGTGGGCTCTGGGAATTCCCGACGCTCGATCTGGCAGATACGTCTCCCTCTACAGATACCCTGCTCAAAAGCACGCATACACTTATCGACCAGTTGATTCGGGATGTCCCAGAATCTGGCACCTCTCAAACACATCTGCATTACGCCAGCGAATCGCAAGTAGTTGGAGATGTCCGCCACATCTTCAGCCATATACACAAAACATATTATGCGCTCTGGGTCGTACTGGAAGGTGGAAGCGAACCACCAGCTCTCGAAGCCTCTTCGAAAGCCCTTGTCAAGAAGCGGAAGCTGGAGGATGGCGCGGACGATGGGCTGAAGTGGGTGCGAGAGGCCGACGTAGACGGTGTGACGTAGGTCTGCACTGTTATCTTGCATTTTCCCTGTTAACCCCGCAACAGAATGGGACAGGGGCTGGTCAAGCTCTGGCAAATCGTCCAAGCCAAGCGAACCGGAATTGCCATACCGGAGAAGAAGTCCGCCCCTCGAGCAAAGAAGGCCAAGGCGGTCATAGGCGGCGATATTCGACAATGGATGAAAGGCCCCGCCTAGGAGGCACCTTCGCCTAAGTTTTTGGTCTTCTCTGCTTGAGCTCACGTAAGGCTTCCTCCACCGCTTGTCTTTCCAGCATGACGCGTCGCAAACTTGACATATTTCTTGCTACCTTTGGTGGTTCCTTGGGCTTTTCGCCAACATTTCTTGCTGCATTTGGTTTGTTAGGCTTTTCCTGTACTGCAGTATATTCAGGATGTTGCTGTGACACGTTTGTCATAGCGGGAGTCGATTGATCCTTCTCCAAAGCGGTCAAGTGTGCAGGTATAATAATCGGTGTAGCATGTGGAGCCGGTGGCCACTGTATTGTATATTTATCAGCATGTATATCACGAGTTAATCATAATGCACTGACAGCTCTTTGAGGTTGGTTGAAATGAAGAGCAGACCAAGGAGGATAGCCCTTTTCTAATTTGACGACATAGTCTTCTAAGGCCTTCACTCGATAGTACAGATCCTCTGGTGCAGCCGGAACTAACCAAAATCAACGGCGCTGTCGATCGATCGACTTGATACATACCATATCGAACTGCAAGATGCTCTTCCAGGTTAGCAAATCGTTCTTCCAAGCCAGGACGATCAGAAAAAGTTGTCTTCTTCGTTTCCGACTCGTTCTTGACCAACCGACCCCCGGTCCCTTGCCCAATTGGATGTTCTTCCTTCTCCTTTCCCTTAGCTGTAGTTCTTCGCAATGGCCCTTCGGCATTCTTCACAATATCATACTGCATCTGGATATCACGGTCGATCGGTTTGGCTGCCGTGCGCGCTGCTGAACCAGAGGCGGTTCCCGTAGGCGGGTTCCTCGTGCTTTCCATCTCGTCGTCACCACTAGCGGATTGGAGCGCAGTTACGCTCGTTTGTCGCAGAAACTCTGACCGATTGGATCGGCAATTTCGAGCCTTGGACTCCGCCAAAAATCGGGCCACGGTTGCGATATGCTACATGGTCATGAGAACGACACGATCACACCACAAACCTGAGAAATGAACACACAGTCTTACGAGAGACCGTGTCCTTCGTCAACGGCAAGTAATCAAGCTTTCGTTCTTCTAATCCCCGGAACACAGCATTAGGAGGGTTGATAGGTGTCTGAAGAATCAACAGGGATCAATCGGGCAGCAATCGGGCAGCATACCATAAAGTCTCGCACGAGCTGTCCAATCGCAGCGGGCACGCGCACGCGCTCCTGTTCGGGACTCATAACGAGCATATCCAACTCGAACGCTTTGCAGCATTCTGTCAGTCCGGCCTGAGGAAGGAAGCCTGACTCAGGCACTGGCTGGTGACAGCGGGGCATAGCTGAGACTTACGCTTCTGAAAAAAGTTAGGAGGCAGCGATCCCATTGGATCGCTTGAAATGGATCTGGCTGGGATTGGGAACTGGAGGCTTGTGTTGGAGTCGGTGTAAGTCCGACTCTAGCTGAGGACGAGGCTATGTTGGAGGCGGGAACTGCCATGGCCGGACATAAGAAGAAGACTTTGGGACAGAAGCAACTCACGACCAAGCTTGCTTCCGCGGCTGACCCCTGAGCCACGTGGCATCACAGACTTTGCGGCAGGCAGCACCTCTGGGCCGGCTGATGAAGTTGTTGTAAACCATCTCAGTCGGCACTGTTGGTAATAAATAGGACGGCTATATGGTGAAAATCTGGATGCATAGCTAAAGATACTCGAAACATGGCAAGCCACGGAAGATAGTTCGACTCCGTTTCGCCCTACATTCTTCTCTCGGAATGGCTGACGTACTTCCCAACACTAACAGTTTCTGTATGTTCTCCAGGAAGAACTATTGTCTCAGGATTTTTTTTTGAAGGGGGGGGATCGTAAGAATACAGGTGTGCGTAATTTTGCCGAGCCTGTGTTCGAAGTTGGATGATGTCTTGATATCCACAATCATCCTTCGATCAAGAGGCCGGATGTGTGATGCTGATCCTCAATATCTCAGGATTACGATAGAGTGGGAAACGCGTCTCATGTTGATCGATCAGTTTTACGTGACCTATGCGGGGAAGACAAAGAAGGCCACGTCGTATGCTTGCCAAGAGCCAGTCAGTATCAAAATCACTCGCCCGTATTGCGGAAACACACTCAACGGGAGAGACCCACCGTGGGAACGTCCGATGGGCACGATCACTCGGTGGGGCTATGGCGGTGATCTTGGATTTGTGGCATTGACAAGTAGGTAGGGTGATTAAGTTGTGGTTGGGTGGACGGTGGGTACGAACACGGTGTGTTCAGAGGGTAAGGTGGTGAGACAAAGAACTGGTGAGAAGAGGAGGCTGGACACGGAGGCTAAGAATGGACCAATCGGAGGCAAGTTCGGGGGTATATACGAGCGTCTCGTGAGGGGGCAATGGCAACATACCGGCACGCGTACACCTTCCCAAACTTTTTCCGCTCCTCTCGCTGCGAACGCCGTTCTGCACAGGAGAAGCGAGAGGAAGGTCGGAAAGCATCTAGGCACATATGGAAGACGCACGTGGCGTTATTGCATCGGGTTTAAGTAAAGAAGCCGGCGGCACTGATGGAAGCCTAACCAGCCTCCCATCAAGGCGAGAGGAAGGGAGGGAAGAGAAGAAACGGCCTGGGCACCTGATTAAGGATCACTGTAATTAACCTGACATTGCCTCATAACTGTCACCCTCTACCTCCTCAACTTCCCTCTCCCCCCTCTCAACATCCCACTTCCCTTTCATTCCTCCATTCCTCAACCCTCACCTTTGAAAGTGGTGCCTATTCATTGTGGTAGAGCGCATTCCAACATTCCCTTTCACACCGTGTCATATTTGTTATTCCGTGGTTAGTGGCTGCCTCTTCCCTCAACACCGTGATTCAACAGTCCTATTGGGAAGACTACTCCGACCCATCCATCGTGCTCCTCCCATCGCGCGTCTCCCCTTGAACCTTACCGGCGCTTGTCTATTGTATCATCTACCGCTCTCACCGAACTCACCCGCATTCTTCTCCTTCATCTCCCCCTCACCTTCTCCCTTTTCCCTTGACTACATTATCGCCGCATTCTGCTGCTTATCCATTCCCTCCATTCCTGTCCTCAATCCCCGTCTCTGTACCCTCAAAACAACCCGAAATTCGTCTTCACCTGTCTGTACAACAGAAGCATATTATGTAAGTTCATTACCGGCATGGTTGGAACGCATTTGCTCACGGCATTCACTTGCTTCATCTAGCACCGGTCCAACTTATCATCGCGGTCCGGTGTTGTGCAAAAATCATGATGGCCTTCGAATCCCCGCATTCCTTTCCTCAAACGTCTGGTATGCCCTCCTCTTCTCGCTTACCGCATTCCCCTCATTCCCACCCCTCAGCCCTGCAGCAAGTTCTCAATCCCGACGGGTCCATCCCCTCGGCAGAGGCAACCGCGTCCCCCACCACCTCTGCAGCAGTAAACATTACCTCTCCGCGATCCTCAACTGGGCGCTCCGCTGCCTCTTGGCAACAGCAGATGACCCCCTCTCGCTCTGGTGATTCTGTAGGCGGCTCTGTATCTGGCGACCAACACACCGACGGCCCCGACTCGAACAGCGACACCCCGCGGGCTCCTAGCGGTACCTTCTCTCCACCACCAGGATCCGTACACTCTGCCGCAGGCAGCGTACGTACCAGTCAGAGTCCGATCGCTCTCCGTCAGCAGCATCTCCAATCGCAGATCACTAGTCCTCCGCAGCAACCAAAGCTCGGGAGTTTCGCTTTCCCCTCCTATGGACCAGAAGGGATGCAAGCACCTCCTATGCCGGGTAGTGTAGAACGCCGCCCGATGTATAGAAGCAACTCAAGCGAGGAAGCAGTATCGAATGCCGGCAAACGCAGGATGTCTGCTCCTGCGGACGTCGACCCCACTCAGATGTTCCTCGGCGTTGGCAGCGGGAACAAGAGAAGCCGGAAGAACTCGGATGGTACTGAGGAAGTATGGAGCGCTGATGTTGAAGAAGCGTTTCATCAGGGTAGGCCTTCCACGACAAGTAGCACTGGTATAGGGCGACTGATATGCGCATATAGCTATCAAAGTTGTTCCAAAGCTGGGAAGACGCAAGATGCAGATCAATGGCAAGCTGTGTGGCAGGAACGAGCTCATTGCGGAACATATTTATAAACTCACTGGGAAGCGTCGTACGAGGAAACAAATCTCGAGCCATATCCAAGTGCTCAAGAATACCCATAAGAACGATCATGAGTGTAAGCACTTTCATCAGCGTACAAGTAGCATATAGCTGACGTTTTCCACAGTGATGAAAGCACTTGTGGACCCGGTGTTCGAGGAAGATGGCAAGGCAGATCAGAAAGCTACTATGCCAGCCGTGCGCTCGCATCGTCTTTCTAACGTTTCTATCACGTCTGATATACTGATGGATCCGGGTTTGTCTCCCCAGTCTGGCTCTCCCACAGACTCTTCCTCCATGATGCCCATCACGCCCTCGTACATGTCTTCCGCACGTGGCTCGTTCGAGAGCAGCGCTTCCTCTCGCCCGAGCGCCTACCCTGGGTTTGCGACCAGCCATCTGGGAAGCCCGACCGTCGTGTCTGGCTTTTCCATATGGGCATCTGGGCCTATACAGACCATCCCCGCCCACTACTATGCGAAAGCAACGTTCCCGATTCCATCTCCACACGCGATGCTCGATGTCGTCTTCTTCGAGGACCTTCCGATGGCAGATATCCGTTATGCTCAAGTCAAGTACATGTACGATACCCTCCCGTGTCAGTTCCTGCACATCGAGAGTCAACTTGTGCTTCCGCCTTTGCACGAGTCATCCGCCATCCTCGAGGGGGCACAGAGCATGTGCGCCTCGCTCTTCCTCAGCTCTGTCCAGGAGCTGGACCTCCGATGCGTGACGACCGTGTACTGGCTCGGAGAGGCAAAGAGCACGACGGACGTTCCTGTCGACCTTATCGAGACTCGTGCGAACGACGAACATCCCTACCAATACACGGCGCCGTTTATGCCTCAGTTCTGGTCTTACCTTCTTGAAGGCTCGCGCTCCAATGACCATATCAGCGGTGTACCTTCGGACAAGCAGGACGACCGAGAAGAGATCTTCGAGACCGTGCGCGGGATGAGCGTCGTGCAGAAATTCGTGGTCGCAAGCCCTTATTCTGCGCATGCTGCCGGCCAGCACGCACATCAGCAAATAGACGACACTCATGTGGCGCTCGTGGTCACTTGGGACTTCGAATGCGTCCAGGGCCGCCACCCCGGAGGTGCTAAGATTTCGAAGCTCATGACCCGGCGCATGGGCAACCCTTCTCCAGCACATCATCATATGGCCATCCCGGCATCCCATTCTAGCGCATTGCCGCACACGATGCCGCAGCCATTTGGCCAGCTACCACCTCCGCCAATGGGGCCGGGATCTGCGCCTCGCTCTGCTGGACGGCGGCATAAGCCAGGGCTGAGCGTCAGCATCCCTCCCTTACGTGGTCAACCCAACATCCCCGCACCGATGCTTTCTGTGACCCATGCGTCGGACATGACTTCTGCCGGGTTCAACATGCCCTCTTCCCATCCTCCGATCACCCCTCTCGATCAGGTCATGCACACTCCACTCCAGCCACCAGAGATCCCGCGCACCATACAGCCCACTCGACGTGGTCTCCAGCTTTACGCGCCTACCCCGACTGAATGCGTCCATCCAAGTTTGCCCGAGTACGCCGAGTGGAGCGCTGCTCAGCGCCGACCTGAGTCTACCCATCGTACGAGCGGCGAAGGGATGCTTGTGCCTCCTGGGGCGGAGGATCTGAATCGACCAAGGATTCGCACTGGCATGAGTCCCCTTAACACTATGACGCGTACTGCGATGGGCATGCCTACTCCCACTCTTAGCGGGTTTACTTCTCCCGGGTCGGGCAGCGCTCATCCTATGGAAGGATTGATGGCGCCCTGGTCTGCTCGTCGTAGCAACAGCATGCTCACCCCTCACGCTCCCCCCGTCATGCAACGCCCGGAATACTTCCCTCGTCTGGAGGTCTCGCAAGAGCGAACACCAAGCAACTGAGTGTAACTGCGTGTAACCCCACCGACCCCACACTGTATCAAAGCCAACCAAGTCCTTTGTATCACAAGGATGTACACATATGCTACTCTACGCCATCAGTGCACCCTTACTGCCGTCGAACGGCAGCCAGAGTTGTGCTTATACCTGTCTTCTACGCTGCCTTCTGGCCTTTGAGCCCTTGGGTCATATGGCAGCACTGTCACCCGACCATACATGTATCAACAAAATAACGTTGGTTCTCAATCAAGACCACCCTATCCTGCTTATGTACTCTATCCCCCCAAATCAATTAAAGCGCTGCCACACTAGCTGCTAGTCTTCTGTCCCAGTGCTTGCTTGTTGTTAGCTTAGCGAAATCGCCTACGTTACCTCCTGTTTTTGTTACAATCCAATCCAGCGCTGTATTGAGTAGCGGCCTGCAATGACATTACGTTTGCAAACAGTATCACTGAACAAGTAAAGTCTAGTACTTTCAGAAGCAGTTCCTCGCCCTGCCAAGCATCTTCCTCCCCGCCAACTAGTTTTCAGAGGTCCATTCAGTCGTGCTGTGTGGGGAGTTTGAATTTATATCACGTGACTCTGCCTCCGCCATTCAGGGTCTTGCTGGCTTCGCATCATCGCCCACTTCTCGTCAATCCCTGAGCTTTCCACTATAGTCACTCTCACAGATGCCTCTCCGTCCGAGGAAGAAGAGACGCTCAAATACCAGTCGCGCTGTTGCCATCATTGACGAGGTTGAAGATATCGAGGATGTAGAGCAGGAGGAAGTGGCAGAGGAGGTTAATGACGTTGTAGAGCATCCTGAGGTTACAGGCCAGGAGGAAGCAGACGGAGCCGAAGAGGAGGGCCCTACGGAGGAACAGATCGAGGAGTGGGAGGCCTTCAGGCAAGAATACTATGAGAGTAAGCTTGTTAATTTAGTTGTATTGATACTAGATGCTGAATATCTCGTGTTAGTCATCAATGAGCTACCCGTATCACTTCATCGGTCCTACAACCTCATGCAAGAACTGGACGAACAGGTGGAAGGTACGCGCTTGTGCATATCGTCGCGTGAGTTCTTCTCACCAATTCTACAGCACACCTTGCTCTTCAACTTCCCGCTATTAAACAATATATCGCTTTTCGACACGCTTTACTCGAACCACCTCCGGCACCCCCGCCGCTACCAGACGCGACAACCTCCCCCGACGTTCCCCCCGAATCGTCGAATTCTGTCCATCTGGTCGAGAAACCTGTCAGCTCCAGTGGTGCGAGCACAACAACGATAGACCACACCGTGCAGCTGGTGCAATCTCCACACGTTAATGGCATAACAGAGTCGCCAAAGTCAAAGAAGCGAAAGCGTTCATCGAAGGATGAAGGCAGCCCCTCTCGTCGATCACCGCGCGGCGCGAGCGAGTCCACCACCCTGTCACGCGTCTCTTCCAGATCATCTCAGTCCTCTTTGGACCCCATCACGCCGGACAGCAAGAACCTCAACGGCATTGTCACCTCTGAAGTCACTATCTCAAAGGGGACACAGTCACAGGCACAATCGAAGGAAATCGAAGTCGAAGCAGCCAGTGTCATCACCAGACGTATGCTGGCTCAGATAGCTCAGCTATCTCGTGAGTCTTTACGAGCATCAGACGAGAAGATTGGCATAGCCAAGGCCATGTATGACCTTGTACGCCTACGGACGTCTTTGTGTTCATACCCAAAGCTGATTATGTGCTCAGGTTGATCGCCATGTGCGTTCTCTGGACGCGAAGATCAAAGAATATGAAGCCTCTGTCGCAATCGGTCTTCGTCCAGGCACGCATCCCATGGACGGCACGCTCACCTTCGAAGAGCCCGAAGAGAAACCCGAGTACTCGGACACACGTCGTGGCCGAAAGAGGGACAGGAAGGGCAAGGAGCGGACCGACGAAAACGAAGCGGAGCAGCCGCAGCCCTCCGATGTGGTGATCAACATGCCTATCAATGCAATGGAACCGACATATTGCTACTGCCACCGTGTGTCCTTCGGCGAGGTGAGGTCATTTTCGTCACGCTTGGAAATGTTTGCTTAACGATGTGGTGTTAGATGATTGGGTGTGATGCCGAGGACTGCCCGCACGGGGGATGGTTTCATTTGGAGTGCCTCGGTCTTGACAATCCTCCGAAAGGTTCGTTCTTCTGTGATGACTGTGCAAAGGAACGCAACAATCCAAAGAAGAAGAGGGGGAGAACATAGAGACCCCGTCATGTATTTTCTTCACTTCTCGGGCTAGTACAGTAGCTGTTCTCGCTGTAATGTGGCATCCTGTCGTCTGTTGTTACAATAGTATCCTAGTTATACCTTGCAATCCACGAATCGGAACAATAAAAGATATTACACATTAACTAATAGCAACATTGTCGGCTCTGAAATCAAGGCCGAGTTTTGCAGCCAGCTGCGTCTGATATTCGGCTACGCTCTGGTTAGCACGGGAGCACATTTGAGCAATTGCAACGGTACTCACCAACTTTGTCCCGCAGCCTAAAATATTCTTCCAGTAAGGCCTTGAGCTCAGCCTGGTTGGCAGCCAGATGTTCCGCGATCATCCCCTCCAAATTCTCGATGTCTTTTCGTTTCCCAACCATGAGCTTCTCTTTCTGGTCACGCTCCTGCGCAATCTCCTCATACTCCTCCCTCAGCCTATCCATCTTCGTCTGGGCAGCTCGACGCTTCTCTTGTGCCGCGTTGACTGCCCGGGTCAGTTTATCTTGCGCATTCGCTAGCTGTCGATCGAGTTGCTGTTATAGTGTTTTAGCTGGGTGTCTCGATTGTGCAGGTCGAACACGAACCTCGATGTGTGTCTCAAGCTCGCGTGACTCCGTATTCTTCTTGTCCAGGGCAGCCCTAGCATGGTCAAGCTTGCGATCTGCCTCGTCCAATTTCGTGAGTTCCTGTTCCACTTGTTTCAAGATGCCATTGCAATGCCGGACATCCTGCTCGAGCATGACTATGTGCTCTAGCCGAACTTGTAGATCTCGAGCGGTAGCTTCGATTTGGGAGAGCTGCTGTCGTTCTTGTGAGGCGTGTGAGCTCATTTCGGAAATCGTTCGCTTCAGCCGGTCAGGGCTTTGAACGATGCGAGATTTCTGCGTTTCGTTTGCAAGGATAGCAGTCTGCATCTCATATTGGACGTTGCTGAGGCGCTCAGTGAGTTTCTTCTTTTCCTCCTTCAGGATTGCAATCTCGTTCGTGGTATTTGTCTGCGTCTTATGCAGCTGACGCAACTGTCGTCGATGGGCGTCGTTCCGCTCCTTCATCGCTTGAATCTTTGGAATGTTTTCTTCTCGCTGTTTTTTGGCATCCTGTAGCCGTGCATCCTCACGTGCAAGCTCGAATTCTACCATATCCCGCCGTTGCAGCACTTCTTCCACATCGTGCTGGATCTCGTCGAATATAGGGTGCCGCTCTTGCTTGAATTTGATGAAGTTGATAAGAGCGCTGAGAATTTCCCGTGTATGCTTGCCTTCGGGTCGTAGTATGTCGGACATAGCGAAGTCATTGACACCGGCGATGACCGCAATGTTAGACAGGTGATAGTGGAACATTTGAAGTGTGAGTGCGTCATTGTAGTATTCCTGCATGTCATTCAACACGCGCGGCAGTTCGCAGCACTATAAAAACTCACCCGGTACACATTCTGCCCCAGCAGCTGGGACCTTGGACGGTCAAAGGTGTCCACAGAGATCCCCGCTAATTCCTCCAGCATTAAAGCATAAATCGCCTGCATTCCATGCCCTGTTGGTTTCTCGATATCAGACGCTTGACATGGTACTCCAAGCTCAGTAATAGCCTCTGCAAGTTCCCTGTAGGAAGTAAGAGGGAAGGAATAATTGATATCTGTATGTTGTTTCTGGGACATGGTGGTCGACGAGGAAGAGACGGTTGGCGCGTTGTCGCGTCGACGCGTCGGTAAATTTAATCACGTGCTCAGGGATGATCATCATCCCTTGTGCCGTCCAGCTGTCATTAATTACTCTGCTATTCCAGTCCGCAATCCACAGATTCGATAATATAAAGCAGTGTTGTTATCATTATGCCGTCCAAGAACTCAACATCTAGAGAATGTGAGCTCGTCGCGGAGACGCAATCGCACCGCTCACATGATGGCTATAGCCAACAAGAGAAGCATCGCAGAGTTAACACCTGACTCTTCTCAAGAACATCCTTCTAAGAAAGCGAAATCCGACGGGCCGAAAGCAGTCTTCTCTATTTTTAACAAGCCTGATGCTGCTCAGCCAAATCCGACTTCTCCGATAACATGGTATCCACCTCTGGGCGAGCGTGGCACATGTCAGCACGGCATACACCTAACGCCTCCATCGCGCTCCAAGATAGCCGCCTTTGATCTCGACGGGACGCTCATTGAACCGAAATCTGGTGCGAAGTTTGCTAAGGATCACATGGACTGGAGGTGGTGGGGGTTGCATGTGCTGAAGAAGGTGAAAGAGGCGCATACAACTGGGTATGTCTTTGCGACAATAGTGATCTGATGTGATCGAATACAACAGATATTCGGTGGTCATATTCACGAACCAGAGTCAAGCACACCGAAAAGCCACGATTGGAACCGCCAATATTGCTGAATGGAAGAAGAAGGTCGGGCTTGTGGCAAGTGCAGTACGAGTGCTTGCAAACGTATCCAGTTGTAGTACTCAAGACACTGTCATAGTTGGGGGACATTCCGTTCCAAATACTGGCTGCCAACGCAAAGGACGAGTTTCGCAAACCCATGACGGGAATGTGGGATGCCGTGGTGAACGTTTTCAAGAAAGATGGTGTGGACATTGGTGAGTTGTATACCAGATGAACAGGCGAGGAAGCTGGCAGCAAGCTTACTTTTGCAGACTACGAAGCCTCCTTTTTTGTGGGCGACGCTGCGGGTCGACAAGGGGATCATAGTGGTGTAGATCGCAAGTTTGCAGATAATGTTGGGATTCGCTTCTATGTGCCGGAGGTATGTGGGTCCAGTTATTCAGACTGATTGTTTCATATCTCACTCTACGGTAGGAGTACTTCAACGGCAGGCAGATCAAGCTCCCACCACTTAAGGGCTTCCATCCTCGAATGCTGCCTGCTCAACGTATGCTTCTCCGTGCGGTCCGGGGATTCATTCGTTAACCTTGGTACAAGTTCCACTCTTCGCGCCATCGTCGTCGGCGCTTCTTCCCACCCCAGCTGTTCCAGAGATTGTCCTCTTCGTTGGTCCACCGGCATCTGGCAAGACATCCTTCTTCCGAAAGCACTTTGAACCCTTCAAATATCAGCATGTCAATCAAGATACCCTAAAAACTAGAGCAAAGTGTATGCAGATGGTCGAGAAAGTGGTGCGGGAAGGGCACGGAGTTGTGGTCGGTAGGTTTTTCGACTGCGGCTTGTTGCCGCCACTCACCTTGGGACGGCCAGATAACACCAATCGAGATAAAGAGACGCGAAAAGAGTACGTAGCTCTGGCAGAGAAGCTCGGTGTTCCGATACGGTACGCTATGCAGACATCGTTTTTTCGTGGCCTGCTGACATTGTTGAAGCTGTTTGTCATTCAATGTCTCGATCGCTCTCGGCTGGCATAATAACCTTTATCGTGCCTTTTGCCTAGCGTCAGAGCATCGAGACCACGTAGGTCGCCTTGACAGCGTATAGATGAAATGACTGACTTATAGCCACAGCAGAAAAGGGAAATGCTGCCGTACTCTGCGTTCGCCAGCTTCACTAATCAGATGGAAGAGCCCGATTTGAGCGAGGGTTTCAAGGAAATACGCGAGATCAACTGGGTGTTTGAAGGGAATGATGAGGAGCGCAAGCGGTGGAACCGATGGTTAGAGCTCTGAAGGTATCATCGCGTGTAACAACAATCGTAACAACCAATCGTAACAACAGACCATTGCGTATGATTGCGATGTGTAAAGCTATAGAAGGTTGCGTTACACATTATGATATCTATATCGGTGATGCTACGGTATCATTGACATCCACTGGCGTTACATGGGACGTGAATGCTTCATATCAAGGAACTACAACAAGCGGAGGGACGAAAGGAATCCAAAGGAAGTTGTAGCCATTAACCAGAAGGAAGCAGTTGTGAGGGGTATCGCAAGGGTATATGTGGCCGGCATAAGAAGGCCTACATGATGACGCACTCGTCCTTCGCCTGCTGTCGTGTAGGCCGAGTAAGACCAAGGCGTTTGCTGCTTGCCATCTTCAGTTGTGTGAGACGCTCTTTCGACCGTTGGTGACCTTGAGCTATGATGAAGTCAGTAGGCTGTCTCAGCGGCGGAAGTTGGAAAGACATACCCGCAGCACGCAAGTACCATTTCTTCGCAAACTCGATATCCGGCTTGATGCCAATACCAACCTCTGCATAGTATCCGACAGCATATTCAGCCTTCGGCAATCCTTTGTTTGCCGCCCTTCTTGCCCAGAGGTAAGCCTCATGGTCGCTCTGCTTGAGCACACTTTCACATCCAGTCAAGTACCATCCACTAAGAGCCAGTTCCGCTTCCGGATCGTTCTTCTCAGCTGCCCGAGTGTACCAGGCAATCGAACGCTTGGGATCCACTGGACAGGTCAACGCCCCATATTCGTAACAGGCACCCAATTTGAGGCAAGACTTCGTGTATCCCAGATTACCACCACGAGTGAACAACTCCCTCGCACACGCCTCGTCCTTGGGCACGATGCTGCATTCACCCGTCTCGTGCAACAAGCCAAGTTCATGCAGACCATGCGGATTTTCCTCATCCGCTTGTTCCGCTGCTCGCCGGAGCCACTTGACAGCCTCCTTCTCGTCCTTCTTCTGTCCCAAACTAGGCGTAAGAAGAACCATACCGAGTTTGTACATCGCCGGTGTGTCACCAAGACTCGCGGCTTGGCGATAGAACGCAACAGCTCGGCTGAGGTCTCTCTTCGTTCCAGCACCTAGTTCGTTGCACACCGCCACACGGTACGACGCAGCTGGATGTCTGAGCTTGGCGGCAGCGACGTAGAACTGGTAGGATTTCTCGTGGTCAATCTGCAGACCAAGCATACCCGTACCGTAACAAGTGGCAAGGAAGAACTGCGCATCTGGCAGGGGGTCGGCACTCGTAGCGAGTTTCTTGATCACTTTCAATGCCTCGCTGATGAGTCCAGTACGGTATCTGAGTACCGCCTTCTGGTCGGGCGCGTGTGCCCCAACCTTCTTTGCGGCCTCGATAAGGTACTTGGCAAACTGGAAGTGCGCCTCCGGGTCGGGATCGACCTTGATCCGTGCGCGGTACTGCTCGATGTATTCTCTCGTGAAAGGTGGCTGGTTGAGGTCAATCGCCTTCGTCTTCCGTGTGTTGAGGGTGGTAATGGAGGATGCCGAAGTAGTCGAACGCTGTAATCCTGTCGCGCCGCCTGTTGTTGGGCCGCGTTGCAGCCCAGGAGAAGGGGCGCGCGGAAGCGGAAGCCCAGCAGAAGGGACGGCCAATGTTGAAGAGTTCGAGCTTTGCGCGCTGTTACCGCTGTACTGGCTCCTCATGCTAGACGCGATCGAAGGACCGCGATACAATCCAGGCGCATTCTGCGGGTACGGGGGCAAATTCTGTGCTGGAGGAGACATTTGATTGGGATACCCTCCGGGGATGCCGGGCATTCGAGCCGGTTGCGCACCAGGTGGAAGCCCGAGAAGATCAGAAGCTGCGGCGTACAGGGGGTCCGGCTGAACGGGCTGTGCGTACGCTTGCGGCTGGCCATACATTCCGTATTGCGGTTGCGGTTGCTGTTGTTGCTGCCACGGCGAGGGACCGTAATATCCTCCATAAGGATTACGAGGAGCGCCGTAGCCACCACTGTATTGCCCGGGCGGACCGATAGGGACATAGCCACCACTTTGCGTACTGCCCGTGCTGTATATCGATCCACCGTCACCGTTCTCGAGCACAATTTCGGGACCCATGGTGTAGCTTTTCATCGGCTGCTGCACACTCGCACTCCGTGGCGGACCAGCCCATCCCGCTTGTTGCTCAGGGGTGGGAGGCATCGTCACCGACCGAACTGTCTGGTGGTGGGGGCGATAGTCGTTGCCGTTGAGAGATTGGGACGTTTGAGATGGAGGGAGCGGCTGACCAGCAGCGGGGTCTTGTCCGTCCATAGCTCGAAATTGAGGATTAGGATCGCTCATGCGTAAACGGCTGAAGTCCTGAGTGAGATCGTTTGCGAACGCCGCTTCGTACTCAGGCGGAGGAGGGCTGCGAAAATCCGGCGTTGGGAGGGCCATGTGAAAATCCGGCGTTGGGAGGGCCATGCCAAAATCCGGCGTTGGGAGGGTCGTGCGAAAATCCGGCGTTGGGAGGGTCGTGCTGTCGGCTGAAGCTGGAGCGGAGAGATTGGGCTGAGAGTTACTTGTAAGGATGTTCAAATACGGAGGGTCTGTGCGTGAGGTACACGATCAGATAAATTGTTAGCGACGGCAATGTATGCGGTGTACTTACTTGGGCGCAAACGGGACTGTCCGCCGTTCGCGTCAGCATCAGCAACACTCGTCGCCGCAGCAGGCTCATCCGGTTCATCGACGTCATAAGCAATGTACGCATCGTAAGGATCTTCGTTGTCACTACCTTCATACGGCTCCCAGCTTTCGCCCTCTTCGTGGTGGGTCTCGAGCGTGGTGTGCGGAGTGGACTGTGGACGGCCTGTTCCCGGGTCCGCCATGACTAGACCAAGTCGATTTCAAGCGAAAAGTACAACGATCAGATAGTTGATAGTTAAGCCTGATATGACAGCAATACTGATGTACAGTCCTGACTGTTGTGTTGCCAGGATAGGAGAAGAGGAGAGAAGTGAGGAGACCGGCGGTGCAAGGGTGTTTGGTAACGTACATGAAAGCGGAAACACCGCTGGTGGCGCACGGTCCCTCCTCGCCGTGTTACCGCCTTAGCCCCGAATTTCTCCCACACAATATTGTCGTACGACCTCAATTTTGGTGTACAAAAGTGTGTGTTCATTACGGGGTGTGTGGATATCAGTAGTGGTTACAGGATAGTATGACGATGTCAGATTAATACACCCCAAAGTTAACCCGGAAAATAATGGAAGTCTCCCTCACTGCGCAGGAGGCAAGGCAGAATCAAGACTGCATTACCACGTCCTCTCGCTTCAACTCAGTCCCACCTAGGGGAGCAACATGCGCAGTGTCCCCTGTTTCTGCATCCTTCATATCCACATCCCCATCTGCGACAGACGGTGCAACCAACCAGGCATCCCCAACTTCGGTCTTTTCATCTTGCGCGTCTCCAGGGTTTCGATCGGCTCCATCAACCACGGGCTTCTTTTCGGGCATGCCGATGCCCCATGTCCAGTCTTCGATGACTCGCGTGATCCTCACCCGCTCAACTCTCTCCTTCCCATCCTCGCCTTTGTAACGCCGGATCCGCACCCACTCCGTCCCTGTAGTCACATGTTCAACACCCTGATTCCCTTCTGACCCCAGATTGTCTAGTGCGCCCTCTCGGAGTACCCAATCCCCAGGCGGCTCTGCAGTGACCACATCGTGTCGCTCGTCGAGATCGCGCTCTGTCCGGATATCCCACTTCATCGGACTCCAATTCTTGAACTTCGGTCGTCTGTGACTTCCCGGCTCAACGGCCTCGTCCATCTCAGTCACGGCGCGATGCTTTCCTTTGCCATTCGAGACCTTCTGCTTCTTAGCGGGTCGCTCGTCCTCTTCGTCCTCATCCTCCTTGCCTAACACCTCCTTGGCGCGCCACTGTAGCTCCCTAGCCAATGCTGATGCATCTTTCACTTTGTCCCCGGGTATCGCATCCTTGGCTTCTCGTCGCTGCGGAGTGTCGACGCCAGATTCGATTAGCCGTGCTTCTGAAACAAGGAAATCCGCTAAAGACACCAATCCGCGGAGCACTCGAGGGGACAAGTCTACGTGCTTCTTGAGCTGGTCGCAGAAGCTCTCAGCCACATACCAACATAGCTTCTCGAAGTAAGGATAGCGGAACTTCTTTGGTACCTTGGTGTTGATCTCGATTTGCCGAAGGCGGAGTTGAGTTGCAATGTTGAAGGAATGCAGGAAGTTTCCACCAAAGACCAGGGAATCGACTGGCGTATACTATATTAAGCTGAATATATCGCCCCATTGTATAGAGGGAATATGCTTACCACCGCGTGAATCCACCCAGTAGGTATAATCATGGTATTCCCCTCCACGAGGGATACCTTTATTACCTCCTCCACCATATCTCCCAACCAGGTTCCAGCCTGCAATTCTGCACTTCCGCTCCACTTCTCATACACAGCCAAATTCGACTCGGTCGGCTTGATGAAATAAAACTCTTTCGCTCCTTTGAGCACATGATAGTATACGCTGGTCGCTGCAAAGTCGACATGCCAGTCCGTCCAGGCCTGGGCGACGCTCATGAGGCAGTACAACCCAACCTTGGGCCACTGGTGCTTCCCTCCGCGTTTATTGGCTGGCCAGAACTCCTGCACCCAGTCGACTTCGCTTACGATCCTCGGCGGGCATACCTTCTCTGCCAGTTTCGTGCCTGTGACTTCGAGTGATATGACATTCCGGATACGGTCACGCTGGGATGCAGGCTTGTCGTAGTACTCGGCCCACGTCCCGAGTGTCCACCCGGCAGAGCTGCTCTGCTGGGCAACATCTAGGGCGCTGGTCAGAACGACCTTGCGCGGATTGTGACTCACTCACCAATAACCTCTACCGGCGCATCTGGTCCCACAAGCTCCGCAACATCGTCAACAGTGAAGTCTTCCCCCGGCATCTTCATCCCCAACCCCGCTGGTTCTAGGATGACGATTGGTTCGGTAAGCGCATCGTCGTTCGACTCGACCCACTCCAGGGTAACGTCCTTGCCCTTCATTCGCCTGAACCTGTCTTTGGCGAACTTCTTCACCTTGAGTACTTTGGTCCATCGGTTTGGGTCAGACGGAAGGCCCTCGTTCATGCTCGCATAGTCTTGCTTGGGCTTGACGCGTGAAGACTTGCGCGTCGCGCTGGGCTTGTACGTGATCTGGAGTCGACCGTTGGTGGCGAGGCATTTCTCGCAGTACCTATACGAATGCTATAGTATCCATAGATAAACCTTGGATAACCCCATACCACTTATCAATGGGACTGAGATCCTCTCCCTTGCTGACACAGTCCCAATGGTACCACGTCGAGCAGTTCTCACACGACACCCAAACCTCCTTCTTCTTGCGCTTGATGTCCTTCACCGTTTCAGGGCAAGCAGGACAACGTTCATAGCTGTCCTTTGCGTCGTCCTCCATCTTTTCACCTTGTTCAGATGGTGTGAGAGAGTCTTCCCTGCCTGAACGACGTGTACGCCTTGGTGGCATTGTAACCTGGTTGAACAGACTAACCCGATACAACTTTGGTTGAAAAGGACGCAAACTCCGACTGACAAATAATCGGACGGAGATTAACCTTACACTGCCACTGAGATGCTTCCGTGGTCGTCGTCATGAACGGACAACGTCGGACAACGTCAACGCCGTTCTGCCGTCGCCGTTGTCTGCATACACGCGTCGTGGGTCGACGATGACAGACTCAGAGCCAGCGAACACGACCTCTTCAAGTGCTTCTGTCCTGGGATTAACTTTTGACAACCCTCCGTCCGACATCGGACCTATCGTCTCTGGAATAGGTCACGAAGACAACGTGGATCCACCAGACATGGATGAACCCAGCAACGACCCCAAGGCAGAACCTGCTGAGGGACAAACAGCCAATGCCTCTGAAGCGAGGGATGACAAACCTGACGTCGAAGCGAAAACATCTGCGACAGAAGAAGAAACCGCGGACGGGGAGGAAGCAAAGTCTGCCACAAGTCCCAGCGAAGCCGCCAAGTCCCCGAAAGACCACAAGAAGCCCCGTAATCCAGGATACGTCAATCCTGACAGGGTGAAGACTGGCGGCGTGCGCGTGAGTAACATACCTCTCCCCAATTGTCCTATGCTCATCAAAATGCTCAGGACAAACCCTCTGAGGATGAACTCGCTCGGCGAATGGAGCGTATCCGTCTCCAGAACGAAAAGATCCTCGCAAAACGCGAGCAGGCCGACAAAGATGCCCAGAGATACCAAGAGGCTATGGTACAGGAACGAGAAGCCGCCAAGAAGCGGCGTGAGGTGCAAAACCAGATCAACAGCCAAAGGCAGGCTAATGCCGAGCGCAAGCTCGGGAATCGCGTTGGGCGAGAATGGGATGCTGGGAAGGCATGTACTATCTCTACACCTAGGACCTCGAACCTAATCTCCAGTAACACAGGATATTCCCAGTCCCCCTCCTGAACGAGGACGCGGGTACGATCGTGGCTATATGCCGCGGGGCACAGGCCGCCAACTAAGGGGCGGCTTCCGAGGTGCACCAAGAGGCCCCCGCGGACGTGGTCGTGGGTTCACACCTGGTGGTACAACTTCTCCTGGATCCTCTGCTCCTCCAACAGAGCACACTGCTCCGCAGGCACCAGACCCAACCCCGGCTGAGGCGGCTGCCATGTCAAAACCATGACGAGCCGCCCTCGAGTGAATATATGTAATCACCGCTCATGAGCTACGGACTGTGCCCGCATCTTTCAAGGTTCATGTACCATCTGGTATGCCTTTCCCCTTGGCCTTGATGGCGCCGCTGAACACGATGTAGACCGCTATGCAATGTTATCATGCTTGTACCATGCTTGCTACCACTATTCCCCCAACCTCAACAAAAGTTATGTCGTACGTTCACCGCGTTCACTCCCTCACTTCACAAGCTGATGTGCCCCAGGTCATGTAGTATGAAAGAGCCCGTTGCTCAACTCCCATACCCTATCAAATATTATCGGACAGCATTTGAAAAATGAATGATATATAGTGCTAAGTGATATGCCGTTTGACTTTTCCTGTGATGGTACGCCTAGCCTACCGATACATGCGCCCTTCAACCCTTCACTATCCCTATGCGATCTAGGCCTTCACGTCCGTACCCGCGCGCTTCAGCTTGTTCCCCTCGTCTAGTATGACATCCTTTGCACCGATCGTGCCCGTCCTCCCACCCACGCCGAACGTAAGGTTAAACCCCTCCGGCACAGGTGTTCCCTCCCTAGGCTGCTCGAGCATATTCCACGACCTCGTATCCGCCTTTACTAGCTTGAGCTCCACCTTCGTTGCCAGGATCGTATAACCCGACTCCTCAGCATTGATAGGTCCGTACAGCCTCAGCGTCTTCGTAAACCTCTTCCTCTCCGGGAGGTGAAGATCCAGCTCGACGCTCTGCTCCCCAAAGCGCACCATACTCTCCTTCCCGGTCTTCTTAGCGAACACGCTCACTTGTACAGTCTTCGGCGTCTGGTAGTGATCTATCCGGCACTGCACGAGCTCTTCTTCCGCTTCTGGAGACTTGGGCTTGCCGACGAAGAGGTGTTTCCCCGTTGTGCACCCGGTGATTCGGAGGAACTCGTCAAACTCCAGCACACGGCGTTTGCAGCACATGTACCCTTTGGAGCCTTCGTGGAATATAGGCTGGGAAATTCAGTACAATATCACGGCGAAAGGGGGAAGGAACGCACAGGAGCGGGATGGAACACGCAGACAGCTTCCTTCCCCCCTTCAGTCCGGTGCGTCTCGTCATCCACATACACAGCATTACACCCGTTCCTCTTGCATTTCGTCCCCGGCTCGACCTTTACCCCAGGCTCATCATCCTCTATCTCTATCGGGACGGGCTTTGCGGGTTCCTTGGGTGCTTTAGGCACTGCGGGGACGGGCTTGGGGAGAGAGGTCTGCGCTGCGAGAGTGGGCGAGGCGGCTGCCGTGGTATACACTTCCTTTCCTTCGGAGGCGGTGACCGTATGCGTGGAAGTCTTGACAGAAGGAGGCGGGGCAGATTCCTGTACTTGCAGTGTATGCTTCCCTGTTGCGCATCCCTAGCTCTCGGTCAGCAACGCGCCTTTGTGAGATCGTGAAACCATTTACGGGGATAGCCATAAACTCGTCAAACGTCAGCACAGGTTTGTTCACCTCCTTGCAGCAAGACCAGCATTTCAACCCTTCGTGGAATATCTACGCGGTGTGAGGGCGTTTTCTAAGTGGGCGCTTTGGACTGGCTTACTGGACCGCCGGGATGATACTGACAGTCTCCGTCCGAGTTTTTGGCGGGGTCGAACTCTTTTCCACAGCCTTTCCTGTTGCAGGTTGGCATACTTTACTTTATGAGGATATAACAGGTATTCGTGAAGAGAAGGATGGGAGAGAGAGATGCGCACGACCTATATTTGTCAGGGAAGCTTCCAGAAAAGAACCGGCGCGAATTAACTCCGACCGGAAGCGAGTAGGCGGCGGCGGATCTTCATCGCGGAACAAAGCAAGGACCATGAGGAAATAAATAAATACTTACTGCTGTTGGCATTTGTTGCCCCTCTCTATCTCCTCCCCTTCCCTTTTCCTGCTTTTCAGCTTAGAAGTGACTGAAGATGGCGACCGACCCCCCAGTATTCGACCCCAGCGAGCACCCCCATCGCCGCTGTAAGTCCATTCCTCCACCATGTACGGGTCTATTAATGGTCAGGCAGACAACCCCCTCCTACGCGAATACGTCCTCGTATCCCCACACCGGATGAAGCGGCCCTGGTTAGGTCAAGTGGAACCTCCCGCAGCGGACACGTTGCCTCAGTACGACCCGAAGTGCTACTTGTGTCCCGGGAATAGCAGGAGCGAGGGTGCCGTCCTGCCGCAGTATACGGAGACTTATGTACGCTCCCCTCCCTGAGGAAATCGCATACCAGGGGCTTAAAAGCACTAGACGTTCGCGAACGACTACCCTGCTCTCCTGGCCGGTCCGCTTCCGCCCGCTCCCCCGGCGCCGCATCCCCTGCTCATCACCGAGCCCGTCTTGGGAGGATGCGACGTCGTCATCTTCCACCCGCGACACGATTATACCCTCGCACGACTGACGGTGGGAGAGATAGAGAAGGTTGTGGTAGAATGGACGAGGGTGTTCGTGCAGCGCGGTATGCAGGAGGGGGTGAAGTACGTGCAGGTGTTCGAGGTGTGCTCTCTTCCTGGGTCACCAGTTACAGTGCTAACCACATAGGGTAGAACAAAGGCGCCATCATGGGCTGCTCGAACCCCCACCCACACGGGCAAGTCTGGTCCATGTCCTCCATCCCTCAAATCCCCAGCGTAGAACTCCGAAACCTGGTCAAGTATTCCCTCTCCCCCCCGCCGGACCCGCCCTCTGGCGCACCGAGGGGCGATAAGGGCAAACCGTGTATGTTGTGCGAGTACGCGCATTTTGAGAAGGGGGCCGGAGAGAGGGTCGTGCTAGAGGAAGGGCCTTGGGTGGCATTGGTGCCGTGGTGGGCTGTATGGCCGTTTGAGGTTATGCGTGCGTCTTCCTCCTCTGAAGCGGCACACCGGTTGACGAGCGAACAGTCCTCCCCACGCACAGGCACATCAGCTCCCTGCTCGACCTGACGCCAGACGAGCGCACCTCTCTCTCCACCGCCATCTCCCGCCTCACAAAACGATACGACAACCTCTTTTCCTGCTCCTTCGCGTACAGCATGGGGGTTCACCAGCGTCCCACGCCTATGCAGCTGGACGATGAGGGCGAGGCTGCGCACTTGCACTTGCATTTCGACCCGCCGTTGTTAAGGAGCGCGACGGTGAAGAAGTTCTTGGTGGGGTTTGAACTTATGGCTGAGGCGCAGAGGGACTTGACTCCAGAGCAAGCAGCCAAGAGGATGAGAGAGCTTTCGGAGGTGCATTATCTTGATTTAATGGATTGAGTCAGTGGGGATAGGAGAACCTCCAAGAATACAACTTTCAATTCCTCTTTCCTTTAACACATCTATCAGTTACTATGTGATATATCAGCAGTGAACTTCTGATGGAAAACTCAGAAGTTCACTGCTGATATATCACATAGTAACTGATAGATGGGTCAAAGCAAAAGAAGAAGTGAAATTGTATTCTCCCCTTTTTGGATCTCCTATCTCCACTGACTCAGGGAATGTTGACCCCAGTGACTCATGTGATTCGGCAGTTTATTGAGTGAGTACTATACAAGGTGATGCTCTCCTATAAAAACATCCACTGGCCAGAAAATATTTTCTCATCTCTTCACCACAAACCACCATCATTACCAGCAACGCCAGTAGCAGTAGCAAGTTAAAAACCACAGCTAAGTGCATCGAACACACACAGGCCCGCTTAATCTCCACCGGTACGAATATTGGGGATCCTATCTCTTCTATCCCGCCTTCCGTCTTCTCTGTCTTCTGTCTTCCGTCTTCCGTAGTTACCGTAACACCGCCGAATGGAGTCTATCAAAACAGACATGCAAGCCCCTGCCCCAGCGACAGAACCTACAAATACCTCTCTCGTACCTCCCGACCCAGTCGCAGAACTCCGCTATCCTCCTTTCGCCTCCCCTGAGGTGGTCTCGTTCGACGAGTTCGAGCCTAGTGGGATCCTCCTCCCCTCTGTTCCGGACTCTGCTGCTATCTCCAAGGACGCTATCGGACAGGACGAGGACGAGGACGAGGACGAGACCGACGTTGACGCTGACGTGGAAGTTGACGGGAAGGGTGTAGCGACTGTACAGTTGTCGACGCGCCACGAGCCTTTTTCTCTCGAGCCTGGGAAAGATCAGAGCGGGATGTGGCGCGGAAAGGAGAAGGCAGACAGGGCGATCGTCGCTGCGAATAAGAGGAGGAAGGCTAAGAAGCACCGAGAGGAGCTGAAGGCGCTGGGGATGGAGGCGGAGAAGGCTAGTGGGAAGAGGCACACTTGGTGGGAGAAGTGGGAGCTGGAGGATATGAAGAAACAGTCGCATAATGACTATCCGACGTGAGTGCTTGTTTGTTAGAGGGGATGATGCTGATCGTACCCGTGTGCAGGGGAGAGGACCGCGTATGCAGGATTGACCTGGCAACGAAGGCGTTTAAGAAAGGCCATTCGATGGAGTCTGGTGTGCAGTCTATCTGGGACAGGGTACGTGGTTTCATGGACCTTTCTAGTTAAGGTTGCTGACTATGGTGCGCTGTATGCAGTTCCTGGACTACATCGGTGTCCTAAGGCAGGAAACCCAGCTGGGGGGATGGGGGAAGCAGAAGGTCTCCCGGGGTATTCAGCGCCGGCCTGCGGAAGACGAGTTCTCGGACGACGATGAAGAGATGCCCGAGCCCAAGAATATGGAGGACGTGTGGGATGAACGATGCGCTCGGTTCCTCGATAGGACTATCGATACTTTGAAGCGCTTCTTCAGCAGCAGGTATCATTATGCGGGTCTGTGCTGGTATGACCCGCTCTTCTTGATCTACGTGGTGTATGCTAATGCGCTGCTGCAGGAGCGAGGCCAAGCTTCGTGATGGTCCCATCATCGTCTCCCTCTACATACGCTACTTGCTGAAAGATCGCGTCGTCCCCGAGTGCACGGACAACTTGACTCGCGCGCTCGCATTCCTGGAAGAAACTATCAAACCCGACTTGCTCGCTACGCGCGCGTTCAGCCAAGGCGCGGAAGACAACTTCTCTATCGCATGCTGTAACGATCTGGGTAATATGGTGCTCCTAGACGGATACGGGAGGTGGATGCCCGCGAAGGGAGTGCTCGAGGAGCGGGATAAGCGAGATAAGAGGATACGCGACGAGGCGGAGCAATACAGGCGGGAGAAGGAGGCGGAATGGAAAAGGCGTCAGGCGTTGATCGCCGCTGGAGTGCAGGAGGAGGCCAGACCCTGGGGTGCAGACTGGAATAACAATCCTGAACCTGTTTGGTGGGACGGGCCCAACCTCTGGGAAGGGAGCACCGTCGTCGTTGACACCAACGGAGAACCTCCTGCAAGCTCCTGGCCACCTGCAGACAAACCCACGCTTGCCCCGTTCTCTACGGCGCTCACCCACTCCTTGCTCCGCACTGAACACTCCGTCAGGCGGATCGTCTCCGTCCGCCCTCCCGATCCCGCGTCGTCCGACGTCCTGCGCCAGAAATACGCCACGGTGGTCTTCGATCCCTGGACTTTGCCCGCAAATGTGAAGGACGACGATCTCCTCGGTCCACCAGAAATGCTCTGCGAAGCCACTGGGGAGACTGAACTGCGGGTGATGCGCATGCCGGGTGGGCAACATGCGCTCAAGGATCGGATCGAGCTGCTTGTCGAGCCCGAACATGCGGAGACGGCGAGGAAGGGCTTGGGCGTGTATGCCATCTGGGTTCAGGCGGCGAAGACGGCTGAGCTTCCCGGCTCTGCTGCTGCGATCGAGCCGCCTATCCAGACGTTCTGGTTCTTCCAACACGTTACGATGGTCGTGCCCAGCTTCTGGGTGGAAGAGTGAGGGGCTGCTGCTGCTGAACACTCGACATGGGGAGACTGCTGATACTATTCACCTGCTGATGTGCAGAGACTGCTGCTATACCTGATTCTTAATGACTACTGATTGACTGCTGACACGTCCTGTTACCTTTTGGGTTTCGATCCACAACTGATTTTGCCTATGGTCATTCTCGTACACCATACCGCTTCACATGTCGATACACACTTCCCAGATACACTCTCATGATTGTTCATAGTATGAATGATAACACCGTCATGTTTCACACAAGCATATTCTATTCGGAGCCGGGCTTTTGTTACGGTACACCTCTATCGCATCACGACAAGTGGGCATAGGTGTACGGATCATAGAAATACCAAGAACCAGGTCGTAGAACGGGATTTCCAAGGAGAATGCTTAGGGGAGATCACGAACCCGGGCAGATAGGGAAGCTGGCCAAAGGACGATATCCTCCATGGCCATTTCGTCTTCCACATCTGCAGCATGTGCATGACCGCCATCCTGGACATTCTCGTCAAGATCCATTGCTTCGCTCACTCCCTCATCATGCTGATCCTCATGGTCGTGATGGTCACGCTCCTCCTCATTAACGTCACCGTCATCGTCCAAGTCTTCCTCGCTGCTGCCATGGATGGATGCCTCTTCAGTAGCTTCTAAGAGTTTTCGTCCAATCTCTGCAAACCCTTTGTCCGTCTCATCTGTTGAGTTGCCGATCGCCCCTATATCGGCGGCATCCAGAGGATCATCCAATATGGCGTCAACGATTTGCTTCACTTCTTCTGGTTCCACAACGCCGAGCAATTTACCCCTCTCGGGGTTTTCTGTGTCGTCCATGTCCATGACCAAGTAAGCACCATCATTCTTGGGCGAAGACATGTCGATATGCACGTTCTTCCCCGTGAGTTTGGCTTTCTCCTGGTCCTTCTCCTTGCGCTTAAGGGCTTTCTTCTCTTCGCGCAGACGAGCTTCTTCCGTTCTTCGTTCCTCGCAATTACAATGCTTGTGCAGTGCCTTGTCACTCGTCGGGTCGCTCAGTGTGGCTTTTGCTTCATAAGCAGCGAAGCACTTGGCTATCGAAAGACTGTCCCCTGTACTGCGAGAAATCTCAGTGTCATGAACCAAAACATGAAAGGTGTCTTTTGAGTTGCTTTCGTCCCTTTGACGCGATTTTCTGCATATTTTTCAGCAAATTCACAATGCATTTGATTCGGACACGCACTCGAAGCGAATACGAGTACATCCTTTCCTCGCAGCCCACATGTACAGCTCCATGACAGGATGAAGCGGAACATCAGGATGGGCCAATGGCAGTATGTCCTTGAACAAGCGCTCGAGAACAGGCCTGCAAAGCTGCAAATCGTAATTCGTGTCCACCAGAACAGCTCCAAGCACAGCTTCAAGCACGTCATTAAGTGCTTTGGGTGGATCGAATTCCCACCACTTTTCCGCCAGTTCCTGATAAGACAAGGGTTCCAGCACCCTGACAGATAAAGTGATCTCAAGGTCGAGACGACGGGCCATATAGAGCATGTGCTTATAGAGACCTAATTCACGAATGGCAACAGCACCGAGGAGTGAATTGCAAACGATGAGATGCTTCATCCACGTCAGTTTATGTGCGGTGCACGCTGGGAACTTATGAAATAGATAGTCGACAATGAAGACATCAACAACAGCTGTAACAAGGGTGAGTAAGCTTGCTGAGTGAAGGGGCACAGCGTACCGTCGCCTAAGAACTCTAATCTCTGATACGAAGGCGTTTGAGAATCAGGAAAGGTCGGGTGCGTGAGAGCCTCCAAAAGCAGCAAGGGATTACGAAACTCGTACCCGAGCGTATCCTGCAGCAGCCTCAGGCTTGTCGACGCACCGCAGGACGGACTATCTCCAGTATAGCGATGTGACCACGGCTCCATGCCACCAAAGCACAGGCCGATGGCAGTTCCTGTTCTCAGCAAACCATCCAGTCCACCGCACAGATAGCCAGCTCCGAGCAGAGACTCCACACAATCGGAAAGACATCGGCGTAGAGAAGTTTGTTTGACGTATGGGATGACACCATCTAGCGTCGTGTGAGTCGTGACGGGAGGCATCCACCGCTTAGGACCACAAACTTTGTCGGTAACGTTGTAATGGTAGATACCCAATCGATATGCCTTTCCTCTGAGGTATGTGTTGCGGACGGATCCATCTTTCAAGACACTCAACTGACCCTCGTGTCTATGGGGGTACTTATTGAAGATGTGAATGGATGTAGCGAGCTTCAAAAAGGTGTCCCCAAGGAATTCCAATCGATCGTAATTGTACTTGGGGACAACTCCCGGTATGACCAGTGCTTCTGCAAAGCGAGGAACAGGATAGGGTGGCAGCTTGAGGAGGTTTATTACCGCACGTGCCCGTACTACGGCAGTAATTTGCCGCAGCAGGGAGGGAAAAGTTTCGACGACACGGAACAGTTCGTCTTCCAACGAGACGCTTTTGATGAAAGATGAGGGAATCAAGTATTCCGATTCCGAGTCCGCCGATTTTCTCTTTCGCACCGGTAGCAAGACTACCATCGGCTCGTCTGGTGACAAGGGTGGAAAGCTGCTCGGCTTGCGAACGACCTCCTTGTCCTGTTTTAAGGCTTTTGCATCCTTCTTTTTTTCAACGTTCTTCTCGAGTAACGTGTAATGTTCAAGATAGGTGGTGCATCCAGCTTCGCAACAATCTCGCCCAATCGATGATAAGAGAGTAGATGGCGTAATATCCTTCCTTACGCTTAGCAAGCAATAGGCGCGGAGCCAGCTAGTTTTCTCCATTACAATGAGTCGTGACTCTTCAGTCCAGTTCCGGCGCCAATCCACCGAAAGAGGAGACTCAAGGGCCCGCTGCATCGCAATGAAATCAGGCAGACCATCTTGAGTGAGCTTCACAAAGAAGCAGGAAAGCTTTCCCTCGAAAGGTCGTCGAGAAATAGCCCATTCCTTGGCAAAGATGGTATATTTCTCCATGAGTTGAAGTTGTTCTTTGCGTTGATCTTCGCTGTTGAATTCGAGGACGACGACCCTGTCGAGTCGTGGGATGTTGGTGGCTATTCCAGTCGGTTCGTTCACATCGTTCAGATCAAATACTGCGCAAGTCACCAGACCGGCCACAATGCATGTCTCAAACTGAAGAGGATAGCAGAAGAGTGACTGTCCTTCCTGCCACGGATCACCCCATGCATCAATAGCAGTTGACTCGAATACGTCGTCCACATCCAGGGGTTTGAATTGCTCTCCATCAGCATCGACACCCTCTCTGTCGTTGTTCTCTTGAAGCGGAAGGAGGTAGTCATCGAAACAACCCAGTTGATGAAGAGATCGCGCTGCGTCAAATGCCACCGCACGCTTGGCCTCTCTTTTGTTCTGTCGGTATGGACCCTGCCGATGAAGTTGGTCGCGAGGCAAAGGCAAGGCAGAGGGTAGAATTAGAGTGTTGGAGAAGCCGAAGCCGAGTGGGTACGCCGGGTCTGGAGATGGGCTCGCTCCGTCGATCAACCCGTACATAGGCTTCAGCACAGGCAGTCCAGGCTCAATAGGAAGCACCGCGCAAAGCCGACTGATGAGGGCGATCGCGTTCCCATAGGTAAGCTTTGCTCCAGTCGAAGTTGTATACACCTCACGAAGTCGCAGATCGCTCTCGCTCACGTCTTCCCCAGCATCATCGTCAATCTCACCATCTTGAATCGCGCGTTTCTGATATGCTTCTTTCAGCTGAGGCTCTGCACGCATGAACTGCGTGTATTTATCGGCTTCGGTAGGAACAGAACGCCGCATGATGATGTACGTCGATGCTTTCTGCCTTGCGCGACCGCGAGATTGAGCATACGAAACCATCGTCTTGAGTGCATCGAATCGGATGACGAGATTGCAGGGCTGAAAGTCTAAGCCTTCCTCTGCGACGCTCGTAGCGACGAGGAGGTTTGCCTTGCCGTCGCGGAAATGACGCACGGCCACTTGCTGCTCCTTGACTGACATGCCTTGGACATCTTCTAGGTCCCTCATTGAACGATGCGTTGATCCTCCGTGACCTGTGATGAAAGTCGGACGAATCATCGTTCTGAGGTACGAGATATGACGCAGGATCCAGCTGAGGACCATGACCACCTGACGTTGTTCCGCGAAGATAATACATTGACACGCCGGGTCGGCCGTATAGCATTGTTGGAGGATCTCTGCAAGTCGGATAACGCGAGGTGCAAGCCATTCTGGTCGAACTTCGAGAGATTGCGCGAAGAAATGGGCGGATTGTTGAACGAGAAGAGCCTTGATCCCTTCTAGCTCCTCGATCTGCCCGTTTATTTTAGCAATTCCGGGCGCTGGGTCATCGACAGAGAGCAGCTTGCGGAGCGTGCTTAGCTCACGCCGTTTGTTCAGCACGAGGGACTCGATCGCTCGGGGGACGACAGCGGAGAGATAGTATTCCGCCCCGATGATACCGACGGACTCCATGGTAGCTTCGTACCTGGTCCGAAATCGCTTGCTCTCAGAATCCCGAACAACCAGGCGTTCGGCATTCATGATCGGGTTGATCATAGTAGGATAAGGATATGCGAGCCACGATGTGGGCGTGCTATCGTAAATGACCTCGATCTCCTTAGGCTTCGGCGCATGCTTATGCAGCTCGTCAATGTTGTCTCTCACTGCCAGAACTCTAGAATTCATGTTCCGTTCCAGCTCCCTAAAAGCATCATGAAACTCTCTCCATCCTGTCAATGAGTGAAGACATACTTGAGCGAGTCAGCAGGATTTTTGACATTCCAGATCGGACTTGCTGTCATACCGAAGACCTTTGGCCTCCGTGCCGGATCACATTTATGGTAATGATCGCGCATGATCTGGTTGTAGTCGTTGTTCTTACGACAATGATGCGCCTCGTCGAATATCAAGAGCGATATCTGCCTCCTCAGATCAGTCATCCGCCTCTTCCAGTGCGCATACACCTACCCGATCAACGCTCCAATGCGCATGACTCAGGAGATCATACAGTACTCGGGGGGTCATAACCAGCACGTCCGCTTCGTCAAACTCCTTCGCCCACTGCTCGCGCTTCCAATAATCGACATCAAGAGCGCCATAATATCCCCTAGCTTCCAAGCTCGTCTGTTGCGCGATGGCCTCGCGTTGCTGTTCTACCAGCGGCACCTTAGGAACGATGAACACGACGACTTTGCGCGCCTCGCCCGGAGCGCGCAGACGCGTTGTCATCCATTTGATTAGCGTGATCGCGATCAGCGTCTTGCCTGTGCCGGTGTCCATCACGGCGATGACGTTGTTCTGCTGTGCTTGGGTAAAGATCTCGGTTTGATATTGACGTGGGATCTGTTTCTCGACCTCTGCGAGTGTGAGAGGTTGGAACATGTTGATGTCTGTGGTGGTATGTGCGTATGTGACAGGGTATGATGGTGGTGGTTATAGAGGGGGGAATGATACTGATGCTAGCCAACAAAGGACAAGGACCGCAGTGACCGTGTGTACATAAGCCAGTAGAATCCGGAAGCAGACTTCAGAACCTAGCCATATATATACTCAAGCAGATCATTTCCCTAGACGTAAAGAGCAATAAATCGACGCTGCGAGTCTGCGCATCGTCCAACTTGAAGGTAGCCAACTGCGAGCTGCAAGCGGAGCTAGGCACCTAATTGCCAGCGGGAAAGAGGCATATAAAGGACCCTTGCCCCGAAGCACCGTGACTTTCCCACCTATCCATATTCATGGCTCTCAATCCGGACGAAGATACAGAGTTGTACGTCGCTGCTTTACAGGTTCGCGCAAGAGCTAAGCACTTGCAGTAACGACGCCCTCCGGAAACATGGGATCCTTCCGCCCAAAGCCGCTCCCGAACGCTCTCCTTCCCCCGAAGCAGGGCCCACACTCTCCGACCAGCTCGCGCAGGCAGACCTCGATGAGCTAGAAGAGCTCGCAGACGAGGAGAATGACAGTGACACAGAACGATTTATGCGGCAGTATCAGAGGCAGAAGGTGGCTGAGCTCCGTCGTGAGGCTGGGGGAGCGAGGTTTGGGACTGTGAGGCCGATTGGGAGGGACGACTATACGAGAGAAATTACCGATGCGAGTAAGGAGGACGACGAGGGCGAGGGGAGCGGTACGGGCGTCGTTGCGTTCCTGTACAAGGACAGGTGGGTACTTCCTTCCCTTTACTCGCCTCGCTCAGACAGCTGAGGAACGCAGTATACACGCTAGCGTCAGACTCGGTGACCAGATCCAGGAGCTTGCACGCCGATACCCGCACACAAAGTTCGTCTCTATCGTCGGTGACAAGTGTATTCCCAACTACCCGGACCGGAACGTGCCTACGCTGTTGATGTACCGGAAGGGGGAGATGACGAACCAGGTTGTGGCTTGGGGAGTTGCGGGGGATAGGTCGATTGAGGGTGCGCTACGAACCTACCTTCTACTTCTGGGAATATTAATTGTTTAATGACTGTGACAGAACTGGAAGCGGTTCTTATCGCTTCTCAAGTGATTAACCCCAAGCTGGAGATAAAGAGGAGACGAGCGAATGCGGAGGACGACGAGGACGAAGAGGTGCCTAAGCGGTCAATACGCACAAGTCGTCCTATAACAAAAGACGACGACTCGGACCTTGACCTGTAGCAGAATTAATTGTAATAATTGACATTGACATTAATATTGATATTGACTAATTACCTAAAAAGGCAACACGGACCCAAACTTCATTCCCAAAATATTAATACTTAGTCCCTCATCATACTTTCCCTCACACGAAGAGTCACACCATGTTCCCCACTCTCCCATCCCTCTCCGGTCTACTATGGTCCGTCCTTTCCTCCCTCCCCCCTACCCCTCCTGGACAACCCAAACGCCTACTTAACCCCCTAACAGGAAAATCCCATGGCGCCTCTCCGCACCACGCAAAGCACGCCAACGTTTCCGGCTCAAACAGGTCGACAGTGTCATCTCCGCACTTCAAGCCAGTGGCGTACAGACCAAATCTCTCGTATGTCCTTCTTTCCCTCTGTCCCAGGAGCTGGAGCTGGAGCTGGTAGTCCCGGGAATATCATGAGCTGACGCGAGCACAGGACCGAGCGCTGGAGCTACCGAAAGAACACGAGATGCCGGCAAAGGACAAGTATACTGTCTTTTCTGCCAAGTCGAGGGGGTACAGAAAAGGGATTCACAAAGTTCCCAAATGGACTCGGGTGCGCTTTCTCTTGCTCCTTCGCACCCACGGGCCAAACTGACCACGAGACAGATAACACAACGTGTTAACCCGCGCGGGTTCTAGGGAGTTTGATAGTACTGTATCTTTCTAATCTAATCTAGTAAACGACGACTCGAACGTTCCCTTCCCTGATCTTAGCCCCCAGCGGACCCCGCAGGAGAGCAACAACGTCCGTCCTCACCTCCGGGACAGAAGTGAGCGTGCGGTCCTTCGCGTCCCTCCAAGTCGAGTCGAGCACTATGTGGGAGAGCGCAGACAGCCCGAGCGCATCGTGTTCCAAGAGCTGGTGCAGCCTGTTGGGGGTGGCGACGGCTACTGCAACTCGGGTGCGAGCGAGGAAATCAGCTTGTTGCTGGAGCTTGAAATGTTTTGCGAATAGCTGGGGTGAGCATCAGCGTTTGCAGAAAGGAGGAGAGGGGAGAGGCGGACCTTGGCAACTTCACCACCTTTTTCGCCTCGCAGTCCGGAAGCCTTGAGTACCCTACAGACATCGGCTGCTCGGAGCGCAGCGGGGGAGAGGAAGAGACATGTTGGGGCTGCTGGGTTCTTCGGTCGCTGGGCAAGGCGGATGGCGAGTTTTGGCACATCTGGGTAGGGTTAGACATGTGCTTCAATTGGGGGGAAGGGGGCGTACGCTCTGTTATGAACTTTGGGAGGTTTTCTACTGTGCGCGGGTCGTTGAAGGCTGAGGTGTCCTCAAAGCACTGTTCTGTACACCTATGAGTGCCTCTACGCCTTATGGGAAGGAAACACCCACCAGGAAGGGCCGCTTCCTCCAGCTCTAACGCACTGAGTCCCTTAGCCACACCCTCTTTAGCCAACACTTCCTTCCACCACCTTTCCAGCCCATGGGGGCTCAGCACCTCCCTCCCCTCCCCATCTAGCGCATCCACCTCCTTAGGCTTCTTCTTCCTCTTCTTCTTCTCCGGTCCTCCGACTTCCCCTTCCCCCTCTTCCAGGTCAAGATCCAAACCCAACGCCTTCCTCTTCAGTGCCCTCGTACTCCTCACATCCCTCAACCCGTCATCCAGCTCCGGATCAGGGACAAAAGTGTCGTCTTCGACCTGAAACCCTTCTTCCTCTCCATCTTCCTCTTCTGCAGCGCCCGCGTCGGGAGGTGAGAAATCAGGGTCGAGATCAAAGTCCTCCCCGAGGTCGTCCCCTCCTCCGACGTCTTTGGACGCCACAGGTGGGCGGGGTTGCATACTCTTAGTCTAGAATAAAATTTGGGCACCTGGGAGCAGTGCTAGAGGGGGAGAGCTGTGAGCTGTAGGAGGTGTAATGTATATGCGGACTGTGTCGATTTCTTCAGGGTACGTCCGTGGACCCCTAAGCCAATGCAGCACTTAAATAACACCGAATTGCTTCTCTCTACCTGTGCTTTCTGCTTCTTTGCTACGTGGTTACGGTGGCTATGGGTTGAATAAATACACATGTGAAAAGAAGAATATAGGTGTGCGCCGTTCCAGTAGGTGCGCATTATGTTAGTGTATCGGTTGCAATATCATATTCTTCGACGTTTGGAGGAGTGAAACGGAAACAAGAACGTATATTGGGCCTCATTTGGAGGCATATCACCTCTCTCTCTCAAGTCTCTCCCAAGTCTCTCTCAAGTCTCTCTTCCACTCTTACTTTACATCGCAGGACAGGTAACTAAGTCTCTTTATTTGGAATAAACGAGACTTATCATTATTATTTCATAGATCGTGTGACTGTGTTCATTATCACACTTAAAAACTTTTGGCCTTATCAGTCGTATCCCAATCAAAAGGAATTACAAGTAATCATCAATTTCACCCAAAAAGCAACCATTAACGCAACCTTATCTTCACTCCGATAAGCACTCTCATCCACCACCACAATCCCTCACTTCTCTTGGACGAACAACGATGAACACCCTCCTCATCTGTGCACTCACTCTTACCCTCCTCGGCGCTGGTGTCCTCTCTCTCCTTCCTGTACGAGTACGACGACAGAAAACGCCTTTGGAGAGGGTACGAGCGAGTCAACGGGCGAGAGAGAGGGAGATGCCCAGGAGAGCAAAGTCTGTAGAGCAGGCAGCAGTGCCAGAAGTCGACCTGCAAAGAGCGCAATCACACCCATGTGCGAGTAAACGGTCCCAAGCACCTTCCTCACACCCACACCCACACCAACATCCGCAACCCCCACAACAACCTGAACAGCAGAACGATATCCGCCGAGAACGTGAACGTAGACGACGACGACGAACGGCCTCTACTACCCGACCAATGGACCAATCCCCTCCAGCCCCTGCTCCCCCAAGGCAAACACAAACGCAAACCCAGACCTTCTCCCTCGAGCTCGAGCCTGAGCTGCTCACCCTCCTCGCAGAGCGCGATAGGGAACAGCGTCAACGGGCTAATTCCCTCCCTTCCAGGCCGAGGAAGGGGACATTTTCCGCGAATGCTAATGCTCCTAGCAACCGGCCTGCGAAAAGGAGATCCTCGCTTGACCCTTCCGCACCCGAGTTCACCCCTTCCTCCCTCTCGCTAGCTCTCTCCCTCACCCGTTCTATCTCACCTCCCACCCTCTCCCCAAGCATATCCAACTCCACCCTCTCCCTCTCACCTCCCGACTCCCCCACCGACCCGCGCATCCCCTTCCCCCTCCCCCCATTCGCAGACCCCCTCGCCTCGGAACACAAGATCTTCCGTAGGCAGCCGTACGACGCCTTCCTCCTCCTGGACGTCGAAGCTACATGCGACGAAGGAGTAGGGTTCGACTACCCTAACGAGATAATCGTGCGTCCCCCGCTCCTCCCTGTATAACCCAACTAACCCGCACCAGGAATGGCCCGTCGTACTAATGCGATGGAACGAGATGGATACTTCGGGCCGTATGGCCTCCCTAACCCCATTCGCCGAGTTCCGCAGCTTCGTTCGTCCGACCTGGGCCACCCAGCTCACGCCCTTCTGCACTTCCCTCACCGGCATAACCCAGTCTCACATCAACAACGCACCCACGTTCCCGGAGGTGCTAGCCCAGTTCAGGGAGTTCCTCGTCCTCCACGGTCTGTTGGATCCGGAAACGGACGAGCAGCTAGTCAGGTACACGTTCGTTACGGACGGACCGTGGGACTTGAGAGACTTTTTGGTAAAACAGTGTTGGCTTTCTGATATCCCCGTGCCGGCGTGGGTAGGCCAGGAGGTGGTGGATGTCCGACAGCTGGTTAGGGTCGCTCTGCGCACGTTTGATGAAACAGATCCGGACACTGAACCTGAACCTGAACCCGAACCCGAACCGGCACAACCAGAAGGAGAACCAGAGAGAGAGCGAGAAAGAGGGACGAAACACACAGGCCTTTCCCTCCCCTGTCAACTGCACAACCTCTCCCTCCCCCCCTTCCAAGGCCGTCAACACTCTGGAATCGACGACGCGAGGAACGTCGCTCGCGTCTTGCAGGAACTTGCGAGGCGGGGCTGGGTCGTCGAAAGGAATTCATCGCTCATGTTGGGGGAGTGGGGCTTGGGCTGGGACTGGATGGGCCCGACTAGGGGAAGTGTCGTTAGGGGGGAGAAGTGGAAAGGTTGGGCGCCTGGGCGGGAAGACTGGGAGCAGGGGGAACCTGTTGACTCTACTGCCAACCCGGATCCTGTTGATGTGTCGGACGACAACCTCCTCCTGTTGGACTCGCATTCCCCGCAAGACCTGTTGCAGGACCGGCAGGAGAACCAAAGACAACGACTGCGAATGCTGCTTTCCCCCATCCCGGAATCGGCACCTCCCACTCCTTTTGCCCCTTCGCCGGAGCTGGTCGAGACTCTTTGAACACGCTGGAACATGCGACATGCGATAGATATGCGCACGATGTGATACAGCGAGTATGATACGATACAACACGGTCCGACTAGAGGAGCGGACTGCCCCTGTCGGGGATCTACAACCTCCAAGCTCCAGTCTACAATGTACGATGTACGATGTACGATCTGCACTCTGTATGTACCCTACACTCGACCCGGACCTCGCCGCCGGTCTGCGAAGCTCGACTAAAAAACGACGCTCCCTCTGCCAGTGGCAATGGATTTGCCTTTTTTCAATTTTCTTCTCTTTTCCCCCGTTTGCTTCTAGCTTCTTTGGCTCTGGTTTCGCTTTGGTTTCGCTTTCAGTTCCGGTCGAGTGAGTGTACTTCTATAGTCGGGTGGCCTCGGGAAGGCGTGTACTATCATATCACCTGAGGAGTTGCTAGGGTGGGTTGTCGGGGAGGAAAGGGAGGTCGAGGAATCTGTAACGAATGAAGAAATAAAGTAACTATCTTAGATAAGTTAGACATAAAACCCAAATAAGGGCTTGCCAATCAAAATTGCGCAAAACGCACTAGACTGATAACATGTGTCGCGATAACGAGCCGACACTACTTCTCATGATGTTGATGTTGATGGGAGATAACGGACAAGTAGGAATTGATTACAGTGCATAATTATCGGGGTCTTCTGAAAATCAATCCAAAAGTGGGCATGTCCCCGCTCGCCGTCGGGCCAAAATCCCAAGATCCGGCGGTATCCACCTGTGCTCACTCCTGTTACACCGAAGGGCGACGGCCGGAAGTCGCCCCGACGCCCAATTCCGTGCTCTTGGTACCGGCACCAGCAGCGGCGGCGGCGGCTTCCTTCGCCTGCTGTTTCTGTTTTGCATGCTCTTTGAGCGTGTTCCACCTGTCTTTGTACTTTTTGTAATCTGCCTTCTGTAGAGATCAGTCAGCACAGCCGGGCGATAACGAGTGAGTTGAACGGAAAAAGAAGAGAAGACGGACTGGGAGGACTCACGTTCTTCTCATTCTCGATTCGCAACTTCATCGACTCCTCCTCGGCAGCCTTGAGCTTCGCACGAACGGACTCGAGCTCCTCGAGGTGCTTCTTCTCCCTCTCAGATGCTTGACGGTGTGCTTCCTCGCGTTTCTCCCTCTCCGCCTCGCGGGCCCGTTCTTCCTTCTCCTTCTCAGCCTCGCGGACCCGTTTCTCCTCTGGTTCTTTCGCCGCTGCAGCAGGGTCGGGCCGGTCAAGGACACCAGCCGGCGGCTGGGGACTGACTGCTCCTCCTTCGCTGGGACGGAGCATCTGCTCTCCACGTCTCGAAGAGGTCAACCCTCCAAGCCCATGCCTAACACCTTCAAGGATAACGCTCTCCCTCCCCCTCCTCATATCCGCCAAGCTATCCCTCAACATGCCCAAATTCGCCTTCTCCTTCCTTTCCTTCTCCTTCAGCGCTGCTTCCTTCTCCGCCAACGCTTCTTGTGTGCTTTGCAGTGTCTTGGAAAGGGAGTCGACGTGCTGCTTCAGGGCGATATTCTCGTAGTGCAGCTCCTCCCGAGTTTTGGGTCGCATGGGAGGATAGGAATGCTTCCCATTTCCGGGGGAAGCTGTAAGAGGGGGAGAAGCAGTAGGCATCACCAGATAAAAGTCCTCCTCTTCGTCGGAGGAAAATGTCTCCGCTACAATGTATGCTCAGTCAAGAACGCAATCTGCAAAATTCACGACTGCGTACATTCTTCGTCGCTCAGGTCAGGCACAGCGGGGGCCTTGCTCCGATTCGCCTTCGAGGGTGTCGCGGAGGGTGAAAGGCTCGCTACCCGAGGAGGACTGGGAACAGGCGCTGAGAGCTCCCCGTTCAGCGGGACCGTAGCCCACGCAACCGGAGCAGAGAGGTTCTCAAGTACACCTTGCATGATCGTCCAGAATTGGTTGAATGGATCTGACGGGTCCTGTGAACGCCCGAAAAGGGGGTATAAGTACGATGCCCTGATGTGACGAATATGTAGCAAATGGCTGGTAGCATGGAAAGAGGCCAAAATAGCGAGAGAAGACGCACGTTATCTGCCAACATCATGAACGACTCTCCTGGAGGTGTGAGGGGAGTGGTATGTGGCAGTTCTGTTTTTGTCCACTAGCTGAAAAGTGGTCAAAGGAAAGCGGCACACCTGTTTTTTGTCCACCACCGGCATTTACATCCCCACTCTCCTTCATTGCACTCTCCAACCGGTCAATCCCATTCGCTCTCGCCTTCGACCGAACATCGCTTTCCCGCTCGGGGGTAGAAGAAAGCCGGTCGCGGGAATCGCTTCGCGGACGTGAACGGGAAGCACCGCGGGAGAGTGACGGTGCTCGGGAAGCTTGATTCGAGGTGTGCTCTGCACGTCTTTGGAGATCTTTTGAACGGCGAGTCCACTCTTCCTGAAGCTTTTGCATCGTGCTCTTCACCTGCATGCCCACGTAAACCTTATGCGGGAAGAGGAGATGAGGGAAAGGCGCACCGAAGGGTCAGAAACAGTCGTCTCCTCCCCCGCACGTCCATAGCTCTCACTCCCTTTCCTCGCCATCTCCAGAGCCTTCCCGACCTCTCCGTCCAGCTCAAATCGTTCCGCTCGAGCAGCATATTCGTGCCCCTATGTATGTCAGATAGACGCTCGCTGGCAGATGGCAGGAATGACTCACCAACTCGAGAGCACTTTGAGTGGTATGTGATGGTCCTGGTGGGCACGTAGACATGGTCGACAGTGACAGGGTGTTTACCTCTGAGAATATCAAGTGGTCAGTCGTAGAAATGATTGTCTGTGACGCGGCCGCTCTCGGCATTGATATTCACGTGCTTGAATGGTCACGTGTCTTATACTGAGCGCGTCCCTCATTGTTGAGCACTTTGCTTGAACAGCGACGACAACGACGATGGCCCCTTCTGCCACTGTACAAGAACATATGTACGCATACATCTTATTATATGCTTGTTGATATGGACTGACAGCGTTCAGCGATGTGATATCCCAAGTTATCTCACTGGTGGACTATCATGCTGACCTGAGGACGGTCAAGAACGCGACAGAACGGATGAAAGCGCGCCAAACAGCAAGAGAGCGGGAGGCAGAGGACAGCCGTGCTGCTCTTCGTGGTACGCCTATTTATTTTTAGATTGATACCTAATCCAATATTGACATCGTTGGGTAGCACTATCCAGGCAGCTAGAATCGTCTCGCGCAGCCGCCACCCGCCCCTCTACGGTCCCCTCCCAAGCCGCCCACTCCGAGTCCCTAATCCAAGCCGACGCGACCAAGTTCCAGCTCGCGAAAAGTATAAATGACGAGGAAGGCAGCGTGGCGCAGAAAGAGGCCGAGGTGGGGCGGCTGAGGGAAGAGCTGGTTCGGTTGGAAGCTTGGGATCCTGAGGGGGAGTGGGAGGTGGACTCTTATGCGTATGTCTGCTTTCTTTTGTTCTGGGGGGATAGGAGATGAGGGATGGAATGCTGATTTTGTGCGTAGAATGAGGCTCAAGGTGATGCACGACCTCGGGTTCGAGTTCGTCCCTGGTGTCGAAGGGAGGCTCCTAATCCGTACGCCTTCGTTATGCACCCTGCACTCTTTCTGACGCGTCTCCAGGCTCGGACAAGGACAGAACGCTCCACTCGTATGACTATGATCCGGCAAAGTCAAAGGTGCAGAACGTGAATGAGATATGGAGGTTGGCAGGGTTGACGGCGTGAGCTTCGCACATATGGACGAGGGTGTTCATGTTGGATGTACGATTCCAGGCTTGTAATCTGTTTGTTTATCCTTTGATTAGTCTCCAGAAGAGACGATTCGTGTGTACCAAGCTGTTGTAAAGCATGAAAGCTGCAAATCATCAGTTGACAGTAAACTTGGGACCGCTAGAATACATTGATTTCCAACCACCATATCCACCTCATCATCACCTCTCGTCATTCGACGCACTCAAATGGTCTTCATCCCCCAAAGGTCGTCTCCCAAATATGTCACGCTCTCCACCGCAACACCCTTATTGACCTTCTTGACCTCCTCCGAATCTAGCTTCATGATCCCCACACCAGCCGCATGCTCTTTCCCTTCTGCCATGATGGCTACTACCGTGCCTTCGGGGATTAGGCTTTCGGCAAGGGGGAGGAAACCGCCTGGGGAGGTGAGGCCAGGGCACATCATCGATGCGCCCGAGAGGAGGAACTTGATAGCCCCGCGATCTATGCCTACATGCGGGAGGAGGTTGGGATCTGTATCAAGCATAAACCCGTCAGCACGTTCCATCACCAATGCAACAGGAGAGGACAATGAACAGAACTGACACTTATGCACCAACCTCAGTGTAGGAAACAGCGGCCCGTCAAAATGCTGGAACCACAGCGGCTCGCCATGCAGCGCATAGATGCTCAGGTGGTCTCTACATTTCACCAGGGTGATGTTCTCCTTCTTTGGCCAGATATACTCGAGCAATGGGGTGTCGGGCTCCTCTGAGGGCTGGGAGAGGAGCGGACATTGTTTGAGCAGAGAAGCGCGGATGGCCCGTTGAGCTGAGGACTTGATAGATGTTTGGGAGGAAATGTCTTCTTTTGTGAATCTGTATCATGTTAAATTGTAGATATGTATCTAATTGATGTTGTCCATACTTCTTGAACATTGTTGAATGATGATTGGTTGATGGAAAGGAGCGCCGGGAAAGGAGTTGGTCAATGAACGTGTAATGGTCCACACAGCCGCTCCAGTGCTACGAATATAATTATCCCGACAACCGAGTCACAGCAACCAACAAACACCTTAGACTCTTTCTATATTCTATTATTCTACTATTGTAGAATTGTACACTTTTACTACAGTATCAACATGGTCAAGAACGTATACTTATACCGTCATGTACGCACTTCCCTCATCTCCTCGTTTCTCACTAACAACACCAGGCTCAAGCAGAACACAACGCCACGTCAAACTGGGGTATCCCCGACCCAACCCTCACCCCGCTCGGTCGTGCCCAATCAAGTGACATATTCGCCGCCTTCAAGGAACAGTTCAGCGGTGCCACTAGCCCCCAACCGCTGCTTGTCTGCTCCCCGTTGAGGAGAACGGTGGAGACGATGCTCCTTGGTTTCCCGGAGTGGGTCAAGCCTGTGTTCATGCCCGAATTACAGGGTGCGTCTCATTCCTCCTTATTACGCTCAAGCTGACAGCATGACACACTATAGAAATAAACGACCTGCCCTGCGACACCGGTTCGAGCGCTTCCCGGCTCTCCGAGCTCTTCCCAGAACTCGACTTCACCTCCCTCCCCTCGGACTGGAACACCAAGCGCGGCCCCTGGGCTCCGGAAGAACAAGCGCTCCAAGCGCGAGCCCGAGTCGTTCGCCGGTGGCTCAGAGAGCAGCCGGGGGAAAACGCGGTCGTCGTTTCCCACGGGGACTTTTTGAGGTATTATCTAGCTTCGGGGGCGGATGAGGAGCCTCAGGTAGGCGTCTCTCCATTCTTTCGGGGGTAATGCTGATTTGGTGGGGTAGGCGCATTGGGATAATGCGGAGGGACGGTTGTACGTGTTTGAAAGCCATGAGGAGGGGGATGAGAAGGCCTGGCTCGTTCGGATAGAAGAGAAGACGGCTAAGGTGCCTGACCCGCAGGACGGGAGCCGTACGTCTGCTGAGATGAGGGAGTAGGAGATGAAGTGCGAGAGGAATAGATGTTCTGTTTTATGGAATAGAAGTCCTTGTGTGGGTAGAGGTCTGTATTACAATACCCACGAGCGCGTTACTCAAGAATATGAACCAAGTCTATTTACCACCTCTGCCAAGTCACGCAAGCTAGTCAAGCCAGACGAACGTCGTCGGCGCCTCTACGAGCGACGAGTTGAGCCTTGCCATAAGCGTGAGGTTGGCACCTCCGTTCACGCGCTCGTATACCGCTACTCCCCCACTACCTTGTCCGCCGACGATCACGTACTGATCCTGGTCCCCGCCGAGCATCATCCCGCGGATCCCGTACAACCCCGTGCGCACCTGTTACGCACCTCAGATCAGGCATAAGTCATAGGAAAGAGCGTACCTGAGCGATCACCGTCAGCGGGTCGGGAGTCATGATAGCCACTGTGTCTCCCGCGGGGTCCGGATCCCACCTATTGCTGACATACAGGTACTGCTCGTCATACAACGCGTTGATTGGGCTTAACAGGATCTCCGCAGTAGCGATCGTAGTGTTGTCCCCTCCCTCCGGGATGGTAGGCACCATCGCCACCAGCTCGGGTTGGATACCAGATGAGAGGGAAGGGATCGTCTGCTGTGTGACGGTGTTCGCGAGCTCGTGGACCATGTACAGGTAGGTGGTGGGAGACTCGAAGTCATCGTCGGGCAGAGGAGGGGTGTAGAGGACACCGTGCCGCGGTCCGGAACCGAGTGGCTGCTGGATGTAGCCCGCGATGTTATACGTGTTGGGAGCAGTGCTCGTCAGCCGCCAGACCTTATCTGAGCCCTTGCAAAGAGGTGAGCGAGGGGGTAAGGGGGGCCGGAGGAGAGACTCACGAGATCAGGAACGAGCAGCTCTTGGCTGTTCGTGGCGCCGTTCTGAAAGACCATGTGCGGGTGGGCACTCGTTTGCCGGGCAAGGTTGGGCCCGGAGCCGTTGAAGGCCACCAACCCCTGCGGAGGCGGGGAAGTGAGCGTGACACCGTCCAGTTCGAGCGGGATGACGGCGCCGTTGCCAGAGTTATACTAATCCATCCATGTCAGGTGCGGACAGGAAAGGATAGACGACATACGTTCATCGCTACGACATCGCGTAGATTGCTGAGCACGCCAACGTACGCCGGAGCGCTGCCGTACGTGCTGACGTTGCTGACGATCCTGGCTGACCCATCCGGCTGGATGAGGAAGCTGGCTACCCCGCCAGCATCGATTTCTTGGGATCCGAAGACAATGGAGCAGTTCGTGGGATGTGGTGCGAGCCAGGAAGCGTTTATCCCGCTTGGAGACTGGTTCAAGATCTCCAACGTCGGAGGGCTGACATACGGGTTGAAGAGCAGAGTGGTGAGCAGGGTGCTATACCCCCCAACCAAGATCCTGTACGCCATAGTGGGAACAAACGACGATGTCTGATAAAAGACTACACGTAGCCCAACTGCGCCGTTTATAAGCCATTAACAGCATGAGGTAGAACCAGATGGTCCGAATGCGCAGGTTCAGGCCACCAGCGCGGCAGAAGATCGTTGCTCCGAAAGGCACATGGTAGTCGGTGACGTGACATTCCAGCTGGTTCGTCCGGTTCAGGCTGGATAGTCCATCCTCGAGGCATAAAAGAGGGCACAAGGTCAGCTCATAGCTGTACTTGCCTCCACTGGATAAACCCAAATGCGGGAGCAATGGAAGATGAGGAACGGAAGATGAGGAACGAAGCGAAGCAGAAATCTGGTTGTTGCCAGTCTGAACACGTTGAAGGCCGGTAGGAACGGAACATTGCAACCAGACTGGATACCCAGGAGACATTAAAGCATCGGAGCAACGGGTCATGAGCGTGCAGGGGAGGGGGAGTCAGTCTTGTTTGGCAGGTATGTGCTGGCAAGTAGAGTCATACATCTAGAAAGGGGACGGATATAGATCGTAATTTCATAAATCGATCGCACTGATAACCAGAGATATCAGTGGGGAAACGTGGAGGCATCACACCGCTGCCGCCGCATCTTTGACGGCTTTTTCCGCCTTCGCGTCCGCTGCGTCGTCCTTCTCCACATCGGCTTCAGCCTCTTCCACCTCTGCAGGTGGCTCGTCAATAATATCGGCCTATATTTAGCTGTTAGTTTTCATTCGTGTGGAGATATAAGAGTTGGCGTACCTCAGCATCCTTGCTGCCGACCACAACAGCATTGATGGAAAACATAACCTGCACTTTCTCCTTCCCATCTCCTTCGCCGCCCATTAATTGCACGACCGTCCGCTTCTGTCCTTTCCATCCATAGCTTCCGGTTCCAAAATCGCAGGGGAGCATTGTGATGCTCGCGATGTGTCCTACATCTTGGGCCGAAGGCTCAGCGGAGGATGGAACATCGATTGTTGGAGGTGTGTGGGTGATATGGATATGTAGGGGCAAGGCTGCTGATTTGAATGCACTCGATGGCATCGGCTGGAAAGATGTTGTATGTGCTTCAGATTTACAATAAATCAACAAAACACACGGACCTTCTTCCCCTTCTTGGATTTGTTATTGCTCTGCGCGGTGGCAACGTCTTTCGAGTCGGTTTTCGCGACCTTGGACGAGCGCGTCTGCCTGTCCGAGGATGCGGGCGCTGAGCGTTTTTCGGCGCGAGGTGACATCCTGTAAGGTTGAACAAGAGGTCGAGGAGATGGTGGTTAGGATGAAAGAGAAATTATTATAATTGTGGTGTCTAGGAGACAACTTCAGTGGCGTTGTCAGGACATCGGGTTACGTCATATTTGCGGGGAAACCCTAGAAAGTAATCTACCTTTTTCAGCTGCACTTTCAACGTTTAGGGAAAGCGTTGAGGACCAGAACGTCTGTCTATGAATTCTCCTCTTCAAATTGTGTTCATATCTTCCATCGATAATCGTCACAACCGCTACAAGCTCCAACACTGACTGCGCACTAAGCACTCCACAAGCCCATCGGCAACCCATTCAGAATCTTCTCCACCAAAGCGCGCTTCATAAACTGTTCTTCGGCCAGTGCACGGGTGGTCTGAAAACCAGCATAAGGCGTATTTCATGAAGGTCACAAAACTCAAACGCACCTTGATAAATTTGTCCAAATCGATCCGTCCCGAGTTGAGCGCCCGATGCAGGTGGTAGATTGTATCCTCGATCGCATTGTCCTCTGCGACCAGATCGATAAGCCTTGTGAAGCACATGAGTCAATGTACAACAATTGCTCCAGATAAATGACTTACTGATTCCCAACAATTGTGTCTGCACACACAATCTCGTCCACTCCTGGCTCGCCCCTCGCCTTCACATCCGCCAACCGTCCTTCTGCCTCCCTGACGACGCCCTCCAACCTCGCCACCACTCCCAAGCACACGTCCCGCACCGCGGCCAAACGCGCCATCTCATCCTGTATCCTTGCTGGCCCTTGCTCTAGCTCGCTCCGCAACTTTTGCAGCCGATCCATCTCTGCAGACGCGGCGGCGAGGTGTTGCTGTAGCCTCTGCTGCACAAGAGGGAGGAGAGTGACATGAAGCTGGACCAGATGGGGGTTCGGTGGAAGAGGTGGTGGTGGTGGGGACGCGGAGCGCGGGGATGGGTCAGGGTCGTCCGAAGAGAGAAAGTCAGGTTGAGGAATCCGCGGGCGGGGCTGGGGTTGCTGCACCGCGGCGACAGACGCGGGGAGCGAGGGATAGACCGATGGCTGCCGAGGCGGCATAGGAATTGCTGGTGGTGGTGCGTAAGTGGGTTGCGGTTGCTGAGGTATTGATGCACTAGAGGGTGCCCAAGACGCAGACCGAACGTGTGCAGGCTGCGGCGGCAGCTGGGGTGGTTGGTTCGGTTGTGTCTGGGGTGGTTGACCCGGTTGACCTGGTGGCAAATGAATGGGCTGCCCAACCGAATACTGTGTAGGCTGAGAAGAGTAAGGTACAGGCGTCTGCTGTGTCCGCTGTGGGGGATAGGGAGCAGCAGGCAGAGGTGGTTGTTGCTGACCGGTGTAAGGTGTAGGCTGAGGCTGGGGCTGTGGTTGAGCAGGTGAAAAAGGTTGGGAAACTGGGGCATGTCCAGGAGAGAAAGGCGGCGGCGGTCCCTGCTGTGGCTGCACGAACGTCGGTGCTTGCCCCGGATGCGGTGGCACCTGAGGCGGCGAGCCGGGCTGACCACTGACGGGTCTAGGAGAATATGGTGTTGGAGGTGTCCCTTGCGGACGGAGAGAGGTGCGCGCGACATGTGCGTAGGGGTGCGGCTGGTGTGGGGGGTGCGGGGGAACGGGGGGTGAACCCACAGAGAGTGGCCGTCCAGATGGGGGATGGATATGTGTTCCGTTAGGCGGTGGAAGAGGTGGTGGTGGCCGGCTACGCAACTATTCGAAAGATCAGGGTTAACGCACAGAACAGGTTGTAACGGACGTACAGGGGATGCCCAGCCTGGGCTACCAGCCCTGGCATCCACACTACCCGGTGGCGGAGGCCGGGGAGGCGGCATCGGGGGTCTGTCTCCTGGTCCTCCTGTGTAGGAGGCACCTGACATCGGTCGTGCTGGAGCAGCAGACGGCACCGAGGGTGTTGGCCCTTGGGATGTTCGTTCCTCCTTCGTCTTCCGGTATAGAGGCGGTTCACGGCTGAAGACATCGGTCATGGCTTCGAGTAATGTGCGTAAGTTACACGTCTGTAATAGATCAGCGGATGTCATCAAAGGCAATATGAAGCGCACCTCGCCCTTTCTCCCCCAACTCTTGAGGTATTCACCCGACCATTTCCCACTTGGATCTAAGTCTTTCCCAGCTTTCACTACCATATCCTTCGTTGGTACTACAAACGCCATTGGTGGCTCGTTCGGATAATCGAAGGGTATCCAGACCGCTATTGGTATATTGTACGATGCGCCTCGGTATGATATTTGCAGTAGACCAGCAAGCGATAGGAGATGGTGGGAACGGCCATCGTCATAAACTGCCAGAGCAAAATCTGAACTCTAAATTCACGATCGTATTCATTGTGTATACTCACTGAACGATTCTCTCTTCGGTTTCAACAGGTGGTACGCATTGAGTGCCGTCTCAATATGAGCAAATGCAAGATCCCGGTTCGAATAGTCTACAAGCTCGCTGCGCAGCCAGTTCTGCAGACTGCTGGTATTCGAGCCAGAAGGTCGTCCATTCATCGTTCCTTCCTTGTTTCGCTAGCAAGTGAAGTGAAGTAAAGTCTTATATAATGAATAGCATAACCTGACTGGAAAAGGCGGTGAAAGTCACGGTGGACAGGGACGATGAGCAGGAGGTGTGGCGCTGTCAGAAGGACCCGACTTGACTTTGACTGTGTTCAGAATGATCACCATATCTCTTCAACTACTGCACAATGCTATCTGTGTTCGGAAATCTGCCGCCCACTTCTATCTACGTGGGTTAGACGCTGGAGCTGCCTCTTCGACTTATGAACGTTCAGTTGTCTGGGCGGAGTGACGTTCATCATTATCAGGGACATCCTGTGATGGAGTGGAGGGCCGTCATCTATTCAATTGAAATTCTCACGAAGGTACACCCCACATGTCGTGCTTTTCCATCGAAGTGATGGTCATCACCTGAGAAGTATAAATATGGATGAGGAGCACCGCGCTAGCTCAGCGAACGATCCCAGCTTATCTGCTTGTCCCAAACCTCATTGTCTCGAGCTCTCACTATGGCCTATCTTGCTAAACCATCAGGGGATCATTGCTTCCAAGCCGTCAAGCATGAGGGAACTCCTACTGGTGTGACGGAGGAGATCGGTGGCATCAAGTGTTACGTTGGCTACCCACCCGACAAGAAGACGGACAAGATCGTTATGTTCTTCTGTGATGTGTATGGACCGTGGTACTTGAACAATCAGCTTCTCATTGACTTCTTTGCCCTGCGAGGTAGGAAAAATGTTGTTAATGCGAATCAAAGTGTGCTCACGTGTACGTGCAGGATATCTCGTCGTCGCTCCTGATTACTTCCAGGGTGATCAGCTCGAAGAGCTAAGCAAGAATCCCGATTTCGACCGCAAGAAGTGGATCGATGCTCACGTACCATCCTCGCAGTCTATTGTGGTGAATTTCACGGCAGCGATAAAGGAGAAGTACGGCACTAAGAAAGTCGGCTGTGTTGGATATTGCTTCGGCGGCCAGCACGTCATGAAATCGCTCACCAAGGGTGACGCTATCGCGGGTGCCTTTGTTCATCCGGCCTTCATCAAGGAGAAGGACTTCGAGGAGATGAAGCAGGGTGCGGCTTTCTTCTCGTGCGCCGAGACAGATGGCACATTCCCGGCAGAGTTGCGTCACAAAGCTGGTACGGTACATTCGTTGCCGCCTTCTCCGCTCGCCCTTACATCATGTTCTCCAGAGGCGATCGTTCAAGCGAACAAGCTGAACTATCACTTCCAGCTCTTCTCAGGAGTCACACATGGCTTTGCGATCCGTGGTGACCCGAAGGACGAAAATCAGCGTACGTGATCCATGATCTAGCTCACCCAACCGCTCTTATTAAACGTCGCCTCCAGGTTGGGCGAAGGAACAAAGTGCTTGGGGCATTTCGGGCTGGATCGATCGCTTCCTCCAGTAGGATTCAAGACTGGTTCACGCGTGTATGTGGTGTACGAGTCAATTCCATGTCTGAGAATATACTGGTGTCGAAGGACTGCATTTCCACAAATGTAATTCGTCCAACCATATTGAGAAGTATCCATTGCTCAGTCGCATCGGACAAACGAAGAGAAGGACGTGTGTTTCATCTACACAAAGTACGTAGAGAAAGACTGAATGGACCGCTTCACTACTCCATCAGAACAGCTACATGATCGGACTGGGTTGGAAGCACACGCATTCATCGGCATCATTTCTCTCAGCCAACCATTTACCATGCTCCTCTCGGAAATCCAAACATCCAGCTCATCAGGCCTTGTAAAAAGACATCTCGATGAATGATGCAAATCTCAGAATCCTGCTTGATCAAAGGTAGTCCTCTGCCAGAGGTTAATGTATTGACAATGGTGAAACAATGACCATACCATCGCCAATGAAGCGAGTCACATCCGACAGAACAGTTTTCATTTTCTCCATTCGAATAGCAGCACTTGGTTTTGATAGGCAGTTGACCGATAGGCATGAATGGTCCTTCATCGGAAATAAACGGGGAGTTCGGACGGGAGAGTCCACACAAGAGATCGACGGTGTTCGAGACAGTGCCTCTCGTACGATATCTCGCCAATCTGGGTAGGAGATGCGTGCACCTGAAGAAGGACACCAATCACAGTGGAAAGTCTGATCGAATTGCTGTAGCACATAGGCTATTCTTTTCGAGCGTAAATCGTAGAGTTTCAGGAAGTCTTGAGCTGACAGCACACCAATGTCAGCATGCAGACACGCATGGAAAGGATCATACAGCTCCACGAGTCGGCGACCTGCAGCTCGCTTCAGTGTTTTCAGACTGCTCAATTGGCAGGCTGCTACGTAAATTGCCATTGGCCGTGCATCGAGAAATTGAGGTTTGAGCAACAGAGAAGTTAGCTGCCCAAGCAAGCCATCCATAAGCCATTTATCGGCAGCGAAAACAAGATCAATGACTTCCTCCACTGCAGTATGTTCGGGCCTTTGAATCGGATAGATATGATAGAGAAGTCCTTTGATGATTGTAGCACGCTCGTCCCAGTAAATGGCATGCTCTGGTAAAGTTCCAGCCAATGATGCTGGGGCAGTAAGGAACATGTTCTTCCAAAATTCCGATGCGAGAATCAGGACGGCCTTGTATACTCGGAACAGATGCCCATCGTTTGATATGATCCACATGTCGGCATCCTCGTCAAGGAATACAGGGGGAACTGCAAACTGTTCAGATTGCACTTCGGCGTCTATTTCTGTGGAGATAGCTTTGTCTTGGGCAGACACTATCGTAGAGCCAAATCAGATCGCCGTGCGCACATTGACGGTGTATAGCTCTCTCACTCTGGTCTTGAATAATTGGGATCAAGTGACTGAGATCAAGTGACACACGGGCAGGAGGGAGGCAAGGGCAAAGACGATCTTGACTGCAGTGCCAGGTATTTGTGCATCTGGTCGACTGCCTCATGGACTGCACGTGCCCCGGTCAATATATTGTGAGTATGAATATGTCTGCGTAGAGAACTAAAATCTCCATTGAAGCTAGCGAACAAGTCGGGGATGATGCGACTTTCCAAAGCATTAACTGTGATGGGCGGGAAATCCGACGCCATCCCCGGATTGATGCAGGTGGATCCGAAGCTCGACAGCCCGGAATATCCCATTCTGACTTCCAACAGACAATTAACAAGTCCGGTCAGCCCTTATCTCTGATACTTCGCTTGCACTGGATACGCATGACCGTACAATTCGACTGTGGAACTTTCACAGCAAGCAAGAAGGCAGACTAGAAACTTCATTAGATGAAAGCACTGAAGAACTCCAACTCACACGGGTTTTGCAAATGATGCTTGAGAGGCATGAAGCGGCGTCTACTTGGCATGTCAACTCTCGATGTGGTTTTCCGTAGAGAGATATGTACTGTGGGCCATTAAATGTGCTTCCTCCTGATCATTCTTGGCTTTCTACAAACCAGATTCTCATTGCCAAACTTTGCTGACATTTGAATTGTCCTTAAATGCCATCGACCTCGCGTTTGAATTTTGTGAGACGTTCCCCAATAGTTTTCTGGCTACAATGCCAGCAGTCGCAATATTTGGAGCCGGAGTTCCAAACCATGTCCATGTACTGTGTTCCAAAGACATTGACGATAAGACTCGATGATAACGCCCCTTCCAGGTGTCTTGTTATGTCTTTCATAAGCGAAGATACGCTAGGACTGTTGCAGAACAGATTGGCGGACATTGCCCCTTTGAACTCTTGGATGCAGCTCTGGCGTAGATCGTACCACCGGGCTAGTTCTGTGACATCAATGTCCTCGAGGTCTGCACGAAATCGCTTGTCCATCGGATCATGTTGTTTGACGAATTCATGAATAGCCTTCTCGTGGATGTCTTTGAGCTCTAGCCGCGATGCCAACTTTATCACCTGGATGGGTCGCTGATCGAGAAAGTTGAGGAGCTCAACTTTCACACACTCCGTGGCACTCGCCATTCCCCACTTCTCGGCCACGATAAGGACCCGCGAAACCTGGTCCAGATCGATGAGAGTAGGCTTCGGCATAGGATACAGCTGGTAGAGCAAGAGCACGATGAGGTCGGCGGGTTCGTCCCATTTCACGGGTTCGTCGTCATTTCCATGACCGGGATGCGCGTGTTTGAACATGTCTCGAAAGAATTGCGAGCCGAAAACGAGGATGCCCTTGAATATTTTGAAGATCACTCCGTCCGATGATTTGAGCGTGAGATCTGCGTCTGGATCCAGAAATACAGCCGGCACTTCGAAGGGGACGGACATTGTGTGCGGCGATGAACGACAGAGATGTACAAGAGAGGAACAAGGATAATGTGGCTTTACGCCAGCCAGTTATATATAGTCTTGATGACGCAAGTTGATGGCTGGAAAGAGGCTTGTTGATGCGCCGAAGGAGGTGTCCTATCACGCGCCTCCAAAATGATCCGAATTAGTCCATCTCCGTGCACGGTGAATGCAGATTCTGTGAGATGCCAATCCTGAGCACAACGTTTGCGTCTCCACTTTAACTCTAGCCCATGGGTCGCGATCGCGAAGGGGATGACAAATGCGACCTGTGCAATTCGAGAGGAACGCGACGCAGCTAGGAGCAGCCAGGAAATATTGGTTTGTGCCGCGTTGATTCGAGTGACTGGTTTGATACACATAAACCAGGCTGTGATAAAAGTACAAGGTACCGGAGGTCAGAGACACAGAATCCAAACGTATGCCAAGGAGTATGAATAAACAGCAAGAGGCATCGAATGAATCGTTTGGAGTATGGTCCTTCGATTTGGAATCCGGATACACTGGTCTATATATCCGCCCTGACTCAGGCCACTCCCAAGGTTCACGGCGGAGATGGTCGATTGAAGGAATTGTCAGGGCTGACAATGGTCATCTCGGTAATCGTTGACCCTTCAGGGCCGGCCTGCAGAGTTCAACTTGGTGCCTTGACGACGACTGATCTTCTGGAAGCTCAGGGTTTCCGTGTCTTTTCTTGACGACTCCGCTGTCTGCAGGGATTCGTACCTGCGCATGAGGGGTACTTGCAGGGTTCCAAGAGTTAATGCGGCCCTGCAGGCACCAGGTACAGGAGCGCATTCTGGTCAGCCAGTTGTACGTTCGAAGTTGAGAGGCATATTAGACATTGTTGTAAAGACGTGATGGTCTTGTCGGTCAGTTGCTACCTTGAAAATCTGAAGAAACAGAGTCTCGGAGTGATCGAATCTCATGTGATGAGGAACAAATACGGCCGCTCGTGAGGCAAGGCGAGCCAACAGAGTGGGTTTTGGCTTCGACTCCAGGAGAACAATCGGAATAAGCTGGAGGTTACTTCTCCGGAGTGGTCGGACCGCCGCACTGTATTATATCTTCTCCGTGTTGTGGTAAAGTCGACTGATCTGCGAGCTTGAAGAAGCTAGGTGGCTTCTTTCGAATGCTTCAAGGGCCTGTGGGAAAGGCGGACTTGCGAGGGACACACATGGGCCACTCAATCCTTTATGAGAGGGGCAGTCGGCTGAGCTTCGCGAACCCCGCAAAGAGCGGCGTGGCCCCACATTCAGATCTCAAGCCAAAAAGTCAAAGAAGGAACACTAAATGAAAGAAGTGAGGGAATTCTAGGGAAGAAGAAGTAGTTACGAGAGTGAGAGGCTGCAGAAGCACAGTTTTAGCCAGGGTTTCACTCCGTTGCCCGGGCTCGTTTGAGCGCCGACCAAAATCACCCTCCCAACCCTCGGCAGCTTTTTTGCCTCATGCATGAGAAACAGACTCCCCCTTCCGTGGCCTCCGGGCCCTCGGCTCCGGGGTGGATAAATGGCATTTGGTGGCTGTCCTAGCGCCGGAATGCAAATTGTCCGGGAGATCACGCGCAAAAGCATCGGACCGGAGCCTTGGCGGCCCGGTGTGGTGCCGCTCGCCTGGGATCTCCCGCCCTGAGGCGCAATCGGCAGAAGACGTCAAATCTCTGCTTTCTTTTTACACTCTGGATAGGTAATTCAGTCGGTGCTGTCGGCCGCCATGCGGCATAATTTGGTGTGATTTGCGCTGATGAAAACTACGATGGCGCTGCGTTGGGCCGAGTTCGCCGTGTGCACTAGCCGGGGCTCGCAAGCTTTGCTCAGAGGTATATACACGGCGCCTCATTTGCTCGTTCAGCTTGACCGCCGTCAGGCACACTTGCACTTTCCCTTTCCTACTTGCCTTGGAGGCCCGACGCTCATTCCTACTTGACGCTTAACTCAAAGTGACTTTGTGTATACACCTTGGACCTTGTCTACCTTCCGAAGGAGGGCCGCACTACTTCCTCCTATTAGCCGAAAGCCGACATACGAACTAAAGACGCGCTGGCAGGTCACCGCACCCCCCACACGCACCAAGCATCAGGCTGTCTATAACCTCTGTCTATCGGCCTTTCCTATCCAGTTGCCCCCACATCACCCACCTCTGATCAGACACGATGGCGTCCGACGAAGGTCAATTCGCCCCCTACCGTTTCCCTCCCCACCCAGCCTTCTCACCCACCTTTACTCATTTCGACCGCGATTCGAGCGAGACGATGGTCGAGTCGCCCACTACGCCCAACCCCTTTCTGGGGAAGCGGCGGAGATCGAGTGCCTCACATCATACCGCACGTAGCAAGGAGATTGAAGAGGAGGAAACGGACCGTGATAGTGTAGGCGACGAGCCGAGCACATCTCGAGAAGGACAGGTGCAACCCCAAGTAGTCAGCAGGCCTGAGAAGCCCTATTCCAGTGTGTTCTTCTCGATTGTCCACCTAGAGCACACTCATCTTACTCATCCAACCTTCCTCTAGTCTTCACCCGCAAAGAGAAATGGTTCATTGTGTTCATGACCGCTGTGGCCGGCTTCTACTCTCCCCTCTCAGCGAATATCTACTTCCCCGCAATTCCCATTCTCTCCGAAGCGTTCCAAGAGCCCATCGAGCTCATCAATGTCACCGTCACTGTGAACATGCTCTTCCAGGGCATATCCCCGATGCTCTGGGGCAGCTTAGCCGACTCCCAACACTGCGGCCGGCGCCCAGTATATCTGGCATGCTTGCTGCTACTCACCCTTTCCTGCATCGGTCTTGCCCTCACGCCCACGAGCGCCTACTGGCTGCTCGTCTTCCTCCGGTGCTTCCAAGCCGCTGGATCGTCACCCGTGATCGCCCTAGGAGCGGGGACGATCGTGGACATCGCAACGAGTGCCGAGAGAGGTGGGTTCCTGGGCTTGTTCAATGTGGGGCCAATGATTGGGCCGTGTATTGGCCCTGTGATTGGAGGGCTGTTAGCAGACCAGATGGGCTGGAGGTGAGCTCACATCCCCTGACCTTATCCATCCAGAAGCTGATGCAGCTCCCAGATCTGTTTTCTGGTTCCTCGCCATCGCCTCGGGCGTTGCTTTCATCTTCGAATACCTCCTTTTACCGGAAACACTCCGCACGATCGTAGGCGACGGTTCAGCCCCCCCACCCAAACTGAACCGTCCCCTCATCCCCATCCTCGGCCGTGGTCGCAAGTCCGACCCTTCTTCTCCCGCCTCAGTGCCAGAGAAAGCTACCTCACACCACACGCCCCTCACCGTTCTCCGGCTCTTCCGCAACCCGGACCTGTGCCTCGTCCTCGTCTCCACCGCCATCCCTTACTCCGTTTTCTACGGCGTGATCACGACGATGTCCCCTCTGTTCCTACAAAACTATCCGTGGCTGACGGAGAGCGATATCGGCCTATGCTACCTTGCGAACGGCGGTGGCTGCCTACTGGGGAGCTTCACGGTGGGCAAGATGCTCGACTGGGAATGGCAACGCGTTCGCCGTTCTTTTGCTGCGAAAGGTCAGCTAGAAGACGGCGGCAGCGGGGCAAAGGGAGGCGTTCCCGTCGAATACGCTCGACTCCGCACCACCCCACTGTTCTGGGGCGCAGCGGCGACCTGTGTGCTATTGTATGGCTGGCTTACCAAGGCCAGGGTGCACATCGGCGTGCTTCTGCTCTTCCAATTCCTCATCGGTTTCCTCATAACCGCCCTGTTCAACATCAACCAAACACTGCTCATGGACCTGTTCCCTCAGCATGGTGCTGGTGTCACAGCGTGCAACAATCTTGTGCGGTGTTTGACGGGAGCGACATTCGTCTCCATCGAGAACTACATCCTTGACGGCGTCGGACCAGGCTGGGGATTCACGATCTTTGCGGCTATGATCGTCGCTACATATCCTGCGATGCTAGTGGAGTGGAAGCATGGGAAGAAATGGCGGAAGGCGCGGGAAGAGAGGGAGCAGAAGAAGGGCGTGGAGAGGGAAAAGAAGAGAGTGCAGAAGGAGAGAGAGATCGAGAAACGGGAGGGGGAGATGTACGAGCTTACCCAGCGGTAACGATGTCGGCCCGCTGGTTTCTGGTTTTCCCACTCATGACTGGACACGCCTTGCTCGGATGGACGGATGGAGGAAGGACAGCGCGCGAATTCGCGCATAGAATGGCTGTTTTACTAGGCATTTGTAGACTATTTCCACACGCACCTACACCTCGTCCTAGAAGGACGTAAACGCACGCAATACATAGGCAATTATCCGGTCATTTGGGGTTTGGAATATAATTCGCATTCAAATTCGGTATTGGAATACAGAGGGGTGATGAGACTTGAATTGCTTTTGGTATAGGTTGGATTGTCGGTGCTGCGATCTCCAGTTCGAACCCATGCGATGATACGGTATCGACAGCAATCTTCTGGGATTTCATGAATTGCCAACCGAGTATAAGGGCATGTCAAAATCGGCATTGACCGCGCATGGCCGCCCAACTGTACTACGATAACCACACCGAATTGTCGGTGATCTCGTCATGCACTCGCTCACTGCATCAGCCGGATATCCAATAGGTCGACTCGAAGGTGCATCTAAGCCATAGTCGGACGTGACAGAGTGTATATGCGCAGTGGCGTTGTGACCGGAAGGAAGAAAGAATGGGAAGGCGTGCAAACTACAGAGCCCCCCCAGACTGAACCATGAGAGCGATTGCCGTGGCGAGGATGAGTGCCACAACGCAGAGCAGAATCGCGCCCATGTATCTGAAGCATATGTCATAAGCATACTAGACCTGTAGGAGGCGTGGATAACGCTCACCTGAAGTTGCCCACAAAGCCCACATGTTTCTCCAGTCCGATCCTCACATCCCTGTAGCTCCACCACCCGCCGACGACAAGAGCGAGCGTGCATACAAAGTACAACGCTCCAAAGGTCATCGATGCCGGCAGTGGCATGCGAACTTCGTCCTGCTGATCAGAGTTGGGCGAAGGAAGGCGGGTGCGGAGCATGAGTGCAGAACTGATGAGGATGAAGAGGAAACACAGGCGGATGTTGGATAGCCATGTCCGCTCTAGGGCTATCGAAGCCTCAGTACCTCATCGAATTATTCATCGGAGCATGCACATACCGCAGAAATCTCTCGCAGCGCTTCCAGCATTCGGCACCAACCGATCGTCCACAACGTTCTCGCTGCTCGCAAACCGGCTCGTAGACATCTCCTCCCTGCTATTCTTCAGCGCAACAAGCGGGATAGACACCGCTTCCCTGACGGCGTGCTTGAGCTTCGCGTTGGCAGCTTCATGCCTGGTCGGGGATGAAGAGGTTGCGAAGGGGATTTGACTGTTGGATGAGCTTGGGGATAGGGTATGGGCCATGGCGCGACGATGGACAAAGATGGCGCAAGGGGAGAACAAGGAATCCACTTCACGTACCCTGCTTTATGAAGGGTCTTGCCGTAACTATCGTGTTCGGCGTAATTCTTGGAAATTCATTATTGGACCACAATAATGACATTCATCCTTGAGGATTAAAAACGTATCCAGAACAGTGTGAAAGAAGATCAGTCGGGGTGAATTTGGACGACCGTGATACATTCTTTCATTTTATAGATGTCATATCTACATACAATTCCGTCCTTCCCTGAATCCCGGGCTCACGCCTTCTTAGCCGCAAACAACTCCTCCTTAAAGTCAGCAACAGCGCCATCAAACCCAGTCTTCTCATCCGGGTTCTCATACCCCAGGGAGAACGCAAGCGTGTTATCGTACGACCCTGCCCAAGTCCTGCAGATCGCGTACGTCTGGGGCTCGAGGTTGTACTTGACGTGCTTGAGCGCTTCGGGCCCGCCGTACTTCTCGAGCGCGTTGAGGATATCACGTGTGGTGATGGTGATACCGGGGATGTTGATCGAGCGGTGGTGCTTGGGGTACTACGTGCGGTCAGCGACGGTGACGGGTTACCTACGAATGGTGACACGCACCTTCCCCGCAGGAACAGTGATAGTGTATACGAGATTTCGCACAACAGCCTTAGGGCTGCCGATCCAGATACGCATATTATCGATGATCGGATCCTTCGGGTCGTTCGTACTACCCCAACCATCAGCTTCCTCTCATTCCGACCCCGAGGGCAAACCAACTCACATGGGGCAAACGCTCTCCAAGCCCTGGAGCGGCTCCCTAATCAAGCCCGAGATGAACGAGCTCGCTGCGCTGCTCGGCGCGCCAGCGCGGACCGAGACTGTGGGAAGGCGCACGCTCCGGCCATCGATGAACCCCTTGCGCGTGTAGTCAAACACGAACATCTCCATGATTGCCTTGGCGGTACCGTACGAGGACTCGGGGGTGATGGGGGTGGCGCTTTGGCGGATAGTCGTTAGCAGGCTGCATGGACATGAATGTAGAGCACGTACTCGGGGTTAACATGGCTCTCCGGGAGCGCGAGGGGACCACCGTACACTGCCAAGCTGGAGGTAAGGACATAGAGGATCTTCGGGTCGTTCGGGTACTTGGCACCGTGCTGGCGCGTCGCCTCGAGCAGGTAACGGTGCGAGTCGACGTTGACTGTTATCCGCACGTATTATCGTTAGATGGGGACTAGGAATGCAGAGGGTAAGCGCACCTTTGTACCCGAAGTCGAAGTTGGCCTCGCTCCCTCCGCTCATAATCCCATGCATCGCAAACCTAATCACACGATCAACAACCCTTCACCTTCCCAGCAGATGAAGCACTCACACGCCGTCGATCTTTCCATAGCTGAACAGTTTCTCTGCCTCCTTAGGATCAGTGAGGTCGGCACCGACACTGGTTACCCGTCCTCCGGGACGCTCTGCGGGTGCCTTGATATCGCAGATGACGAGCTTGATGTCGGGGTAATGGGTGAGGAGGTAGGTGACGATGCGGTCTCCGAGGAATCCTTCGAAGTATTAGCGGAACATTGGAGTGGGATGACCAGCAGAGTAGGAGACGTACCGCCCGCCCCAGTGATGAGGATGGTCTTGAGATGAGCAGGAAGAACAGGAACGGACATGTTGTTCAAATGACAGTAGATGACAGTTCGTATCCAAGCAGAAGCCAAGCAGAAGAATACAGCAGTTCGTCAGGCTAAAAGGTGCTCGCTGTCCACCCACCCATTCGTCCATGAGACTTTCTCCTCGAGGCGGCGGGTGACCGCGCCGGACGCCCTCCGGTCCACCGACGTTCAGTGTCAAAATCACTGCCACCTCCGCCTTAATTTTTCCCCTTAGGCCGACGACGCCGCCTTTTCGGACTCTCTTCATGCCGACTTCATAATTATATTGTCGGTCACTTGGTCAGTGTGGCTGTTGCATCATGCGGTCTACTATCGATAACAAACACTTGAAACGCTGCCTAGTTTATATCAAACTTTCACTCGTCCTTGGCCTAATCTGTTTTCACTATACAATCTACGTAACACTCACGCAACGATGCATCAAAAGGTATGATTGTGTACATAGTGTACAATGTGTGCAATACAAAAGAGAAACTGGTCAAGCAAAGCCTCATACTAACGCCTTTGCCTTCGGCGCAACCTTGATACCCAGCGCACCAGCCTTGTTCTTTGGACCAACCTTGATCCCAAGGCTCGCTGCCATATCTTTTCGCTTCTTCGCGGGAGGCGGCATCACAACCTCCGCTTTCGAGAGTGTCGCCCGTGTGGATTCGGACAGGAGGTCTTTGAGGTCGGGCTGCGCGCCGTCCGCTTTCCGCTTGACGGTGATGGTTGATGGTGTCGCTGGTTCATTTGAGCTGGATGCGCTGCTGGAGCCTTCCGGTGTCGAGGTAGATGGACCAGCGATGGGCAAGCCAGGCGGAGGAGCAGGCACCTTGGCAAACACCTGCCGAACGAGTTCCTCATCTTCCTCCTCATCCCGCTTGCGCTTCAGATCCTCTACATCCACCCTCTCCTCTATTGCCCGCTCAAGGATATCCTCCACCTCCCTCGCACTGACCCTCTCGTTCCTCGCGTTCCGTGCGCGAATATCACCGAGCGCATCGAGGATATCCATCTCGCGCTTCGAGTCGAGCGTCCGGTTCTCAAGAGCCTTCATAGGGTTGTTCTCCTCCTCCTCGAGCTTCGCCAGCCTATCCTCCTCTTCGATCGCCTTCTCCTCTCTCCAGGGCTCGAAGTTTCTGCTCGCCCCATGTTCCGCCGTATAATCCGTGTTCTTGGGATCAGTCTTGAACGTAATCTCCGCACTGCACAGCGTGCACTTGATATAAAACCGGAAGATCTTGATCCCATAATAGTCTTCCCCTTCAACAGTCTCCTTCCGTGCGTTGAACTTCTTCCCCTTGTAGATATACTCCCCACACGTGTTGCAGCGCATCGAGAAGGGCGTCATGAGACGCACGACCTGCTGTGTTGGCCGTCCACCTTTTCGCCGGGGGATCTTCGCCGGGTCGAAGTCTGGGGGGTAGTACTTGTTGAGTACTTTACGCTCAGACATCTTGTATTAATGTTACGTCGATGTCGAAGAGGTATTAAAGAGTGTTGTCGATGATTCCTCAGCGAAGAGGTCGTCGTTGTCCACAAGATGCAAGCGCTCGTCCGACTCACCAATCATTTGTTCAAGCGTAACTGCTTCCGGTTGATGGCTGTGCTCATATTTACTTCCGTCTGCGCTTCTGGGGTGTGCCAGAGCGTCCTGGACAACTCACTGAATACCGGCCACCAATCATGCCGCCTCGTAGAAAGTCCAGCAAGAAGGCCAGGGCAGCACCTGAGGAAGAGTCTGCCTCTCTCGCCGCCGGCGCTCAAATAGAGCCCGCCTCGGCAGAACACCCCGTCGTCGAGGAGCCCGTCCCTGTAGACTCAGAGGTGTTCGAACAGACCAACCCTGAGCCAGAGCCTATGATGCCTGTTGCGTTGGAGGATGCAGTGAAGGACGAAGAAGAGAGGGACGAGTTGGCTGCTATGGGCCCTCCTGACGAACCTGTTGTGGAAGTTGCACAGCAGGATGTGGTGCCCGAGGTCGTGGAAGAGATTGTGCAGCCTGTTGAGATTAGGGTGGATGATGATGACAAGGTAGATGAAGTTGCTGGGGAAGTTGTGGCGGACGTTGTGGAGGATGAGGCTGCCTCCGTGGATGGGGAGGAAGCTGAGATGGAGGAAGCGCCGGCAGAAGGCTCTTCGGGCGAGGGACGGATGAGCATGGCCGAGCGGATGAAGAAGTTGCAAGCACTTCGTGGGAAGATGGTACGTGTCTCTAACGACGGTGAAACGTCCGGTTGCTGAAGCATTGATCTAGCGTGACACACTCCAAGCCAACCGGAAAGATCTCGTTGCTGAGAATGCGCGACAAAAGACTTCAGCTCGGGAATTACAACGGCTAGAGAAGAAACGCAAGCTTGCCGAGGTCTTGCGTGAGAAGGCCGACGCTGAAGAACGAGGGGAGGACGTCGAGCGGAAGAAGAACTGGGAATGGAGTATCGAGGAGAACGACGAATGGGAGAAAAAACAGGAGAGAAAGAAGAAGCGGGCCGACTTTACGTTCAACAGTGAGCTTTTCTTCAGCCTTTCCACGCTGCGGTATGCTCATTACGTCAAGATGCCGAGGATCATGCCCGCCGACGATACAAGAAAGACCTAGATTTCATCAAGCCCGATCTCGAGGCTTACAACCGACAAAAAGAGGCTGCGCTCGGCCTCGCTCCCGGTACGCTCAAGGCCGGTCAACCCACCTCCGGCGCGCTGGTCGCTACCACCTCCTCGGGTGCTCTGACAGTTGCTCAACGACAAGCTTCCGAAGACCTGTACCGGGATGCCAACAGCTTAGCATATGCGGACAACAAGCCGAGCGAAGAGGCGATCGATCGGGTTGTGTCCAAGCTGAATATGGACATGGATCGCAGGGGCAAGTTCTCCCGGAAACGGCTCAATGAGGACGACGGGGATGTCACGTATATCAACGAACGCAATCGGGTGTTCAACAAGAAGATTGCGAGATATTATGATAAGTATACTGCGGAGATTCGGGCTAGTTTCGAGAGAGGAACTGCTTTGTAGACACAGGCACTTTGTGTTGGATATTTGTACTCATCGGTGTAATTTATACGCCTGGCTCGCGGGCCAACATCTGACTTGATATACTGTTTGACAAGTATACATTAATGATCTAATGATACATCTGGCTGAACGAAAGTGGGTAAGAATAAATTAGTGCGTCAAGGCATCATGCCGTTGACCTGCAATCGCTTTCCAGCAAGCATCTGCATACATCCTGTCAGCGGAACGTGCTTGTCGTGTACGTCTGGACGCACCATGGGGAACTTCTTCCTGATCTTGGCAATCTTCATACATTCGTTCCTGGCATTATGCGTTATCTGGCTGCCCATAATAGCGCTCTCCACATAATGCTTCAGATACTTGAGGCATATCTCTTCCCTAAATGACGGGTAGAGTTTCTTGTTAAGCTGCCTCTCGGCTTTCCGTGTGCTCTCAAGATACTGATGACTCTGATGGATCATAAAGTCGTCCGCGAGGACGTAGAAAGATCGACCAGAGATGTACATCTCAAAGAGGCATGCGGCCTTGTTAGCTCCATATCCGATGAATCGCTCATCGCACCTGTCCACAAGAGGTCAGGATGACGCATATATGCGCATGAATATGCATACCACGGGGCGTTCTCTCGCTGAAAGATGACGTACGGCTCGTAAGAGGGATGATAGTCCTTCACCTTGTAGATCTCGCCTGAGGTAGCGTTGGCAAAGCGTGAGTAATTGGTGGCTGCGTGTCCCGGTCGCCAAGCCCCGTGGAACTGTCCAATCTCGCCGTTTTCCAAGAGAGGCAGCAGATCTCGCTTTGCCACAGGGAAGAGGGAGGTGTACTTCCCCGCATCGATGGATGCGTACTCGAACGCGGGAAGGACGAGCATAGCGTTGTTCTCCAGAAGATTCAGGGCTATCTGACTTCCTTGTATGCGCTGTGCAAACGGCGTGCACGGGTAAAAGTCCACATCGAGCATTAGGATCGTATCCGTCCGAGCAAAGGCACGCGCAACGTTTCGCCATGTGTTGAATGCCCTAGGAGGGGAGTTGAGGATCAGGTGAATATCGACATGTTCCACGATGGCTGGATTAGACGTGTAGAACTCGTGTAGCGAAGGAAGAGAGAGCGGGGATTGGAATGGCACCGCGACGGATATCGGGCCGTTGTAGTGGGATGCTAGACGAGAGAGAACAGGATAGCGGGACGGCGTCACAAGCGTCGTGATCGTGATCGCTGATGGATCCGGACTGCGAGCTGCGCGATAGTAGAAGGGCAGAACCTGGATGGGAGCAGAATTGTTCTTGTTGCTCGGCGCATCTGGGTTGTCCATCGCTAGTAACGAGGCGATGGCTTGCTCGATCGACTCGGTCGAGAGCTCCTGGTACCAGGTGGGCGGAGAGAAGGCAGCGTTATGCGGACCCGACGGTAGACTTGGAAGATCCAAGACGTCGTCGGACGAGTAGGTATGCAGATGATGCGGAAGAGTGAGAACATGATGGATGGCAGATTGTACCTGAGCCTCGGGCTGCTGCGGTTCTACGATGGCGGTTATGGGGGTTGATGTACGAGAAGGGTTGTGGAGAAGGTAGAGAACGAAGACAGCGACGGCAACGAGAGTGAAGAGAGTATTCGGTCGAGCCATAAGAAAGGGAACGCATACGGTGAGAGAAAGGGGAAGAGCGACGATGAGCAAGCCATGACAGAGAGTATCCAGTAATAGTAAGACTCAGTGCTAAGACAGACGTAAAGTAAGACCGTTGTTTTCGTCCGATTAGTTGTGAGGGTCTTCCTTCTTATTACGTGTCGACCACGTCTAGCACTTACATCTATCCAGATCATCATGGTGATCATCAGGGATAACTTTCGATATCATATGCTCTGCGTCGAAGAATATGAATTATCCCAAGTTACGGCCATGTGAAGAGTGACGAGAAGAATCTCTTCTCGAAGTTGGAACAGATTGAGTGTGCCCATGTGGTCATCGTGAGGCGCCGCGTATATCTACCTCGACGAGGACGCCGTTTCCCATCTTTGGGTGCTTCAAGTCCTTGCTCTCAACCAGCAGCTCATGGGTAGAAATAGACGTAAGTGCATATCGTTAGATTCTGCGCAGATTAACGCAGATGACTAGGGAACCGTAACCTCTATTACTACCACTATCCTCAGGATACCGTGCCAGTGAACTCTGCTTCTCCCTCGGTTCCTCTTTGTTCTCCCCTAGCAGAAGACCGGCAGGAGAGAGAATCATACCCGCCTCTTCACCAGAGCCCGTACTCATCAAGGATATCCGAGGAACCAGTCGAACGCGCCGCTAGCCCCATGCCGATGACTCCTTGTGCGCCAAGTACCTATGCGGGTACTATCCGCAGCCGTGCGCCAAGCATATATGAGGAAGTACCTGAAGCAGATCAATGGCACAACCGGCCCCCGAGTCGAGTACGACCCCCCAGTCCTACAGGTTCTGTTCATATTGGGTGTGGGAGCCAACATAGTGAGCCCGCTGATGAGCCCCCCATCGAGATGGGTACGCATCGAGGTCGCCCGGCCAGCGTTCGATCTGTTCCTCCCGAATATCCAATGTTTGCACCTGAGCATGTGGAAACACCCGAAGCGTCGACGCACGAGGTTGAGCACCAACAAACGTTCCACGTCCCCGATGTCTTCCTGGATCCATTGGCTGATCTAGTCCTGGAATCGTCTGACAACGTTTCCTTTCGGGTGCACGGAGCTATTCTCAGATGGGGCTCGACGTACTTCAAGCAGTACTTGACTGAACATCCAACCACTTCGCCCATCCCCTGGCACGAAACGGCGGCTACGATCCTTGCTGTTCTCTATCGTCTCTACCCTGTTGTTAATCCCGCGATAGATAATATCGAGGACTTGATTCACCTGGCACTAGCCGCGCACAAGTGCGGCATGGACTCGGTGGTTGCAGAGGTACGAGGCCTGTTGCTCGAACCCCGCTTTCTGCATTCTCGCCCGCTTGCGGTCTATAGGGTTGCGTGTCAGCTCAGTCTCGACGATATCAAACGCAGCGCTGCACGCTATCTGGTTGAGCAGTACGACCCTTTTGACCTGGCTTTGCGCCTGGACATGACCCCGGAACTCTCCGCACCAGACTTCCTCGCATTGTATGAACTCCGCAAGAAGAGGGTTGACCACGCTCTCGAGGCCCTGAAGCGCCATCTCGGCAACCCACGCATCTCCCATAAATGCGAAGTGACGCACGAGTACGAGACCATACGTGCTCGACTACGTGATACGCCCTCAGCATCAGTTCTCGCGTCGATCCCAGACAGCTTCCCTGGTCAGGTTCCTCCCGATCACGGCTGCGATCGCAGGGATTGTCAGGCGAACTGGTCCAGGCTCAAGGCCCTGAAAGCTGAGCTCGCAGATCCCGACTCGCTTATCGTCATTGGTATGGGCATCTTACCCCACCATATTGTCATTAACCGACTGACACGCATATAGATGTTTTTGTAAATCGATCGCTCAAACTCATCTAGCTGTTTTCCAAGCATGCGGTAAAACCCTGCCTAGCTTGGATCAACCGCTAGGTGACATCTCAGAGTCTGTGTTACGCTGGCAAACCTTGGACTTGCTCGCCTCACGCATCCTCTGATCGCTCTTGCCTTCATGCCTCATACGTCCGTTGCTGTCAGCAGTCTACCATAGTGCATCTCCGTTTCCGTCTTTGTATGCATTCCCGGCAGAGCTTTCAAACATCTGAGTTCATTCGCGACATAAAAGGCGGGGTTCAGGAAGTTGTGATAGTGCCAACTGGTCACGTGGTCGGCCATCCTCGTAATGTCCCTATCGATCACGTACTGTATGAGCGAACGAATATATTATCTTTCCCGAGGTAAGCTCGTGCTTGAGGGGTGTAGAGTGTACGATATTGACCGAATTAGTGCGCCTCGTTGCTTGGAGGATGGTGACAGCAAGTGACTTCAATATTCATGGCACATGTTCCGGAAATGTTACCACAATGGTGCAGGAAATCCCCCATTATGCTGGTTCTTGCCCGCTTGGTGCAGCGGAGTGACAGCCGCGACTACCTTTCTGTCCAGCGACCGAGTGATCGAGCGCTGATGGTGGGCGATAGCCACGAGGCCATGTGATACTTATTGCAACGTCTCTCTCACACACGCATTATCTCGGGATACGTTCGATCTGCATCGTCAGCATGTCGAGGAGCAGAAGTAAGTCGACTATTATCATTATTGATCAAGTATGCTAAGGGCTTGATGTTAGGACATCGTGATAGCATCACTGGCAGCAGCATTCATAGTCGAACTATGACCCCTGAGCCTTCACCCAAGAGAGCAAAATACATCGAAGATGAACGTTCGCCAAGTCCCCCACTTATTCGAGGAGTATTTCGGACATACGCCGCTGCTAGCCCTCTGCAAGGCGTTCGCATTATCGAGACCCCTTTTCGATATGTCACACCACCATCGGGAGAGGCACCTGAGGAGGAAGACTTTGACCACACTGCTATCCTGTCGTCCTATCATGTACCCAACGGCTCGATACGGGAAGAGATCCTCGTCGCAGCAGGTACAGCCCCGTCTGGTCGCACAGAACTACATGATGCGTTGCCTGGGCCAACTTCGCAGGCTGATTACTCAGTCAGCGACTCTACAGCCCCGACCAAGCCCTTCAACGTGCCAGCCGTATTTCGCGACCTGTCCGCCGACACGCTCATTCAGTCTTCCGACAATGTATTTTTCCGAATCGACAGGTCCGTGTTGAAGGCTGGATCGACTCATTTCAAGAGAGTCTTTCCCGAGTCGAACCATGAGACCGTAGCAACACCAATCTCTTGGCCGGAGCCTGCCAGTACTGTGCTTGCACTTCTGTACCGCATCTATCCCCTCCCTCGTCCCGAGATCAGAGATGTAGAAGAGTTGGTCACCCTTATGGTTGCAGCCCACAATTGGGGCATGCATGGGGTTCTTGAGCCCCTCGAAGATCTCATGCTCCAACCGCGCTTTCTGGACGAACGTCCCCTGGCGGTGTACAATGTAGCTTGCCTTCTGCGGCTTCACCATGCCAAACGTCATTCGGCTCGTCGTTTGGTAGAGCTGTTCGATCCACTTGACGAGGTTCTCCGACGTGATGCCAAGGGGCTCTCTGCGCTGGACTTCATTGCTCTGTGTGATCTGCGCAAGAAGAGGGTTGCTTACTGCCTTCAGGCCTTCGATAATCACCTTCCCAGCGTTTGCGTGCACGACAACGAACTTTCTTACGATCGATGGCACGACGTAATACGGACGAGGTTATCTCAGTGGCCCTCAGCCTCAATACTGGAATCGCTGCTGGATCTATCGGATGCTTTTGGCGATCGCTGCTTCGGCTGCTCCGATGAAGAATGCACTCATTCTCTGTGGTCGAGAGTTTCCACTCTTAGGGATGAGTTGGACGATGGAGCCCACTTTATTGGTGATGGTAGGATAAATTTTCACGCAGCGAATAAAGAGCTGATTAGTTGATGATCAGTAGAGTCGTACCTGTGAAGCAACTTCATAGGCAGCATTTCGAAGAGGACACATGAATTTGCAGCCGCCTTTCCAAGCACCTAAACAACAAAGGGCTGTTTGAAACGACCCCTGGTTCCTACCCTCTCTCCTTGTATGCATTTATGTATTTATTCGATGGTGCCAGAAAAAGGCCGTCCACGCTTTTGATTTTCCCTGCCAATCTCTTGATCGGGATGCGGGGAACAATCTACAGCTCTGGGAACAACAACAGTCTAGGGGTGAAGATATTGGCTGGTTATTGTTTTGAGATATTTAGCCGGATTTATGAGACGATCCTACCTTTCCGCTGGTCACCTTCTCAACTCTTCCTCACTCGGATTTGACCAGTAGATGTAGGTGAGTTATCCACAGAGTTGTCAGAGTGGCGGACCTCCGGGCATGACTTGTCACCTAGTGGTGATATAACTGTTGTCACGAATAACTTGAGAACATACCCTGAGGCGGGGTCAGGACAAATTCGGTGCAAATATCTAACCACAAATAGGATATGAACATTGAATAGCAAGCGAGAGCCAAGGTTCGATGCCGAGCATGGCAATGTTAACAAGGAAGTATGAACAAGTGATTAGGAGACCTAATATTTGGACAGTCATCTCGGCTTTTTGGAGACAACTGGATTTGACAAGGGAGTCCATTAGCCGGAGCCTGATGTTCACCGTCAGAAAGCTCCATATTAAAACGGGCCAAGAGACGTACCGGCGGAGTAGACCTTGCCAAACATCAGCAGCTGGAACTGGTCATACAGCGGAAGAACCAGTCCTCCAGCGACAGCACGGAGGATATTAGCGCCCTTGATTACGATGAGTCCCAACATCTCAAAGGAGCGGATATCAGCTTACAGCGCCCTTGAAGAGAGACCTAAAACCCTCCTTCTGAATAATCTGCTGCGCAGCAGACCAAGTCGACTTGTAATGCACGCCAGTTCCAGACGTCATCATCATACGCCTGCGGATGGTATCGAGTGGATAGGCGATGAAGCTCGCGACGTTCGTGACAGTCCAGCCGAGGGCGAACGATGCAGCGAAGTTGTTCTCGAGGGGACCCGTAAGCACGAGTGGCTTGATACTATCGTAGGCGCCAAAGCTGCAAAACTATGTCGATGCCGGGTCGTACATCTGGAAATTTTCTACTTACTAGGCGCCACGATAGACAATGATCCCAGCAAGAGAGGGCATGAAGCCTCGGTACAGACCAATGAGGCCATCCGTGGCCAGCGTCTTGCGGTAAACGTCGAGCAGGCCGTTGAACTGCCTCTCTCCGCCTTTGGTACCAGACTTGGCGTCATTGGCAAGGCGGGTCCTCGCATAATCGAGCGAGTAGACGAAGAGCTGGGAAGTAGCTCCGGCCGCCGCGCCGGAAGCTACGTTCCCCCCAACCCAAAGCCAGAAACCCTCGGAACGCTTAAAGTTAAACATCGACTTATAGTAGTCCTCTGTCAACCGTCGTCAGGGTGGGGCATGCGTAGACTGTGACGGCACTGACTGAATGCAAAGTTCAAAGCCTGTGTCGGGAAATAGCGAATCACGTTTGCACCATTCCCACGCCAGAACGCAATGAAGCCTTCCTCATTGTACGTTCTTATGGTGCAATCGATGATGCCTTTATAGGGCGTCGAAAGACGACCCTGCTTCATCTATACTCGCACCGAGTTAGTTAGGTACGCATCCCATCTCGAGGGAAACGCCTCACCATTTCATCCTGATTCTGAATCAGGAGTTTAATGCGCTCAATAGGGGCTGCCACCGTCTTTCCAATGGCCTCCGATAGATAGTCAATTGGGGCACCCTTCCCTATTCTGCTCGCGTACGGCTGCAACACCACCCATCATGAAGTCGACTAGCAATACAAACTACGCGTCAGCAAACATAGATCAGGAACGCGTCGGTCTGGACATACTGGCAAAATCCTTCGGCGTTTTAGTCCTCTTCTTGACCACCTTGACCTGTTCCTTAACCAGGTCGGCGGCCTCCAGGGCCTTTTCCTTAGTGGCATCCTTTGCCTTTTCGGGGCCGGATGCGTTCATAGTAGCAGAAAAGCAGAAAAAAAGACTGAGTGGTGCGTGAGGTGTTCCTGGCTGGCGTATCCCCGGTCCCTGATCCCTTTTATTCCAATTTGGCCCACCAAACCTGTGCCATTCAGCAAGGAGAGTACTGATGAGTCGTTAGGTTACGGAGAGTGCTCCGTCCCAAACCGATGTCGGATCCGACGTTCCCCGCCATATCCCTAACTTCCCCGCCTGGAGCATATGCTCTGAAGAAAGAAACACTGCCACGTCGGATACAAATGCTCAGTCATGGCGTCGTTATCCAAGAGAGATTTGATGTTGGCGGTACACGATGCTCCAATCATAACACGACTAGGGATAGTGTTAGAACTGAAACGTGGTAGAGTGTTCTATTCTTACCTGGCCGGGGCGAACAGTACAATGACTCCGGCCTGTCGCCCCGCGGTCACCACGCGCGACCCTCGATTGATCCACGCACTTGGTCTACCGACAACTTCCCGTTTGTACGTTCGATTCCCGGGAGACCGTTACGGGTGTCGGCGAGGAGCGACGTGCACAGGAGAGGTCATTGAGCAATGTCGCACGATAAGGGGGCCGCTGCGGACCGGTGCTTATCGATAGATGGATTGGAAACGCAACCAAGGCAGTTGGCTAGCACTGAATCGAGTGACGGCAGAACAAAGGCCGGTGGGCACGGAGGGAGCACAAGACCCGGAGTAGAACCTCCTATTGTTTCCAGGCGAATGCTCGGACAGGAGAACCGTCGCAACCAGCTAATCGAAGAGGGACAAGACTGACCATCCATTCGCCCTCTTGAATGGCCGCGAGGTTGTTCAAGTTCTCGACAATCACACCTCCTGAGCCAAGCACCTCGTCATGTACCCCAAAGTCGCCTGCTCCATCGAGCGTAGCGTCTGGGGACAGTGTATCGACGCCAATGACCTTGACACCGCGCTTGAGGATCTCGACTGCGGCAGCACGGGTCAAGTACGGATGGTCGAAGTATTCGTTCTGCCCCCAGTACTGCGACCAGCCGGTGCGGATGAGGACAATATTGCCAGGCTTGAGGAGATCCTCAAAGATCGCCATATCCTCCCAGTTGATCTTCCCCTTTGCGCCCTTGTAGGACATGTCCAGCGCCGCAGCGCGCCCCACGAACAACTCAATCGGCAACTCGTCAATCTTCTTCCCATCGGCGAAGAAGTGGTAAGGTACATCGACGTGCGTGCCGGTGTGACTGCCCATCTGCAAACGCTGGACGTTGTACCCGTTACGGGAGAGCTCTGCAGCTGGGTAGCAGATAAATTTTGGGTCCCCAGGGTAGATCTGCATCCCCATTTGCATCGGATGTGACAGGTCGACGATGTCCTTCATTCTTTGTAGATAATTAGATGCAAAGTGGTCGTCAATGTATATGCAAAGTGAACTGCAATGTTGAAGTCGACTTGCTGGACCCTTCATATTGACCACGGAAGCATTCACTGCTCTGCATCCTACCCAGCGCCTCTCTGTCGTTGTCTGTACGCCGGCCATGGGAGCCGACCAGTCAAAGCCCTCCCAAGACGCAGAAAAAATCGTCTACGGCGACCAGAGCAGTGTGAACGTGCGTCCCATCTCCCAAGAGTCGAAGAGAAGGAACTAACGACGTTCGTTGCATGCAGTTCTCTGCTGACTTGCTCTCGCACCTCTCGGACACCCATGCTTCTCCACACCCTACACCCGAGCGACAGGAAACACTTGATGCGCACATCCGTTCCCGGATTCATGCTGAGCTCCAGAGACTGCAGCACGAAGAGACAGAAGTGAGAGCAGAGATCGAGCGTGTGTTGGAGAAGGAGAACTTGGATAGGGAGGCTGCGTCCGTCTCCGCCTCCGCCCCTGCGGAAGGGGAGGGGGAGGAGGGTGCAGTAGAGGAGAAAGAAGTCGCTGGGCCGGGAGCGGTGCACAGCGGGATACTGAGCAGGGATATGGAAGAGCTGAGGAAGAAAGTCGAGAGGTTCGAGAGTGGGAAGATGATGCGTGGTGAAGGGCGTGAAGAGGTGAAGGAGAAACAAGACGCTCTGGTCGCTTGCTACAAGTAGGTCTTCCCTCGTACTCTGCTCTGAAGTAGCTGATGTTGGCAGGGCGAATCCAACACGGTCACTTGATTGTTGGCGGGAAGTAGGGGAGTTCAAAGCATCTGTGGCGAAATTGGAAGATGTACGTCTTCCCTTCCTGTTCCCTTCACATCTGTTCCTTTCCACCATATCCGCGGCTTCTCCTTTATCTACGCCCCTTCCCTTCCCCCTTTACGTATCCATTCCTGTCTTTGTTCATGATGCTAACCCACGCACAGAGATACATCCGATCATTCCAATAGCCTGTACATCCCTAGACCTCATCTCCCATCACGGCAAATCTCCGCAGATGGACAGATGAACCAAACCAAAAACTTAATGGATGCTTCTATCCTTTCCTTCCCGTCTCCATCGTGTGGAGGGGAGACAACGCAAAGCAGACCAAGGTGGGATGAAACGATGACGCATACATTCCCACCATTTGTTGAACTACGAAATACACTCTTCTCTACTCTCACTAACTCAGTTCACTACCACTATCACCCAACCTGCAGGGCTCTGTTGGCCCCGAACCAAAGGCAATGAGCAACAGTTGGACGGATATCGACAAAAAGGTAAGGAAGGATCGGCGTTCAAGATTGGAGAGGGGACAAGGACAAAACGACAAAAGAAAACAAAGTCCATAGCAGTACAAAGACAACAGCAAGCGGCGTTTCCAAGCTTTCATAAGAAAGTCGGCCTGCGAACAGTAGATACGTGACCAAGAGCCCAAGAGAGCAAGATTCATAAATAGATGACGCTTCCCAGAGGAAGGAGAGAATGAGAGAATCAGGAGAGAGGGTTATGCTTCCTCCCCGCTCGAGCTCTCCACTCTACTCCCTCTCCAGATCATCTGTTCCTCTGCGTTTGGGACTTGTAGTCCTTGTCCTTGTTGTCCTTGTCCTTGTCCATACCCGCGTCCGTGCGCACCAGGCGACACAGGCATGGGATGTTGGTCCGCCTCCCATTCCTTTGGTTGCGGCTGCACGCTCACCGCACTGAGCCTATTTACCCTGCCGTCCGCTTGTGTAAGGAGGGAGAGGTTGGGAGTGGGCGTAGTTGCCGCTGCGTGGAGCGCGGCCAGGCTGGCGTTTGTCCGGCCTTTGGAGGGCGATTTCCGGAGGAAGGGAGGGGTTGGTGGGGGGGAAGAGGGGGAGGGGGTCTTCCTTGATCCTGAAGCTGTTTGGGTGGGGGTGGTTGAAGCAGATGCGGAGCGGGATGATGTCGTACGCGTTCGTTCGACCGGCATAGGTACTGGAGGGCCATACACAGCAGGAGCAGCACCGGGCGGCCTGCCGCCCCTCTCTTCCTTCTTCTCTGCGGTGTAGCTCTCCCCTTGGCTCAAGGGTGACGGTCGGTAACTCCCTCCCGAGCCTGTGCGCGCGTGCGTCGCTGCTAGAGCGGCTTCATGTCGCCGGGAAGGGCGGAAGGGGCTCTTTTCCGGCTTGTCCGGGGACCGGACGCGCGGGTGCTCGGCGTCTTCTGGAGGGGTGACGATTATCTTCCCTATTACTGCTCCCGCTGCGGCAGTCGTGCCAGTGGCAGCGGCGTTGGGTCCTGCAGGAGGGCGTCGTGTTTGCATAGGTGGTTTGGATGGAGCGGTGTTGGGGTGCACGATTTCGAATGAGACTGTCTTCCCGTCCCGGGTTAGGAAGGATGAGCCTGTGGAGGAGGAGATGTGTTTCATTGACGGTCGTCGGGGCTTCTTCATTGCGTTTTCTTCGGCCAGGCGCTATACAGGGGTTAGCACGCAGGAATAGTGACATGAAGGAGGAAAGTAGGAGGGGGGAAGTGGGAAGTGTAACACACCTTCTTCTCCATCTCTTGGTGCTTTAGAGACCTTCCCCACCAGATCCAACCAAAGACGATCAGCGCGACGATGGCCATTCCCCCCAGTGCACCTCCCACAATCGCGCCAATGGGGATCCCATTCCCCTGACTCGTGCTGGCGGGAGTGGATGTAGGCCCAACTTGGTAGGTGACGGTGACGACTGAGGCGCCGGTTGGAAGAGAGGGCGCTGATCCTTCCGATGCCTCGGGGTTTGTGAGGAGGTCTGTGGGTAGTTGGGAAGCTGATGAGAAGGTTTCTGTGCCGCCCAGAGTGGCGGAATCTGAGTTTGACATCTATGCGATTGTGGTTGTAATTTGCTGATGATTTGTAGTTGATAATTGTTGAAGATGATGGTGGTAAATGAATGACAAGAGCAACAGAACGGAGTAAAGCAGGAAGCGAAGGACAGCAGAGAGAGAAGGGTAAAAAGGGACAACAGACAGGTGAATGAATGGAATGAGAACGACAACGAGTCCGAACAGCGCGGCGTCTGCAAACACTTGGACAGCACCGCCTCACGTAACATCAAACGCCATCAGTTTGGGTTAAAATCTTTTATATTACATTCGTTTGAAGATAAATAAACTGAGTGTAAGCAGCATAACCAACGTAAACAAGCTATTATTACAACCACGTATCCAGTACAGAGTTATATAAACAAAGACATACCCCTTCTCTACATCTTTCTCTACCCCCCCGACTAGAATCCACTGCATACCCAAACAACATTATTCTAATCCGTTCTATGGCCTATCATATTTTCCCTACATCCTATCATCTAAACTCTCCAAAAAGCAGATAATCACACCCAGATTGACCCTGCAGTTAACGTTAGCCAAGGGATGCAAAGCACGATGCAAAGGGAACACCGCAGCCGCCGACGGAGCGGGTGAATCTCGGAAGCGAGACACAGCCACTTACCGGGTATAGTATGACCAGCTGAAGATGAAAGAGCGAAGGGGATGGGCAAGGGATGGAGGGCGACGTCTTCTGTGGACGATGACCATCCTACAGAGGACAAGGCCCCTCGTTCTTCACTATACTTTTGCTTCACCTGACGATGATGAAGAAGAGGAAGAAGAGGGGGAGATCCTCCTATCCCCCGGGGTGTGTACAGCACTCGATGCGCTCAGACTCAGGCAACCCAAGTCCGGAGACGAAGAGCTTAACGTGAGGGATTGGACACGGTTTGGGATCGTTGTCCAGTGTGTTGGGGATGGACCGGATGCCGGTAATGAGGGAGGAGTGGCAGATGATGAAGTGGAAGTGGTCGGTGAAAGGAAGGGAGATGAACTGGTAAAATTAGTCTGCTGGGCAAAGGTGGACGAGGGAGCTCCACCAGACGCTCAGGTCCGTCCCCCTTCCCCTCTCCCAGAATCATCTCACACAAAGCAGAGCGCTACTATTTGCCCCTACCTCTCTCGTTCCTTCCCCTACCTCTTCCAGAACAAGCACAGGATCGCCATCCGCCCTTGTCGCCCACTGCCGCTACATACCGTTTTCCTACGTGCTCTTTCCAGCTCTGCGTATGCGCTCGCCCATTCCAGCCCGGAAGTCGTGAAGGACAGACTAGTGCAGAGTAAAGCTCTGCTTAGACTCGGCGGCATTGTAGGGTTCTCCATACCCGAAGAAGGACAGAACGGCCACTCGAACATGAACGGCTCCTCAGCACAGTTCCGGTACACCTACCGCGTCCTCCTCCCCGAGCCTGTGATGCAAGGTATCCTTACTCCCTCTTCATCACTATACGTTCTCGCCCCTCCTGAGGGGACAGAAGCGGAGGACGACGAGACGCCCACTCAGAGTATCTACCGGAGCAGGGCAGGGAGCTTCAGCGACGGAGGCTTCTTCGATCGCCGAATACGGGATAAAGGTGTAGATAGGATTATGACTGAGGGAGAAGATGAAGGGGATGAGCAGCTAGAGATCGACGCCTCTTTCCTGGCTAACTCTCTGCCTCCTCTTCCCTCCCCTTCTTTACCCACATCGATATCTCTCTCCTCGTCCCTCAGCACTCTCGTCCGCGCGCCGGTAGAATACCTCCCTCTTCCCGCACCGTGGACCTCAAGTTCAGAATCTGTCTTCCTCCGAGCAGAAGATCTCGCCCGCTCGGGCGTCTTCTCCGGGGATTGGGTGCTCCTCTCCTCCCCATCAGCAAAAATCCTAGCCCGCGCCTTCGCATCCGACAACATCCCCCCTGGTCCAGCAGTGCTCCTCTCCCCCTCTCTTCTGCACTTCTTCCCCCCAACTCACGCACTCGACCCTCCCCCTACCCTCCGTCTTCTCTCCACGCCCTTCCAGTCCCTCCCTCCCCCCCTCCCTATAGCGCAGAGCGTTACCCTCGCTCGTGTCCCCTCCCCAGCATCGACGAGCAAGCGCTTCCAGCCTCTTTTCCTGCGCGCACTCAAGAAGCTGTTCAAGGACAAGCGACTGATACGGCAGGGACAGGTACTTGCAGTCGTGGTGAATAAAGACGATCGGGCGCTCCTCAGGGAAAAGGAAGATGGGGAGGTAGATGACCAGTTGCTGGACTATGAGTGCGTCTTTCCCCACTATTGGGGGCACTAACTAAAGGGGCTTAGGTTCCCCTTTCCTTCTTCGTCACCTGACACCCCGGTATATTTCAAGATAACCAACATCGTGTACGACCCTCCTTCCTCCTCCGCTCAAGCAGACACCTACACCCTCGCAACGCTCGGCGAGCTTGGATGCTGGTTCGACCCTTCCCAAACACGGATGGTCCAGTCAGGCGTGGAGCACTCCCTCGTCCCTGCCTTCCCTCTCCCTCTCCCTCCCGCGCTCCCAACAGCCCCTACATCCCCATACCCCAAGCTACTCCAGCTCGCGGCTGCGTGCCTTTCCCCCTCCGCCCTCGACTACCAGCTCCAGCTCACAGTCCTCCTCCGGGGCCCTCGCGGCGTCGGCAAGCGCACAACCGCCTTAGCGGTCGCCCAACGCCTAGGCATGCATGTGCTGGATGTGAACTGCTACGAACTTGTCGGGGAGTCGGAGGCGGTTACGGAGGGTACGTTGAGGGCGAGGTTCGAGAGTGCTGCTGCTTGCGCGCCGTGTGTCCTCTTGCTGAGGAACCTGGAAGCGCTTGCCAGGACCTCGCAGGTGCTTGAACAAGGCAGAGGTAGGTCTTCTTCCAGAACATGATATGCTTGCTAAGCGCGTGTAGAACCCTCTATCGCCACCGCCTTACGGGAATGCGTGGCATCCCTCCCCTCAGCCTGGCAGGAATCCCAGTTTCCTGTCATACTCCTCGCTTCCTCCTCGGAAGGGGATAAGATCCCCCTCAGCATCCAGGCGTGTTTCAAGCACGAGATCAACTTTGATTCGCCTGACGAAGTCGAGAGGCTAGAGATACTGCGCGCGCTGTTGAAGGGCGAACGAGTAGCGGCCGATGTTGAGCTTAGAGAGATTGCAGCCCAGAGCGCTGCGCTGGTTGCGAAGGATCTGGTTGACCTGGTTGGGCGGGCGAAGCTGGGTGCCCTGGAGCGCGCGACCAAGGAGCTTGTAGACGAAGAAGCATCAATAGACGATATAGAAGATGCTGGGATCGCTCTCTCCGGTACGGACTTCACTTCTGCTCTTGCCGAGTCCCGTGCTTCCTACTCGGAAAGTATCGGCGCGCCCAAGATTCCCAACGTCTCCTGGGACGACGTCGGCGGGTTGGCAGAAGTCAAGGCCGATATCCTGGATACGATCCAGCTGCCTCTCGAGCACCCGGAACTCTTCGCCGATGGGCTAAAGAAACGCTCTGGGATCCTCCTGTACGGACCTCCAGGGACGGGCAAGACCCTTCTGGCCAAAGCGGTCGCTACGTCCTGCTCGCTCAACTTCTTTTCCGTCAAAGGCCCGGAGCTGCTCAACATGTATATCGGTGAGTCTGAAGCGAATGTACGCCGGGTCTTTCAGCGGGCGAGGGATGCCCGCCCTTGTGTGATCTTCTTCGACGAGCTGGACTCCGTTGCGCCCAAACGTGGGAATCATGGGGATTCAGGAGGTGTAATGGATAGGATCGTCAGCCAGTTGTTGGCAGAACTGGACGGGATGTCTGACGAGACAGGAAGCGCAGAGGTGTTCGTTATTGGGGCGACTAATAGGCCGGATCTCTTGGATCCAGCATTATTACGTCCCGGAAGGTGAGTCACTGGGCTGTGTGTAGATGCTGAACCTCTCCTGACTTCTTCACAGGTTCGATCGCATGCTGTATCTTGGAGTCTGTACAACGCACGAAGCACAACTCAAGATCCTCCAAGCGCTCACCCGCAAGTTCCGGCTCGACCCAAGTCTCGACCTCATGCGGGTAGCCGAACAGTGTCCTTTCAATTACACGGGTGCCGACTTTTACGCACTCTGCTCCGACGCTATGCTCAAGGCCATGACCCGAAAGGCTGAGGAAGTCGACGCTAAGATCGCCGAATGGAATGAACATGGACCGGTAGATGGGCATCCTCATCCCATGACTCCGCAGTATTATCTCGCCGAGCTCGCCAAGCCAGAAGATACGGATTTTCTTGTATCTCAGAGAGACTTCGAGGCTGCTCTGGCCGAACTGGTCCCGAGCGTTAGCACGAGCGAAATGGACCATTATGCGATCGTGCAGAAAAAGTTTGCTGGAGATACGATCAACTCTCAAGCGAATCTGGATCGAAAAGGCAAGGGCAAGGGCAAAGCCAAGGCGATTGACCCGCCAGAAGACGAGTACTTCGGAAACCATGTCACGCTTGCTGACGAGATATGACGAGCATAGACGTAAATGACATTAAAATCTGGACTGGCGTCCGTTAGCTAAGTAGAAATCAGTTGTAGTGGTATATCTGTTCGTCACATCATCGCACTAATGATACCCCTATGTAATTGTTATAGCGTTGCACCATGTTTCTACAGACCAAGTGCTCTCCAGAGCCCAATGGCTTCCATTGCGTGCTTGAAATTTTGTCCGATCACACGGCCCATGCCGAGTGCGGTAGAGTGAGGGTGCTTCTTGACAGGCTTGGCGGGAATGTTTAGCCTCCAAGCCCTTTGACCATCAATGAATAACTCGAAGATGAGCTTGGGGTGCTCCTCGTCACGCGTATCCACCTCAAACGAGCCCCTAGATGATATATCAGGTGGGGCTCAATGACAAAATTGAATATACGTACCACTTATGTTGCCCTTCACGAACGTAACGGAGCACCTTTTCTTCAGGAACGACTTCCTCTGTGACTTCAATCTCGTCCTCTCCTTGCTCGTTCTTGACCACCCGCTCAACAGGACGAGTCCACGTTGCCGTTGTCTTGGCCGCCGTGTCAAATGTTGAATACAAGGGTAGGTAGAACTGGTTCAACGGGCTCGTCGAGAACTCCAGAACATTGCCGCCTGCACGACCCGCGCTGGCTACAGCAGCAAACTCGTGCCTGTCGCCAGAGATAATAACCACGTTTGGCACACTCGCCATCTTCTGCAGCACTTCGTGCCGTTCTGTCGGGTAGCCGGCCCAGGTATCCGTCTGACCGTCGATACCATGCCACAAAGTGGTGAACGGCACGGAGGAGACGACAAACTTGAACGTGTGGGTATTGTTCACTTTGGAGAGCCAGTGATTGAAATCGCTCAGCTGGTGCTCTCCGAGCATCGTCGCTTTATCCCCGATCTCCTGCTCGACATTGGTTCGGTACCGCCGGCAGTCGAGTACGAAGAAGGCCGAGTCTGCATACTCAAAGTTATAGTAGTTCCCGCCCGGCCGGATAGGGGCGTAGTTAGCATTGTTTTGATAAACCTCGTATGCGTTGTTGGCCCGCGGGAAGGGAGCGGCAGAGTCGTTATCATGTCCAACATAGTTGTTCGTGATCTCGTGATCGTCATAAATGTGAAGCGTAGCTAAAACAGATGGTGAGTGAAAGACAAAACAATAAAGTGGCAGCACTCACGGAGATGTTCATAGATCTTTCTGTAGTTGTCACTTGCATACACCCTCCTATAAAGTCGCCTATACTTCTCTAGATCGTCTCCTCCATACCTCGGTACATCAGCATATATGAAGTCGCCCAATAACAGGGCAAATTCGGTGTTCGCGTCGCTTTCTGGGACTTCTTCCTTCGGCTTCCCCTTCAGTACACTTTTGAACAAGCTCACAGCATTCTCCAAGTTGAGTGGCGGAAGGGACGGCACCGAAGAGACAGGTAGACGAGCGCTCGCGGCTTCTTGCGGGGTCTCGCTCACCAAAGTCACGCTTTCCGCCAGAGGGGTTTGTGGAACCTCCTCCTGCTGTACGACCTCTGTCGGCTCAGGCGTCGGCTCGTTATCCATAGCCGTCGTAGCTTCCTCGGCTGGCGCCTCTGGAGAGGGTGCGGTCTTGGGTGACGCCGACACAGGCTCGGATTCAGGTTCGGTACCGTAAACATTGCGCTTGGGCTCTTTAGCAAGCACGGAGGCAAGTAGATCAAACCCTCTGATTGATGGGGTAGAGGATAGGGACGGGCGATACGGAAAGTTGGGCATCTAAATGCTGTTAGGTAGATAATGAGAAGAAGATAAATGACGAACTAGGCATGACGAAGCGATGAACTTAAAGTGTGCCGCATTGCCAGCGGGGAAGGTGCGGAAAGTGAGTTGTCCTTTAGAGACAGGTAGGATAGTCGAGTTGGCGAAGGCGAAGCGGTCTAGACACCTTCATCAGCTTGAAGCAAGAGTTCGCCAACCCTTGAGCACATACATTCATACTCGGTCGCGGGGAGCAGCTTATCCAGCTGAGCCACCCCAACCCAGTCGTTCTCCTCCAACAGTTCCACCTTCGGTCCCTCATTCCAGCTCAGTTCAACTGGCCCCTCAACTTCGATGCCGATCGCCTGCACGTTCACATTCTCGCGCCACCAGACGTGCACCTCCCAGCTCTCCTGCTTCAGGAGACGCTCCACTCCCTCAACCTCTCCTTCACGGTTCAGTTCGTCTGCGGCTGGCATCACCTCTAACAGCGGTGGGAGAGGGTACCGCAGCACGAGCCGGGCAGAGTGTGGGGTGACAGCGCCGACGCGAGCATAGGCGAGGTCGGGGAAGGTCTGGATGAACGGAGTGTAAATAAAGTCCAGGGTGAAGAGCATCAGGATCAAGTTGATGAGGAGGGCAGAAACTCGTAGGGAGAGGAAAGATGAGGGAAAAGCAAGGGCGAGGTTGGCGAAGCTGTCCGTGACTGACACCACAGGGTCGCGCTAAATGAAGACTGTCAGCGTACATTCAGCAGAAGGGGAGATACAAGACGCACAACGATGGTCTCGACTTTTTCTACAACCACGATCTCCTTCGCCTCCGTCTTCTTCGGCTCCCCAACCGTCCCTTTTGTGCCGTTCGTCTCTTTCTCTTCCACCTTCACCTTCTTATCAACCTCCATGACGGTCACAGTATCCACAACATCGACGACCTTAGGTGTTGGAACATCTTTCTTCGTAAGCTCCCCGACGGTGAAGAGCAACAGGTGTGCAGCAAAGAGGACCGGTATGGCTATGGTGAACCCAGGGACTGGGAGCTGTAGCGAAGTGAGCGCATACGTTGAGCTTTTCAGCTGAGGACATACCAGTTCAAGGAACACATAAGATGACAGCCTGAGTAGACATGATATGATAGTTATGAGTAGGGATATGAATAGCGGTGGAGTCGCAGCCATCTCGTCGTCAAAGTAGGAGGAGGAAAGGAAAGTACAACCAGCGGTTAGCGTTACTATCGTGTTCTAAGTGGCAGTGCTGTGGGGCTGCTGAATATGGGGAAGCGGGCGGGTCCTGGTGGGAGTCATCTTTACGACCATGTCACACCCCGAACGTATGTCCCTACCTCAACCGTTCGCAGAGAAGGACAACAGTACTCTATGACAACAGTACTCTATTTCCTCCCATGTACACCTTGGGATCTTCTCGGGCCCATATACGGCCTGGAGTGAAGCACGGAGTGTCCATGTTCTATGTTGGACAAGCTTGGCAGGTGGCTATCTCTATCACAGGGGACGTCGTTAGCCACCCTACCCATCCCTCCATTGTTGACAGCCAGGGCCAACCCGTCCCCCCAATCACCTGGAGCTTTCCCCACGCTGGCTCAGGCCCCACTGGCTGGATCTCGTTACAAGGCACACCGCAATTTTGGGTTGGGGACAATACATCCCTCCTGGTCTTGGCATCATGGGATGTTCGAGTGCTCCATCCCTTTGATACAATATCCGGGATCCTCCCGAAAGCTTTCAGCACGCTCACATTCACCTACCGTCTCACTTTTCGGGTCGATGGCACGGTTGAGGCCACTCGGATCCTTGGCTCGTCTAGACCCATTGCGCTGACAGAGCGTCTGGCCTGTTTTGCAGGCAAGAACGGCCAGCCTTGGGTTCATGTGGTTACTATTGATGGCCTCCAGGCTGCAATTGCACAAGATGCGCTGGTAAGCAGCAGCTTCAGTTTTTGCCCAACGTGCTCATGCTTCTGTAGCACGGGACCTTTTACGGCGCGTTCATAGAGCCTGAACGGCAACTCATCCTCCTGACCACTGAATGCGATGAGGTCTGTGTCTACGATTACGAGAAGCTTATCCAGGCCTGTACCTCCCCTCCGGCCAATACCCAATCTCTGGTTACCGAGCAAAGAAGGGCCGAAAAAGTCCGAATACGGTCTTCAGAAGGATACCAAGAAGCTTGTATCCCTCACCAAGTGTGGTTTCTTTCGCACCCCGATTCTACTTTGGTCATGGCCATGCGGCGAGACAAGGACATTAAGCTATTCGTGCTGCAGCCGGGATCTGATTCACTGCCTTCTTCATGGGCACATCTTCCCATCGCTGACGACGAATATATTAACTCTTTATGCCTATCGCCGGACGGTTGCAGCCTCATCTATCTCCTTCGGCAGGAGGGAAATGAACCTCGCACGGTCTTGCGAGTCGCTCGTCTCCCATCGTTTCCAGCGACTCACTCTACGAAACGAACCGCCCGTTGCTCCGACCCTCGGGACGTGTGTGTCTCAGATGACACTAACGGCGACATCTTCCGGCATTGCAATAATATGCATGCAATGTCCCTTCCCAACAACAGCTCTGGCTGCAGAGTTCTACTCGGTATCCAAGAGACGAAATTGTGGCTGGAACTAGACTTGAAGATTGATATCTCACGGGACGTTACTCCAAACGTGCCAGTACCACCGGAACTGGCACTTGTCAACATTCCACTCCCAAGTGAACATGACGTCCAGGAAACTGTGAGCCCTATTTAGCCATTATCAGAGTGCAATGAGTATCTGATCCCTGCGTATCTGAACAGTTGCGACTTTGGGCTCTCACAGCGGCTGGCGGGGTGATCGAAGAGGCTATGTTCCAGCAGTCTCTGAATACTGGAACTATACCCTCTGCAATGATCGAGCAGCAGGAAGTCACACTCCCAACATGGACTTCTGGAGTCGACCGGAGGGCTTAGGCCACGTTTTGAAGAGGAGTTTCGGCGTTGTACGGCCCTTATCTGCTAAGCTGTTAGCTCAGGCGCATTCGTCAATCTGTGGATCTGTGCGACGCCCACACGGCACGTGGCGCGGTACTTTGCGATTCTCGAACACACCGAGGAACCGTCCCATTCTAGCCATCGATACAACTTCAAATTTTCCGATGACAGCGCGCAAGTGGCTTACGAACTGGTGCGCACTCCTCTATCAGAGTTCAAGCAGTTCGAGTGGCAAAGGGAATATTTCAAGTCTATCCATCCTGATGCCGGCCGACGTTCCACAGCAATCGCGGAAGACATCACATTGTTACTCAACAAGCGCAAGAAGATCGGCGCACGTCGCGCCGCCGCCGTTCGAATGGGGTGGTCCAAAGGCAGCGACGACATGCTAGTCGATTAGGGTTTATCCGGTGACTAGTTCCTGTCCGATACATCCAGTAGGGTGCTACGCTCGAGGCCGTTGTGTTCCGCAATTTAGTCACTATCGCTTGCAGCTCCTAGCGATTGATGTTAGAAGTCCCTTCTGATATCGCTTGGAGCACTTACATCTACATCAGATACATGCATCATCGAGTCAAACTGTTCTTGATATGGCATCGTCCAGGATGGAGAGGGAGAGACAATGAAGTGCTTCGTCAGGGTTTGCAATATCACCTCGCGGAGTAGCCGCACGGTTGCCCCACACTCACGGGTTGGGACATTGGAAACTTCTTAGGCGCCACTTTGTACCCATTCTACAATGCCCATATTTAGATTCATACAGACCAATCGTTCAGATTTTCATTGATTGCTCCTCCTGCTACATCTGCTAGTCATTTCTACAAAAGTTAGAAGTCGACAGCAAATGTCATAACAGTAATGCTTGACTGGGGGAACGTCTACAAGCATCCGTCAGACAGAGTTCATCTAGAATCATCAAAGAAAGCTTCACATAATTGAACTCGCTCGAGTCCACAATTCCAAAGCTGCTCGCCACTGGGGTGATGACATCGGGCGTCTCAAGCGTGTTGCTGATGTTATACACGCCCGGAGTAGGATACAGCCCCGCCGATAGCTGCTGGGCAGTACCAAACCCGCCAATTACAGGGAAGTCAAAGAAAAGGTTGCCAACGAGATCCGCTGATCCGGTGTTGACGACCTTGAGGAAGACGAGCTGATTGGTTGCGTGGTGAGATGCCACCCAGTATAGCGGCGCAGTCGAAGGGGAAGGCTCGGGGATGGTCGCAAGGACGTGCGTGCCGAGATTAGTAGCAAAAAGCTTTCGGACATCAGGATTGAGAAAGGGTTTTGTAAGAGTCAAAGAACCTGTTGGTTATAGTAGGACACTGACTTAGCTACGCTTCTAGCGCTGAACGTGATGATGCTGAGCAAAAGCATTCAGTCCGATCGTGCATTCTACAAAAAAAACACCTTACTCCGGTGTCCACTGATACGAGTTGACATTTTGTAAGCTTGGTGCATCTGAGAGAAACCTCTCAGCTTCACAGATTTTGTGGCTAACTCTCTGACATACGCACATGCAGAAGCGAATACCACATCCGAATTTCTCTCCATTCCCGTCATAAACGCTGCCTCCTATGACATGCGTATCGGTTCCTCCAACCTCATCAGCGCCACAGGCCACTCACCGCACAAGCACCCTCCAGCGTCGGGTACAGCAGCCGACCACAGCTTGGGCTACCCAGCTCACACCCTGTCTCTGTGCCCGTGACCGCATATTCGCCCATGAACCATTGGGTTCCGTTCCGCGGATAGGTGTCGAACATGTAACTGTTGTTGATGAACCAGCCGGGGGTCGAATATTGGTGGACTGAAGAGGGAAGATGTCAGATGCAAAGAGGAAACAAGAGTAGACGAGGACGAAGGTACAGTCAATCTTCAGATAAGGCGGATCAAGCGGAAGTGAAGGCGGTGAAGTTGCGAGGAACTGCAAGCTGAGATGAGGGAAAGAGGCGTTTATCCCATCGACAAACATCTGCCAGCGATACGCCTGATAACTAGAGTCATATTGATGAGCAACCTTCCAACCAACCTCCATGAAAAAAAACTCACGAATCGGGTGCGAATTGGTCCTCGTTCCCACTGCAGCTTCTTCAGCGGATCTCTGGGTCCAGATGAGAGGCTTCTTACACTTCGATGTACGTCAGGTTGTATGGTGCTGGATGTCCATATTCTGCACGAAGAGCGGCCCATTCGCTCGTCTGCATGCTCGATCTCAGCGTCAAATCAGTCAGCGCTGAAAATCATGACACACATTCTCAGGATCTGTGATGAAGTGAATCTCATTAATCACATCATCGATATAGGGCTGCAGCTGGTCTTGAGGCACGATCGGCCAGTCGGGAAGGTCGCTGTAGTTGCCGATGCTCACGCCAGCCCATACACCCAGGATCGGGACCTATGATGAGATAAGAGAGATGATAAGAACACCAGCTAAGTGACTAACTGCCTCGAGGTCTTCGATCCAGTCGAGATATTCCATTAGGCCAAGACCGTCGGTATTAGGGTATCCTGTTTCAAATCAGCAAGCAGGGTAGAAAGATAGCGATTGATGATTACCCCAGTCGCCAACCCTGCCTGGGCGGTTCTCCAAGGGACCAATTGTTTCGTTCCACTTCCACCTCTGCTCCCATGTCTGTCCCTCCAAGTTATTCCCTCCGGGGAACCTCCACAGCTTCGGACTCGTGTCAAACAGCGCTTGGGCAAGATCCATCCTCAGACCATTCTCTCTTCCCCTGAACGTGGGTGGGAAGAGTGAGAACATCCCAAAATAGAGTGTCTGTCCCGCAGCGGCAGCGCCGTCCACAGTCACAGTGAAGAGGTTGTTGTGGTCCGGTGCGGAGTTGGTGGGTGATAAGATGAAAGTGAGTTTTTGATAGGTATCCTTGACGTTGGAGAGGGTGACACTGTCGTAGATGGTGCCAGAAGCACTCTGAAGAGCGACTGTGACGGACCCGCAGTAGCCGGGAGACTTGACATACAGGGAACCGGTGTAAGTCCAGCCGGCTTGGACGTTGATTCCCCAGTAGCCAGTCTATCTCCATTCAGCAAGTAACTAAAGAGGTAAAAAAGATAAATACATTGGCGAACCTAATTGGACCTTTAGCCGTCTTTGGGATGCTGACTTGCAGACTGTTCGGCAGAGCACTGGAGACCCCGCTCGTTCCTGCTGTGACCGTCAGGAAAGCACCGTTGATAGACTGCCATCCCTGCAACCTAAAAAATTCAGGTTGTGTACAAAGTTGAAGAAAAAGATGCAGACGCTGCGCCAGTGTTGGGAATCACGCCCTGTAAAGCGCGGTTCTGCAACAACTCGGCATATAATCCTCCATCCCCGCTATGGTTGATGTCTTCCCACATGTAACCATATCTGCCAACGATACTTAGCAGCTTCACAGGTGTGGATAGAAAGTGCAGATACAAGGTTGGAGATATTGTATGCGTCATGTTCTGTGTAATTCGCAGATTCAGCGCGTTGGGCGGCGTGATTTGCCCATTCGCACTGGCAGCCAACGCCAGCGCCCAGATGGTCAACACAGATCCCAGCATGTCAGACTAGAGCTGGCAGGAGACAGCGGATCAAGAGGCAACAGATTGTGCTAGGAAGGAACATCGTATTAACAGCTGCTTGAGTACACAAGCGGGGTAAAGACAAGAGGAGTGAGCGCTGGGCAAAGCGTATGTCCGAGCGGTGCGATCGGTCCGGTATAGAACACTCCCACGTTCTGGATTGTACTGGCAGGCAACATCTAATACAGCATCAAGTCCGAGACGAAGAATGCCAAATAGATATGCCAGCCATACAAGAATCGAAGCAAGTTGGGCATCATGTGTCCTGTTCGTAGACATGTTGATGTGAGAGAAGCGAATCGAGTGACGCGCACACAGAGCGACCCTGTGCGTGTACCTTCATTTCTTCGAGCAATCTACAACTATTTCTCCTGTCTCCTCGGTCTAATTAAATACAATGTCTGTCGAGCCGCTACCTATTCGTGATCGACCCACACTCAAGCAAATTGAGAGCCTGGTAGCCCGTTTAAGACGGAGGTGAGTGGGTCGTACTCCATTTCGGACTGGGCTGAGAGTCGAGTCAGGCAGGTCATAGGCGCGCAAGAGACAGCACTGGAAACTGCGCTGCTACTACGACAAATTGTATCAGTTGCACGATTCAACAACATAGATCAACTCATACAATTGATCAAATCCATCGCAAGACGTTTAACAGATGCGAATCCAAAAGGTGCGCCCGGATTCAGTGCGTTCGGCACCAGAGCTGATGCCTTGCAGAATTCGCGGTGGGGAACATAGTCCGTCGTGTTCTCCGCCTAATTCGAGAGGAGAGCGCAGCGGCACTCGGCGTACCGCCCGACGAGCCCAGCACCTCGTCCTCCCCCGCACCTCCTGGCACCCCCTCCTACCCTAATCCATGCGACCTCTCCGCCCGCCGATCGTCATTGCGCGCCAACAGCCTCGCAAACTTCATGATCATGGGTAACCAGCGAGTTCGGCCTCCGATCGAGATGAGGCACGAGAGCAAAGACTTTGAGCATGGGGAGAGGGGGATGCATGAGGAGCATGTACAGGGATGGGACGGAGAAAAGAAGCCTGTGGCGATCACGGTGAAGCCGCTGTTGATACAGGCTATACAGGAGGTCATCGATGAGCTCGAGACGGTGTACGAGAACGTGGCCAAGACCGCAAGGGATCATATTTACGACGGGTGGGCTCTTATTCCCATCGAAACATAGATGTATGCTAATGCGCTGCTACAGGGAAATCATCCTAACACTTTCCTACTCCCGCACCATTGAACAGTTCCTCAAGTCCGCCGCCCGTGATAGACACTTCACCGTCATCGTGGCCGAGACCGCGCCGAGTTACTCCGGACGGCAAATGGCGACTGCCCTCTCAAGCCTGAACATCCCAACCGTGCTCATTCCGGACAGTTCGATCTATCCGCTCATGCCAAGGATCACAAAGGTCATCCTGGGCGCACATGCGATCCTCGCTAATGGAGGGTTGTTCACTCAGACCGGGTGTGCATTGGCTGCCGCTGCCGCTAGGGCGCACTCGACGCCTGTGGTTGTCTGTGCTGGGCAGTTCAAGCTCACTCCCGCATGGAACTTGTATCATGAATATGCTGCACTCGACTTTGCCGGTCCAGAGAAGGTGATTAGCTTCGAGGAGGGCGGCGGGGGAGAGAGAGCCAGCAAGCCCCTTGAAGTTGTCAACCCTGTATACGACTATGTTGCTCCAGAGTTGGTGGACGTATTGATCACGAATGAGTGCGTGTTCTTGTTCTTGGGTTACTTGGTCGACTAACGCGCTTACAGCGGCGATCATCCACCACCATATGTATATCGGTTGATCAAGGAGACGTACGACGATGAGGACTTGCAGCTGTAGCGTACACCTAATGTTAATGATGCTGTGGTATGACCACGGCGATTTTTATGTTGGCGCAACCCAACCAGTTCGTGCCAATTGCAAGAATCTTGTTAACGACCGTCAATGGTATTACGACGACAGGAGAATCCGAGATAATGGTGCCCAAGGGGAAGATAGACAGAGTCAAAGGAAGACGAAGGATTACATAGCGCAAACGCAGAAAGGAGCGACGGGACCCAATCCTAACGAGTAGTGGGGAGAGTGGTGCAGCGCAAGTGAAGGCAGGGCTTTTAGCCGCCTAAGCCCGCATGGGGATCACGCGATGCCCGGCCCAACTTCGAGAACTTCGAGAACATGGAAATCTAGTCTAAGCAACGGTGCAGCAGCCTTGGGAGGCAGCGCGATCCGCATACGGGTCTTCATTCTTGTTGACGGGGCCCCAGACGGAGGGGACGAGGTAATCCTTCGTCTGTCTGCAGTAGCGGATCAAGCTGCGTAAGGCATGAGATACCTTCACCCCAGCGAACTAAGAAAACACCAGCGCACCTGGTCGCAGCCTCGCTCACCCTCATCCGGGGGCGCTGCAAGTCCTCCTTCAACCGCTGGTTGTGCTCCGTCAGTCTCCGGAGCTTGAGCTCGCTCATGCTCTGCTTGTGCGGGCGGTTGTTCATCGTTGTTGGAGAACGGGGGGTGATGAGCTTGTCCGGTTTTGGCTGGGGGTTCTTGGCAGACTGGGAACGCGCGTGTAGATGAGTGGTCCTTCCTGATGATACTGGTGCTGCTGGTGGGGCAGGCGGAGATACGCGAGTGGTGTCGTAATTAGCAGAGTGTGGAGAGCTAAAGCGGTACTCGCCGTTGGCCATGGTGAGTACGTCGCACGATGCTGGCGAGAAAGCAAGAAACAGACTCACAAAAGTGACTTGCTGTTGTTTATAACCAAGTCACACAATGAAAGAGTGAAGGTGAATGTGGTTGTGGTAGTTAAAAATTGCCCACAATCGACGAAGGAAGATGAAGGGACAATATGACAATGGGCAATAAACACCAAATGGACGACCGCAGAGAAAACGGAGCCTTTTGGTCGCTATAGCGGAATCAGTCGTTGCAACCTTCTTTCTCGTCCTCCCATTATGGCGTTTCTCTCAAAATACCCATTCCAAGTTGAATGAGCTTTCATTCTTATTCTCCCAGAGAACAACTTGAACTCCCCGAGATCTATTATCTCCACAACTCACGGAGAAATCAAGGAACCGCACGACTCCACAACGAATATCTGTTCTCCCGGGACAAATACATCACGTGAAATGCAATTTACTGAGGAAAGACTGCCTTAGAAAAGACGACAGAAGGAAGTCTAAAAAAACCAGCACGTCGTAGCTTCGTGGGAAGCTTCAGCGATTCCTTTCGCATGACAGGTTCCATAGATCAGAATTCTGCACGTCATAACTAGACCTTTCGGCGGCCGAGATTTCAGAAAAGCATGTGCGATAAATTATATCCTTGGAGCTGGGATCTACCTGACCATATGGGAGTCTATATTACAGTGTCTTTTACCAGACCATAGAAGAAACGAAGCGCGCGCATATGGGGCAGCGCAGTTATTGCTGATCCTTGAACACATCTACATACCGGTTCCGTATATTCTTCTTCCCTCCCATGGCGCGGGACTGTGGGCGGGAAGGTGGTCCGCCGACTGACGGGGTTCCACTCGAAGGGGGAGGCGTCGCAGTCGGTGTAGTCGCTGTGGGAGTCAGAGAAGAACCATCGTCTGAAGCAGCAGTGAAGGACTCGGCGAGACCGGAACGCATGCGTGGAGGTACAGCCGACATTGCACGTGGCGGGCCCCCAGCGGCTCCAGGTGGTGGGTGTCGAGCTGTACCATTCGCCATTGGCGACGACGGCAGAGAACTCCTACCAAACTCAGAGCTTAGACGCGGACTACGGGCACCACCGGGAGACACTGTCTGAGCGCGCGGTGGAGGCGTTGCAGGCTTGGGAGGCTCGGCGCCCGATCCAGCCTGTAATATGAGTCAGCGCAGCGTCGAGACAAAACCACACAACCACATACAGATTTGTTGACCCACCGCTTCAGCTCTTTGTCGTAATAGAACGTATTTTGATCTCCCAGATTAGCCTTGACAGGCGGGCTGTGAAGATCTTCGTCCTTTTTGGCTCCAAACCAGCCAGAGAACCAGCCAGATGATTTAGCAGCTAAGATACATTGAGTACGATGCAGCAGCCGTGCAAAAAATTATAGTTCTTACCAGGCTTCTTTTCTCCAGGTGAGGTGGGCTTTTGCTCCTCCTTCTTCTCTTTCGCAGCATCATCCTCAACAGGCATGGGTTTTGGACGTGAGTTGCCAAATCCAAGATCATCGTCCTCATCATCGAGCGAGGTCGCATTTTGCGATTGCTTCGGCTGCTGGGAGACCATCGGAACAGGCATGATATCATCCATCAGGGAGATGAACTCCCCTGACTCAGTAGCCAAGGCCGAAGCTGGTTGATAGGTGTCCATTGTGGGTGTTCTCTCGTCCATCCCACTGGCATTCCACCACCCACCACCTTGAGATTCCGATTCCGCTGGTGCTTGCGGAACAAAAGTGGAGATTCCATTGTCGCCAGTTTGTTGGAATGTAGACATCGTCGCGTCCGCAGAAAACATCCTTGGCGGCGACACTGCGCGAGGCCGAGGCCGATCCATGGCGGAAGCCGCTCGGTCGATGGGGGTTGCGAACGGTTGCGGCGCACTATAGCGCATGCTCATGGCAGAGCCAGTCCTTCGCGCTGGTGGGGTGATGGACTGGCCCGCGAGATTGGTGCTTGAACCATGTGGAGAGGGATCGGTCGATGGGGCCGCAGAAGAAATAGCGCTGTAGTGCGAAAAAGGTCCGACGGGGCCTTGCGTGGTAGTATCCGAGTTTTCTTGCACCTCGACCTGTCCTTGTACCTCCCCTTCCCCTGCAATGAACTTGCTTATGTTTGTACCCACCCAAGATCCAAACCCATCGAGAGTTGGCTTGGGCACTTTATTTGCCCAGAAGCCAACAGCTTCTTGAGGGGCCTGGGTCAGTCGATCCTGAATGTCCTTCATCTTGACAAGAAGCGATTGCGCGTAGAGCTGGTTGGCTCTGCCTCCGCTTAGCTTGATCGTTTGCTGGATGGAGTCAACATATCGGATCGCCAGGTTCGTATGTCCCATCTCTGCGAGGTTGATAGCATGCAGAAGGCGGTACGGCTGAAGATGAGGGAGACCGATGAAAGAGTCTTGTCCCTTCGTGGTCAGCGCTAATGAATAGGCGAATTCCACAACCTCGGACAAACGGATGGTATCCATGTCGCAATGAAAATTGGGTACCTTATTGGGATTGCTTATGCCAATGAGCACCATTCTAACTGAAGGAGCACCTGCTGCACCAAACGGTGACGTTTGCGGCGAAAGGAGGTAGCTGATACGAAAATTAGCCATCGCAATGAAAGGTGAACTGGACATCATACCAGGCATGTGCCGCCTCGATCCAGTTGTTCATGATCAGGTAGTCGCCGAGCTGAGTCAACGCAGCCGAACTTCCCGCTGAAGCATTAGAAAGGATGGTGGCTGCAGCTTCTCGCCACTTCTCGAGGGACCGGATGGGTATATTTGACGCTAACTCTGGCTGCGGGAAGTTTGGTGACATGGGCGTTATGTGGTGCACTGGGGGAACTGCAGGTGAGAGCATGCCATGCAACCCAGAGTTTTTCATCAGAGACTTTGGCGGAAGCAGCTCTTGGACAGCAGCTGCTCCATTCCCAGCGAAAAGGCTATAGGCAATCCTGAGACTCTCATGACCACCCGCCCTGTCCAATGGAGACGCGAGCTCATAGCGGAGGAACTCGCCTACTGCTTCTTTCCATGCCCCCTTGTCGATACTGCTTGATATTACGAGAGCATGTGCCCACATCTTCTCGTCCAACGCATAATGCACCGCTTCGCGCCGTTGTCCTCGAAGAAGTAAAAGCCGCAGCCGTTCTAATGCTGATGGCCGAACACTGTAGATCATAAGAGGCTCTTCGGACGTCATTTGCGCGGAGGAGCCCATGAAGGGGCTCATCAGACCATCTGAGGGAGGCGGCGGTACTGGTGACTTGCCTACACCAAAGCTCCTACTAAACACGGAGGGGGCGACGAGGTTGTTCGATTCTGGCATCGGGACAGGTGCATCACCAGTATCAGGGACCAGCACAGCTCGAACGGCGTTATCGATGACAGGGCTAGTTTCAATCAGCAATATGTTGCGTAGAACAGGGGTGAAACTCACCTTCCGGATATTTTGCCATCGTTGTCTACTAAGACTTTCAACAGCTTCACCAGCAATAGCTTGCCTTCGGCCGATCGCCGAGCCACTTCATGCTCTGGTCCCGCTGCCAAATACGCCAAACCGCTTTCAATTTCAGTTGCGCGATCCTCAAGATATCTTGTTACGATTGGTTTCTTCGATTTGGATGCTGCTGATGCATTCCCTCTGTTGAAACCGCCGGTTAAAGAGGCCGAGGAGGGATCAGCGAGCAATGGGCCTGGGAAAGGTGTCGATGACGATTCCACTGCGGATGCAGGGATGACGTTCTGCAACAATCTGATATAGACAGCACGGGCACCGGGTTTAACCAAGCCCATAGATGAGGACGGGGCTGAGAAGCAGGTCAAGAACTTTCCTCCTAGTCCGAATGATATTGTCGGAGCCGACGAGTGCTCCCTGCCCAGCGGATCATCTGCCGACCTGGATGTCGAAGGGGCATACAACGAGGGAGCTTGCGAGGAATCACCTTCAGCCCCATAAACCGAGGGCATGGATGAAGACTGAGACATTGCGATTCCTGGTGCATATGGATCGTGCGGTAGTCCGTCATAGGTGAACCGCGATGAATAAGCTCCTCCATAGTCAGATAAATCGCCGACCTTCGTTTGTGGAAGAGATTCATGCCCAGCAAATTCAGGCATGGGCAACGGAATACCCGCTGGCGCGGGAGGCGCAGCGACTCGAGGGGGCGGTGCATACGGGTCATAAACCATATCGCTTGCGGGTGCGAAATGGCTTCCTTGGGGAGCTACTGGAACATCATCCAGCGGTTCATCAGTGAAAGACTGGGTGGCCTCCGTAGGTGGTTGATTAACCGGGTTGTAGTCATGCTCATAGGACTGCCACTGGGGTTGATAAGGTTCGTAATTCTGATATGAATGTTCTGTGGCAGTCTTGTTAATCTGCTCCTCTTCTGGCTCGGACTCGGGCACGGGTACTTCCTCGATTGGCGGGAGGGAGGTCTCTGAGATGAATGCATCGAACGTCCCGTAGTCATATGTCATGGCAGAGCTCCCTTCGCCGAATGTAGGTATGTCGTCGAAACCGTAATTCTGACTCGGCTCGATATGGGTACTGACCGTCACAGCATGATCGAGTTGCTCATGGTGTTCTCTTGCATCCAAGGAAACAGGTTCGTATTCCGCCATCGTACTATGTGTAGTCATTATTTCCACTTCTGGTGTGAGATCTTCTCGACCGGGAACACCACCGAAGTCAAGAACAGCCGTATGCTCCGGCCTAAGCTTCAGGTCTTCCTCAGCCTGGTGCGATTCCCCTGGGTATGGTGGCTCAGGATGCCCCCAATTCGGTTCTTCCTCAGCTGCGAAAATAGGATTCGAGGCTTCCCAAGCATGAGATTTGGCGTCCTCCTCAGGTGGTGTGGGGTGCTCTAAACGTTCGACAGAGGGGTCCTCCTCGTTTAGGCTTTCCTGCTCCGTGGAAAGCATGGACTGTGGTTGCTGCGCTATGCCAAAGACGTCATAATGAGCTGCCGGCTCGAAAGGCGGCGGCTCTGTGTAGAACGAAAAACCTTCAGGGGACGGTGAGGCATGGTGAGAAGCCGCTGGAGGGGCCACGGACTTGTGGTGTGCAGTGTGGGCAGGTGGTAGACCGAAGGCGTGTGCAGAAGGTGGAGGACCAGGCGGCGGCGGCGGAGGCCCCGGTGGACCAGGAGATCTCAGCACCTGGCCAACCGGTGGCGGTCCATGGGGAGGAGGGGAGAATCCTGAAGGCAGGCCGCGTGAAGACCCGCGCGAAGGCCCGCGCGGTGGGCCAGGGGGAGGTCCCGGCGGAGGTCCAGGAGGCGGTGGCGCGGACATGGCCATAGAGGCTGCAGAATAGAGGTCTGGACTTCTCATACCGTATGAGCTTGTCGGCGAGGTCAGTCCATCGCCCTGCCGATGCCGTGGGACAAATCGGCTAGGAGGTAGAGGTGGGTCATATGCATTCGGTGTTTGCTTGTCAGTCATCGTCGAATGAACCGCCGCAGTCTTCTTCTCCGGGGTGACCTTGGCTGGTGGGGCTGGCTGATCATATACACCATATCCATATGAACTGCTCGATCGCACATGCCTAACCGTGGGTTTTGCAGAACCTGGCGGCACTTTAGGATTGTCGGCTGGTTTGTAGGGATCGTACGCATCTGTTGAAGATGTTGTGGCATAGATCTCCGACTGGGGTTGTCGATGGCCAGTTGTACCTGTAGTCGGTGCGAGAGTCGAAGCAGAAGGCACGTATGGAGATGCAAATGCTTGTTGTGATTGTGCTGCTGGCGCATATGCGGGTTGCGGAGGGGCATACTGCGCGACAGGAGGTGCTGCTGGTTGTGCGGGAGCGTACGGGTTGTACATTGACAATGGCGCATACGCGGAATACGCATGAGACTGCTCCTGTTGAACCTCGCCTTGATCGACTTCGACGAAGGTGGGAGGTAAAGGAACAGCGATTTGGGGAGAGTAAGGGCCGGGTGCAGTTTCGGAGACAGTACCATATGAACTGTAGTCGTGTTGTATGGGATCCCCCGACATGCCATTAGTTTGTGCTACTTACGTATGAGTACACGACACATCTTCGATAGCTGATGAAGGCTCACTATTTGTCCACTCTGTGCCTTCTGCTCCTTGATCAATCATGTCGTACCAAATCCAATTCCCATGCTCATCCCAATATCCTTGCTGCTCCCAATTGTTGCTCGCCTCACTGTCATGGTGGTGCTCAGTCTCCTGAACTTCCGCGGTAGGTCCATAAGTGGTGCCACAGAACCCAGCAATGTCCGAATTCGTGGCAGTCTCATGCAGGCGAACAGGTTCACCATGTTGCAAAAAGGGATCGTTGGAGGCGCCTTGATGACTAGCCGTGGTTCCAAAGAGTTCAGCAACCGCATCGTGCTGTGCAGACTGTGACGGTGATTCCTTCGGGCTCCCAACGTGGGAAAAGAATGGGTCGATTACGGAATCTGCGCTGCCAAAAAGCGACGCGGCAGCGGCGACGTCTTCCTCATTCTTGTCTACCGCAGACATTTTAAAGAGGAGAATTCATGGGCGAAGAGGTATAACGGTGAGGATATGCGCTTGACGTTAGGTGCAAGGGCGTCTCCCAAAGTCCACGACTGGATGCAACCGGGGACGGAACCAATCTCGCGTCAATGAAAGCTTCCGACGACGTGGAAGATCAATCATCAGCAAGCAGTCGGAGATAACTATCCCAACTCGTTAATAGCATTATTATCGGCAAATATACACCACGTTGTATACATCCCTCTGCATCTGCGAAGAACAGTATTCCCTGTCTCGTGCACAATTAGACCTTTGAAGCCCCGCCTGCAGTCGTGCTAATCCCCCGATTCTTCCAGGAGGCATGTGAACAACTTGTCATTGGAATCTGAGTGTGGCTACCTAAGACGAAAACTGGGCTGGAGTAGATCGATTACAAAGAGGCGTAGGTAAAATGTAAACTGACAAGGTATGAGTGACGAAGTGCAGTGCGGGTTAAATGAAGTGCTTGAGAATATGATTGAAAATGTATTTACGGTAGGTTGGAAATCACGGAAGATACTGGTGAACTCGCGAGCAATCGAAGAAAGATGTACGTCCTTGATGAATGCCAGCAATACAGTGAGGTGAGATGTCGCTCCTGTGAACAACAATGGCGTTCATAATGTCGAGCGAAGGGGGGAGGGGACAAAGGCCGGAGCTGCAGGTAGGCCAATCAAGGGCTGAGGAGCGATTGGGCACCTGTCATTGAGGAGCCCTTCAACTGTGTCGCTTTTAGTAAGAACCGACTGTGGTCATTTGATCACTTACTGGCTGTCAAATGCTTGTTGAAACTTCCCGCAGTGAACTTGCGCATGCTACCCAGGTGGGGACGGATACGGCTGGCTAAGGCTTGCAGTTGATCACCTTCGACCACGCTCAGTGCACGTTGCAGAACATAGTCTGGAAAGTCTTAGCACGGTGGAACACCACCTCGAAAAGTATGTACATACTTGCAAACTGGTCCTTCATCATGAGTTGCACAGGGCTGACGCCATTTGGCTTAGGCGTCATCAACTCGTCGATGAGCAGACGACGGGATTCGGAATCGGCCGTCATTAACGCTTTCTCGCAGACATTGGATGCAAACTTGTGACAAGCCATCATAAGCATCTGGCCACGCAACTTAGCAATGACACGAGCGCGATCTTCAGGCTGGCCGTGTTCTAGCACAAACTGCACAACGTAGTTCTGAAAACCTATTAGGATCTTACGATTTGGCCATGAATAAACGGTAACGCACCCCAAACTGGTCTTGCATGAGGTTGGCAGTATGCTCATGCAGCTCATCCAATAACGGACGAGTTTGCTCCTCGGTGAGGTGCTCAAGGCATCTTTGCAGAACACGACAGCCGTACGTATGCGTCGACAAATCGTAGACACTTCCCTTGAAGGCTTCAACGAAGGTGAGACGATCCGGTGAAACACGTTCGATTAGTTTCTGAACAACCTAAAGAAATCATTCAGTAAAGTATGGCGCAGAGGTTTTTGGAAACGTACATGATTCCCATTGGCGTCCTTCACGCACTTCATGATGTCCGGAGCGAGTTCCGCAATGAGTTGACTCTGTTGCTCGGGAGTGATGTACTCGATGGCCTGTACGAATTATGAGAAGCAGCGGCAGCGCTGAAGAGAAAACACGCACCTTCTGGACTACCCTGCATCCATACATATGCCAAGAGAGGATCAAGAAATGGCCCTGCATGGCCTCAAATATAGCATTCCTCTCAGTCTCGCCGCCGAACTCGATCAGCTTTTGGATAACCTATGGAAGATGTGAACGTTCAGTTGATGGAAAAACCGGAGAGCTTACATAATTGCCAAAGACGTCCGTGACGAGGGGCATAATGTTCCCAGCGAGAATTTCGTCGAAGACCATTTGCTTCTCCTCAGGGGTGGCAGTGTCGAGCTTGATCTGGATGAAGCGAGAACCATGCTGATCTGCGCTGAATTCGTTCACGTGTCCAAAGAGGTTCTGCACCGCAAGAAGAGCGGACCATCAGACGATGGATGATGAAAATTCGCTGCGGCTTACTCACCCGAAGTTCCCATTTCCTTGTCTTGTTTGCCCGGAACTCTTCCAAGAGAGGACTCCTCACGCCATTATTCAGATCACTACGTTCCGGCCTCCGAGTGCGATTAAACATGGACGGTGCGTTGTGTTGTACCATGTGGTTTGGGTGACTAGGGTGAAACGCGGGCGTTCCTGGAACCGGGACAGGCATCGACATCGGGGTCGCAAACTGCTGGTACATCTGGGCACCACCCTGTTGACGCATCGCGTTCAACCCAGCAGTCTGGCGCTGCATGAATTGCGCCTGCTGAAGGTTCATCTAGTGAGAGTATGAGCAACAGGCTTGACAGCTTCAAAGGGGGACGCACGTCTCCAGCACTCTTTGCCCTGTGCAACTGAGCATTTGCGGATGCGTTCGGGAGCGCGAGCGTGTTGTGCATGGGCCCGGGCGAAAACATCATCGCTTGATGTAATGGAGTACCAGGATAGAAGTAGGGCGGTGGTCTAGCCGGCCCAGTGTAATCGGGGAAGAACATTGTGGTCGGTGAGCGAGCTTCCAGCAACGGGGAACCCAGCATTCCTAGCTGCGGCGACTGCATGACAGGCCTAGCTGCCACCATGGTGGCTGAAGGCCCACCGTATACATTCGGGTCTGGAGAATTCCTGAATGCATCGTAGGAATACGTGAACACGTCAGCAACGGGTGATGCTGGGTAATACGCGTTATAATCGGCCTGTGGGGGATATTGGTACTGAAGACGCGAGGCTTGCAAAGTTGCGTTCATGACGGCCGCGCTATTGGCACCAATACCGTTGCTGAGCTGGAGGGCAGGCATGGACATCGTAGATCCTTGTACGGAGGCCGCTTGGGGTTGCAGAAGTGTTGTCGCGTTCTGAAGGCGAACACCGGACACCGCTTGGTCGAAGGAATCGCCCAGCTGCAGACCGTTAAATGTTAAGGACAAATCATCGGCAGACTTTGCCACATGCGAGCCATTGACCATTAAGGCATCAGCGCTGGGACCATGGATGGACGCATAGGGTGGTGTCGGGTAAGGATTGAGGGTGGTCGGGCCTTTGGTTGGGGTGGTCTGAAACATCCCGTTGATATCCTTGTCATATCGCCCCTGCTCAGAGGGAAAAACAAAGAAACAGTAAGTCACCAGTGAAGACACAACACAATGGTTCCCACCGTAGGCTTACGAATAGCCTCTTCTTCGGCTTGTCCGGCGCTCACAATTCTACGCATGTGGGGACCCAGAGCCACGTCGTTCAAGTCTGGGGGTGCTAGAGAAGAAAGCACGGGCGCTGCTGTGACTTGTCGCGGACGCGGGTGCTGCGCCAGAGAATAATGGATCAGAAATGTGCTTGTCATGCCGGGATGACCAAAAAAAAAAGAAAGCCAACTATGTCGGCACAATTCTCCAATCATCACGGAGATGACATAAACAGAGAAAAGGCACAGCAATTGATGCATACCTGCCAACCTGGCCCCAGGGTATTCCCCGAGCCGTTCACTCCAACCCCAAGACTAGACGGCGTTAGCTTGCGAGAGCCTAGATGGGGTCAACGATGAAAAAAAGACGGTTTCGGAGTCATGACGCACTGGTCTGAGATGGCGAATGGCCTACAGAATGTGTCGAAGAACCGGAGGGCTTCCGGGAGGTAGTTCCGTCTGTGGTTGCCATTATCGATATTGCAAGAATCAAGCACGGGGTTTGCGCTAAAGCAAAGTAGCCAAAAAAGAAAGGAGGGAAGAATGAGGGTATGTATTAGGCAAGCCGAGTCTGGAATGAGAGGATGTGGCCGTTGAGGGCAAGGAGAGCGAGTTATTGTGCCAAGATTGTCCCAAGAGCCTTCCTACATACGGCGATCAAGTTGATTTGACGTCCGAGGGCCGAGCTAGAGGTGAGGACGCGACAGATGGTACGCGTCGCGTTGTTAGGGTATTCGGGCGACGTTGGTGGTTATAGGTAGATATAAACCGGGAATCGAAGGAATTATAAAGAGCGGATAATAAAGGGAGGGAGGTATTAGAGGTGAAAGGGGATCGATGTGCAGAAAGGATTGAGAGAGAGACCTGGAGAGGACTCGCCCGAAAAGGCAGAGGCTGACTTGGGTTAACGCGTTGTCGGGATTTTTCCCTCGTGCAAGGAAGATGCCTCCGCTTGTCGGAAGCTTCCGGAAGTACTTTTTCATAATCGGGCCCGCTGTTTTGAGTGAGTTATGAATGGGGACCGTTGCCGCTTCTTTTTGTTCACTTTAGAATGTACCCGTATCCCCACTCAAGCCTGGGCTGTGGCGCCCGCGGCATCATTCCATGGCGACTTGGTCAAACCCTTAGCAATTCACGGCAACTTGACGCTCCATGTTCTGACCAATTAAAGGGGCTGCGCATCTCCCCGTCTTGAAAAAATAGATTTTTTTTGGCGATTGACATCAAAATAAAGGGGTTACTCTATGCTACAGCCGGCCCTCCTCCAAGATACCGCTGCTGACTCTATTGGCTCGGGTATGTGGCGTGATTCTTATAGGATATGGGAAATGTGCGAATTTGAAATCGATGCAAACGAGAAAAAGAAAAAATAGCTCATGGTCAGAGCACTGCCTCAGCCACTTGGAACGATCACGATCGAGAGGCACTGAAGAACCACGACGCCCGCTGTTTACTCGCTACATTCGTCCAATCAATGCGGGACTTCACCTGGGAAAGAGATAAGAACTCACGAGATGCGCTAGAGCTTTGCAGAGGACAGAAATTGCGTTAGTCGCGAAGTGCTTGGATGCTTTGAAAGAAGTTCTCACCTGGCTTCCTCACCCTGGAGACGTGCAAGCGGACCGTTCGCGGGCGGGTTTGCCCCGCCCCCGCCGCGAAGCGGCTTAGCGATGCGGGCACTTGGTTGTGCGGCTGAGAATCGATCCCGCTTAATGAGTTCAAGGCTTTAACAATGAATGTCAGGACTCACTTCGCAGGTGCTCGGTCGCCTGATAGACGTTCCGGAATTGTTCGGCGTACCTCCGGTCGCGGTCCTCAATTTCCCTCATAGCATGGCGGAGCTGAGCTTCAAGACCGGCTATACGTTCATTTCGTGTGATCAATTTCCGCTCCGATGCACCAGCCTCCCGCTTTAGCAGGGCATTTTGATCCACGAGCTTGATACAACGTCAGAGTGCGACACCCCCATGCAGGCCAATGGTCACATACTTGTCGCTGAATGAGGGAAACTTGCTCAAGGTTCCGTTCCAGGATCGCCATCTTCTTCTGCTGAGCCTTGGTGTTACTATTGCGGATGACATTGCTGTATTGCTCTCTCATTTCATCCAGCTGGACCTCAAGCTCGATAACCTAGATCAAAGTGAGAAGGCATCAATTGGCAAGGATCACAACCCACCTTCTCGCATCGATCCTGAACGTCCCGCATAAGTGCCTTCTTGGTATTGTCAAACTCAGCTAACTGAGCCGCGATCGCCTTTCTCGTCCTCTCCAATTCCCGGGCGGTCTCGGCGAGATCCTTACCACCAGCAAGCCCGGCAGATGTTGCTTCGAATGCGCGCTGAGCCAAGCGATCAGTGATGCTATGAGAGGATAATGGGTTAGAGGAGACTACCTTCAGTTCCTCATTGACACCCTTCGAGCTGTCAAGTTCAGAGCTTAAGTTCCGAATGTCTCGTGTCCTTGTCTCGACCTGCTTCTGCAAGTCTTCAATCTCTGACTGTTGCGATTCCAGTTTGGCGGTGAACTGCGCCTCAAGCGTCGCCTGACTTGGGTCAAAACCAAGGCTTGTAATTATTTCAGAACAACTTACCTTGACTTCGGCATAGGCGAAATCTGCGTGGCCCTCTTTCGCTTCATATTTGGCTGGATCGCCCTATCAGCAATATTCAAGCATTAATATTGCCACTTACCAAATACGTCCTCCATATCTGCCTCGATCTGAGCATTTCTCCTTTCCAGATCCTGACGACGTTTGCTCAGAAGTGCGTTTTCCTCCTGTACTTCCTGCAACTTCTCCATCGCGTTCCGAAGGGCTTCATGCTCCTCAGCAAGTTGGCGTCTCACCAGGGCAATATCATCCAGAGTCAAAGCTTGGACACCCTCGTTGCTGTCAATACCAGCCAACTTAGTCAGTGTGGACTGCAGTTGGTCGTCTTTATCGGAAATGCCGACATGCTGCACATGATATTATAAGCAACCATTGCGCAAATCTCACCAAGACTACTGACCGATTCGAGTTTAGACATCATCAATGCCATAAGCTCCGCCTTCTTCTTTTCTTTGCCTTCCGCCAGTGAGGTCTTACGGGTCCTGCTCTGCAAAGCTGCTTTGTTGAGGTCCTCAACCTGCGCCACCAGTTCAGAGTTCTTCTGCTTCTCATCCTCAAGAGCGATTGTGAGCTCTTTCTTCTCAAAGGAAATCCTGTCACGCTCAAGGCGCAGCTCAATAAGCTCTGAGGAATGGGGGGGGATCTGTGACTCCTGAAATAATATCAGATAGGTGTGAGTAGTGAGATAGCCATATAATGTACCTTGGGTGGAGGTGGAACATCTCCTCGAAGGCCGGCCAGTTCTGCACGGAGTTCAACCAGCTCCTTCTCGGCAGCTGACAGCTGGGACTCCTACACGATAGTCAGATCACCTAGAGTTATTTCTGTTACGAGGAAGCATACCCTCTCGCCTAGCTGATCCGTCAGCTCATTCTCCCGTCTCAGGAACTCGTCTCGTTCATCCTTCTCAAGGCCGATGACCGTTGGTGTTTCTGGCCTGCTCTCTAACTCGCCTCTCAGGCCTTCCACCATAGGATTGATTGGTGTGCTCGGACGAGCCGGTGTCGTACTGGATGGGGTGGGCGCCTTCTTCATCGGTGCGCCCATACCTTTTACCCAAAAGGCAGGATCCACTTGCCCGCCTGACCGCCAAGTTCCCAGCTCAGCTTCCAAGTCGGCAATGAGTTTCTGGAAAGCGGCATTGTCGGTCTGCGCTTTTTTCAAGAGTAGCTTCAATTCGGCTGGGGACAGCTCTGCATTGACCCGAGCCTTATTCTTGATTGCTTTGGCACGCATACCGAAGCGGAGAGTCGACAGTGTCTCGGCTTCATTGTACGAAGAGGGAGAACAGTTAATAATGAGGGTGGTCCGCGAATTACCACCAAGAGATTCTTGCAGAATTCTCGTGAGCTTGGAATCACGGTAAGGAACGTGTGTGGACTAAGGACACATTCAGCTGCCATCTTGCACTATTTAAACAAGACGCACTTTGCCGTCCGTGAGCGCGTTGATGACCATACCCAACGCCGACAAGGACTTGTTGATCTTCTTCGCTTCCTCCAACGTCTGACCAGTTGCACCGGTCTTTCCAATCTTCTCTGAACCGGCAAGATCGACGAGATAAAGACTTCCAGACTTTTGAGCACCTGTATCGAGATTCTTCTGATTGATGATGATTAAGAAGATAGAATGTGAACGTGAGCTCTCGGCATTCATATCTGCAGACTGCATGAGCGATCTTGCCATCATGAAGATATTCTTCGCTTACTAGTTGCCGCAACCATACGAGCAAGACCACCTTGTCGCAGAAGTTCGTATATAGCTTCTGGACCTGTGGCATACTCCTCAATTAAACCCTTGACGTAGACTCCCTTGTTCTTCTCTTCGTGTATTTGCAAATTGTCGTTTTGGGCTGAGAGGAATATTGAGCATGTACCAAACGAGACAAAGGTGGCACATACGTGCGAGTAGATCACGAATCCTCTCCAGGTAGATCTCCATGTACGAGCACTTCACCAAGAACTCTATATTTTGGGGTGCTTCCTGGATGGCTGTAAAGATCTGCTCTGCTATGCGGGGTATGATGCCCTTCAACTCGTCGGAATCGATGTTGGCACCCTTGAAGAATATCAGCATTGGTACACATTAAAAGAGCATTGAGGCGCACCATCATGGTAAAGGTCTTTCCACTTCCAGTTTGACCATATGCGAATACTAAGCAGAGTCAGAGGAGTCATCCATCTCCATCTTAACGACAGAGTCCTTACTTGTGCCTACAAAAACACATGGTCAGTTCGTAACACCACACTGAGCATACATGCATACCATTGTATCCATTGATAACATCTAACGATAAAACGCATGCGTCAGCTAACTCCATAACCCAAGCTCTTCACTCGCCTGATACGATCCTAAACAACAATTAACATTGTAACCATAAACGTTGATGTACGTGCTCACCCTTTCACACCATAATCAAACACCTCATGCTGTTTTGTTCCCATAGGGAACACACGATCAAACGTGAACCCATCCTTTTCAGGTCCAGAGAGCCCAGCCGTTGAGCGCAGGCCGACCGTTGCTAAGCTGTCGTCGAAAGAGACGACCACCTCCCCTCCTTCCCGTGTCTCTATCGTATTCTGGGGCCGAAACCTAGGTCAAAGTAAGATTCCCATTGACTATTGACTGAGAACGTATCGAACCGGCAGACGACCTTGATGTTATTGGACATTAGGGTGACGAGTGATTAGGGGTGGTGAAACGTGAGGTCAAGTCTATAGAGTGATGTGCACGATAAAGTGAGAGTCGCGCGCTGGGCAGTTGAGCTGAGGTATGGGGTGGTCGTGTAGAGGTATGGCAGGCTGAAACGGTTTGACACCAGCTTGCAGGATGGTGATGTCCTCGCGAGAGGAGTGCGGTGAGTAGGGAGCACCTACTAATAGCGTCGCGCTTCGGGAGCAGATTTCCCATCAATTTGGGACGCGTCGACCCCTCTTGCTCTTGGCTGCTTCTGATTGGAGGCCAGGCACTGTACGCCCAGAATACTTACACTTGGCTGTGAGTAGAAATGCAGCCTTGCATTAACTAATTCAAGTAGAAGAGTGGAGACAGATACAATGCCAGTATGCGCGAATGAGATTCCGTGTGCTTTTCTACTCAAAATGTCCCCTCATAGACCGACAGGCTGCATAGGCTGCACTAAACCCATCTCCTCCGGTGTGAGAGACGAGCTCTCGATCATTACACCAACACCGACCTTGGCGGAGTTCTGCGAAACGGTCAAACTTCGGCATGTCCTAGACAGGTGAGACATACCTTGACGTGGTCAATCTCACCAGACACCAAGAAGGCGAACGATGGGGCAAACTTCTGCTCAAGGAGGGCAGATACCTTGCCAGTTGAGTCCACTTGGGCGCGGAAGGTGGACATCCTCAGGTCGTACTTTGCCCCAACAGTAGCAACGGCTTCCCGTTTCATGGGGACATGTACCAACTCCAAGTTCGCACCAACCTCCATTTTTTCGGACAGCTTGTGCCAATAACTTGCCTCTAAAACGCCAACCGGGCGGATGTGGGCGGTTGCGATCCAGTTTCGAGCAGAGGAAGTGTACTTCACCAGACCGGACACTTGCGTTTCACGCACGCTTGGTGGCTGGACTTGGTACACACCTTCGACGCCCAGCGCAAGGTTGCTGGTGACAGATTGCAACCAGTTACCAATGAAGATTTTTGCTGGTTCGGTCGGGTTAATGGCCTTCAGGTTGAAGGTGAAGTCACTGCCTTGAAAATCATGTTCGAATTGGAACATGCTGCCTTGTGAGGCGCTACCCGACATCTACCACAAGATTAGGTGGAATTCGGTAGGCACAGAGTTGGTGAGCTCACTTGGGCTGTGAGCTTGGTGACGCTCGTGGGCGTCCATCCAAGATGGCACTTTGCATTCACGTTTCCATCATTGTCCACTCCTCCTTGTAAGAAAGACTACGAATCCGTATGAGAAAACCAGCAGGACAATGTATAACATAAAACGGAACGTACATTTGCGTCACCAAACAGTGCGCCAAAATTATACGCTGGTACGGGCGCGGACGAACCCAGGGAGAAGGAGTGGGTGACTTGGAAGGCCGGGTTCATAGACAGCCCTTTCGTAAGGTCGGCTCTCGCTCCGTCGAACATCCATTGTGTTAGTTGGGCCGCTGCATGTTTCGTCAGCGCTGAAACTGAGAATATATATAAGAGCAGCTTACACTTGATCTCCTTCTGCAGGTTCTCCGAACTGCCTGGGTTCGGCAAGCCGAAGCTTTTGCGCCAATCGACGAATCTGGTGTACACACCTGTGAAAGGCGACACCACTGGACTGAGAGCCTTCAGCGATCCCTCCACTGCATTTTGAACGTAGGAGAGACTGCTTGTTGAGCCCGGCTTCTCGTATGGTGGGTAGGACGCCATAACGATGAGGACGACCTCAGACGCGCGTGCTTCAAAAAATCGGAGGGACCATCCTCGGAACCTTTTTTCCCTCCCGGATACAAAAAAGCCGAAGTCCTGCTTTTCGTCCTGGTCTTCTTTTCACTCAACACCAAAATGTTGATTTAACAAGTATAGCTAGTTGGCTTCGGTTTTCGTCCTGACGGACACCCTTTGAGAAAACGTCTTAAGCCCCGTGTTTTCTTCGCCTTTGCCCCTCTTCATCTTCAAACGAAATTTGATGACGTCATCACTTCAAGATGCATAACCGGGAGAAAGAGCTGAAAAGCCTGAGGAAATGACGCTCTCAGGACAGAACCCAGCCGACATCGGCATCTTGGCTTCACTGGATCTGAACAGAGAACTTCACGGCGAGAGTAATTTCCTCCGGTGCCGCGTCATCTTTGTGGCAGGGACAGGAAACTCATAAATGAGAGAGTTTAGGGGTCTTCCAATAATATGTACATATAGTGTTATCAAGAAATTAGAATACATACTCCTAAGTAGAGGCAGTATTTGAGGGTTATAATAACAACAATGTACCAAAAAGACTGAGATAGACTTTGTTCTTTGATTATGCCAATTTTTTTATCCTATAACCTCCAATAATTGTGGGACCTCTGAACTATTTGACTTTCTCACTGCCACGATGCGACGCGCAAATACACAGTACATGTGAAGATTGTCTCCGCAGAGGGGCACCTCTCAGGGCGATGATGATCAGAAATAGATGCTGAATAGCCCGGACTGGTGGGTCTGAATAGGACACATATCAATGAATGGGAATGTTAATGCTATGGTTACGGCATGGTTCTTGCTCGAATAATCTATAAGATATGAATGAAATATTGCTTCGGAGAGCGGAAAAGGGAAGAAAGATATCTTGCCAGCACGGTGTGTCCCAAATTTAGGCTCACCATGATATACCTCCGATGCGTGCGGGGACCCTCTGATCTTGGACTTTGGCTTGCGCAGTTTTACCCACTGAACAGCACAAACACTCACTTATCCTTCACCTTGCTCGTCATTTCTTTGCACCTCTGGTAGCGTAGCTTGGACGAACGAAACTTGGAAACATTGGGGGCGTTCAGCACGATAGCGCCTTGCTTCCGTGCTACGCTTTGTCACGACATCCGTAATCATTGACCGAACTCTGCACAGGATGATGACCCCTTGGCGATATATATTAGCAGCAATATCAATACTGGTGCGGGCATACTCTGCCAGAAAAGGGCATATATGCTAACCGGTGTTTCAGCTAACTCTGCACCTCATTCTCAGTCTCACTCATGAGACGTACGGCAGCACGACGTCCCTCTCGCGCTTAAGACAATGGGGAAACGTCCAACAATCAGAACCATACTACCTCACCCCTCCAGATCGACAATATTACTACAATGAGACGTCTAGCTCTCCACCGCCACCTCAAGGTCAGAGAAAGGCAAAGGCTGCATTTGCTGTCCTTGCACGGAACTCGGACCTATACCCTCTGCTAGACAGCATGAAGCAAATGGAGGATCGCTTCAATAAGAAGTTCCAGTACCCATATGTTTTCCTCAACGAGGAGCCTTTCAGCGACGATTTCAAGAGGTGAGCGGATTGTCTTGTGCTGGGGCGACGGTTCTCATACAGCTATCACCAGAATAACCGCTGGGATAACAAATGCACCATGCTATTACGGCCAGATTCAGCCCGACCACTGGCACCAACCCCCCTGGATCGATGAGCAGAAGGCGACTGCAGCTCGCCTAAAGATGATTGAGAATAAGGTCATTTATGGGTTCAGTGTACCATATCGGAACATGTGCAGATACAACTCAGGGGTAAGCGCATATACTCAAGCCCGCAAAGCTCTGAGCTTACAGGTCTAGTTTTTCTTCCGACACCCACTTCTCGTGCCATTCGATTATTATTGGCGTGTAGAGTGCGTCGTTCTTATTGATCCGATCACTCGGAACTAACCCTACCGTAGGCCCGGAGTCAAGTTCTTCTGCGATTTGGACTACGACCCATTCCTAATCATGCAAGATCAGAAGAAGGTCTATGGTATGCCCTGCTGAACGCATATACCGATCAAAATGTTAACACCGCCATAGGTTTTACGATCTCTCTATATGAATATCCAGAGACTATTGAAACTCTTTGGGATACGACGAAAGGTACGTGGCAGAGGGTCTCAGGGAACATCGGGCGCTTAAGCACGATCTGCGCAGAATTCATGGAACTACACCCGGAGTATATGCCAAAGGACAACGCCTTGTCCTTCATCTCAGACGATAATGGCGAACACTACAACCGTTGTCACTGTGAGCTGGCTACTCTTCTCTGGTTGTACCCTGCTGATCTTGCCACTAGTTTGGAGTAACTTCGAGATCGGCGATCTCAACTTCTGGCGAGGAGAAGCGTACACGAAATACTTCGAATATCTTGACAAGGCAGGTGGATTCTACTATGAGCGGTGGGGTGATGCACCCGTACACTCTATTGGTGCAGCTCTCTTCGCGCATAAGGACCAGATCCACTTCTTCAATGATATTGGATACAAGCACGAGCCGTTCATGCATTGCCCCACAGGTGAGGCACATTCAAGAGGAAAATGCGGGTGCGATCCGGCGTCGAACTTTGATTATGAATGGTAAGCCTTGCGCCGAGAGCGTCATGCTGGTATAAACTGCAAACTGACAATTATCCCATCCCGTTTAGGTACTCCTGTTTGAGCAAGTTCGACAAAATGTTCTGATGCACATACTGTTTCATGATCGCATTGCCTTTGAAAGGACATTATCTCATATAGCACGCATTTTGCGCCCTGTGGGCTGGTATGTATAGTAGTCTAGAGACCCAAAATACGAGATACTCTCTTACATGAACTGAAACTGCTTTCTGACGGCCTTGGACTCTGGATAAAAAGCCTTCGGCATTGTACAATGATAAAGCGACAAAGTAAGGATGGTAAAGTACATGTTGGAGGGGTATGCGATTAAATAAGGGAAAGTTTGGCTTTTAGGGGCAAATGGGCCCACGATGTGTTCCAGAACCTGTGCCAAGTCCTTGCAGAGCGATCATAGTATTGATTGAGAATAGTATTGATACTGAAGACGTGTCAGTCAAGGTCCGGACAGTAGTCCAGTAGTAGCTTACGGAGTCGTATAGCCTGGTCCATGTATTCCCAACCGAGCTGATAATAAGCTTCTCCAGATAGTCATGAAAGATCGACTGAGTCAGTCCTGGCTGGAATCGGTCACGCAGCGCATTCGCGGTCTGTTCGCCTAATAAAGTGAAGCAGGGCAAGGCCGAATCTTTCTGCATAAGCTCCACAACAGCTGAGAAGCCGTGAATGAGCTCCCCGAAAGCAAGCCAATATTGACACTACTCACTGATGATGCGGTCACAATGTTTCCTTGCTGCCTCGAAACCTTCCGTGAAAAGCGTCTTGAACTCGGTGAACGCTTTGCTTTCGATTCCACCCAGAATGTCTATGTATTCCATAGGCAGCTTGAATGGTGCAGCTTCGAAACCCATATTGCCCCCTGGGGAATTGGACAGCATGAAACCAAAGTCTATGTGAATGAGGTGACCATCCCTGTCCAGAAGAATGTTGCCATTGTGCCGATCTTTGATTTGCAGGAGGTAGGTGATGACGGAGTACCCTGCCAACGATCGTACGAAATTCCGCTGTGCTCGAACAAATCGAGCAGTTGACGCATCTCCATATGTCTGCATTTCGGTCAGACAAGGTTCCACATACGATAGCCAAACCTTACGTTGACAAAATGATCCATCAATGACACGTTCCCAAACCTGCCCTCGGCCAACCGCTTGGCATATTCCGCCTTTTTTATCGAATGAATGGACACCGCGTCAGTCACTGTCTCAACCAGACCAGAAGAAACACCGGTGATTAGGATACGGAAAGGACGGCAGAAGCAATGACAATTTTCCTCCTTCCAGATACGCTCGAACTCTCTAATCAATTGTGTGGCCAGTTGCTCTTGTCGAAGGTCAGCGCCGGTTTTGACGATCATAGAGATGCACTAGTGTTTTGTTCAGTATGAGCGACAAGAATATGAGCGTTCGACACTCACATCCCAAGATGCCAGATGACCATAAGGTGAGTTACTCCGTATGCGAGCCTTCTTCGTAGCCCAAGCTTCCTTGAACACCGGGGCAGACGGGTCCGACTTGTTCAGCTCTCGTCTCACGATCGTCTCGTCCTCCGCAGTCTTCCGATTAGCCGATCCCGACATGCCCAGGCCGACGTCCTCGCCTTCCGCCTCACTCATCCGCTGCATCCGCTCCTCTTCAAGGGACATCATCTCCTTCATGATCCTATCCTTGATCGCAGACGCTTCACCGTGGTTCAATCGCAGCCGGACGGCAACACTGTGAGGCGCTGGAGAACCATCAGGCAGGTATCCGTTCAGAGATTGCTTGCGCGAGGGCTGTGGGCGTGAAGTCCCAGGGATCCAGCTAAGCACGCCTCCGACTAGAGTTGGGTGCTGCTCGGGTGAAGGAGGGGTCACTGAGGTCATGCTGGCGTTCAGCTGAGCGAGCATGATAGCAGCTGTTCGCATCCGCTCAGAGTAGTCTTCCAGAGATAATACGGGCAGGTGTCCGCCGGGAGTAATTTGTCCTTCTCGTGGGGGAGTCGATGAAGGAACTGGCGAGGACGATATTCGTCGAGGACCAGCGATCGAAGAGTGTCGCCGAGGTGTGCTGTGAACGCTAGTATCCGGTCGTGGGGAAGCCGGATTTGAACGTGACCAAGTAGCGATATCGAGGGCCTTGTTTTTTGGTGGGGTGGGGAGAGCGATCGAGTCCGTCAGATCAATTTCATCGGGATGCAGTTGGATATCGGAGCCGTACACCTGCTCAACGAGATCCATCTCTTCCTCGTCTTCTACGGGACTGTCCTCCGCAGTCATAGAATTGCGGCTTGAGCCGTCAGGTGTGGGTGGGATCGTTGAAAGGGCAGGAGGAGGAAGGAGGCTACCCGCCTCGGGGCTGATTTCTTGACCAAAATCGGCTGGTTGGAATCCGGTCGGCGACTTGATACCCTGCTTCTTGGCGTCTCCCTCATCGCTGACATTCAGAGTATGACCATTCACTTGATACTGCCGCTGTTCTTTTAGCACTTTTTTGACGATCTCCTTATTTGCGCGTTTGGATGGGTCGAAATCGAGATCGCCCTGAAGAATTTCGAGGAAAAGCAGGTATGGAGCTCTCTCGGCAGAATTCAGTACCACACATTCGCCAGCGGGTATTCGGACGATCCGATGATGGGCATGGCACTTGTCCGAGTCGGTAGACGGGCACCACATTGGTAGGCACATCTGGTGTTGTATCAGTCATGATCTCGACGTTTCAAGCGCATATACGCACCTCCGACGGAAGCTGATGATTCAAGCTTGTCAGCTCTGCCCTCAGAGCACTCACTCTTGCCGGTTTGGGTACAACCAGCAGCCTGTTTGAGATCGATTCCAGTGACAACAAGAACCTCGTCTGGCACTTGAAGTAATGGGCTTTCAGGAGTACAGTCTGCGCTCGGAGCGGGTATCGTGCCAACAGCTGAATATCTGTGCTCTGTCTGTTGAAAGTAGAGATGCTCGGACTGCTCTGAAATCGCGAGTGCTGTCTGTCGACATGCGACGGGAACCAGCCGTTCTTTCCCGAAGTCTCCGAATCCAATTGTCCGAACGGGTCTTCTACCTCCGGCATACGGGCTGGGAATGCGAACGGAAGAGAGGGGGAAGTCGCGTGAGGACCGGAAACTTTCCTTGCACCGGGAATAGGCGCTGTATGCGGGGATTGGAGCGATACAGTGCTGAGGTTGCGCGTGCCTGTGGGGTCGGCATCGTAGATCGAAACACGGCGCGACGGCATTTCGGATCTAGACGTGAGTGGTGATTCGGCACGTGGCTTGGTCTCCATGGCAGACTCGGCCTCGTCGTCCTCTTCGACCAGGTCGTCCCCTTGTTCGTACAGTACCGGTGGCACGGGCGTGTTCGGGCTCTCGACATCCTCCCCTGGAAGTTTTATTCTTTTCGGCATCCCTTCCTCTGCCCGACCCTGCTTCACCGCCCAATCCCCAACGACCCCAAGCTGCGGGAGGGCAAACGCGCCCAGAGCAGTACCAATCCCCACCAGCGCCGGTCCCATGCGAGGCTTCACCTTCTCTTTCCGGGATACTTCTATCACTGAGCCATAAGGCGTGTCGGGGTCTATGGGCGGGTCGAAAATGATGTGGTGTAGCCGGTTGAGGACCCGTTGGCAGATGTAGAAGGAGAGCGTCTCGCGCTTCGCCTTTGAGAGGTCGGACAGCGCAGCTTGCATGAACCATAGAGTCTGGATAGTGATCAGAGATATCCTCCTTCATAATGTTCCTACACGCACTAGTAGAGCTATATGCGTGGACTCTTCAGCCCTCTCGAGTACGAAGCATTCGAGTGCAGCAGATTTCGATGGCCGTGTCACAAGCAAATGGCTATTCGACCGTCATCACCAGCTTTAAGCGTCGACCCCACTCAGACGTACCAAACCAATCCCCAAAGACCTTCCACTTCCACTGGATCCATTCCCTTGAGCCTTCCGGTGAGATAGTGTGTAATGCCGACATGGTCGCCATAAGTCCTGAGGTACTGGAGTGCGACGTGTACGTTGAAAAATGACGGGGAGAGGAAGAGACGGAGAAGAAGAGCGTGGCTCATCTCTCCTCTTGTTCACCCTGGATGTGTCCGCCTTGAAGGAGTTGACACGAGGGTATATGGTGCCAAGGACGTTGTCAGCGTCAAGATGTGGTGTAGACGGTCTCGCTCGGAACGATGCCAAACTTGGCTAAGCCCTTGCATACCGTGGCTTGACCACGTGCCGCCGAACAGTATGTATCGATGTCGTTCAACGTCGACAATCCCTTGGTTGAGCCCCGTTGTTGTTAAATTACTAGCGATTTCTACTATATATGCTGGGTATGTGCCTTGTAAAGTCCCTCATCATCCTTCAAGTCTAGTTCTGTCAGTCTCATTTCTCAATGTATTTCCCCCTCTCAGTCCAACAGATCGAGATCGCGGACAATCTTGGTGACCACATCCCGGGCTAGCTCTGCATACAAAACTTGTTCAGCACTAGACCGATATGATTATGAGCAGCTTACGTTCTATGTAGCTCCGGTGCGAGAGAGAAGGTCCGTAAAAGTCCACATTTTCTGGCCATCGTCGTAAGCTCAGCAAATGATACGGTGAGAACGACTCACCTCCGGACGGCGACGTATTGACGTCAACACCAGGTGAGTCCAGATCTTTGTGATGATACAAGTACCGTTAGACACAGAGTATGGCTTTTCAGTGATCACGTACTTTGAGGGGACCGGGGTGCATGATTCTTGACTTCATTCAGGACCTCCGCAGGGTTGACTGCTTGCCAGGATTACACGTGTGTACTTTGAAAAACCAAGACGCGCGTACCTGGTGCCTCACGAGCAGGCAATTTATCTTTGGCGCCCTGTGCGAGGCCGTTTACAGTCGCCAGGCCGGTCATAGGGACAGAGGTAGGGTCAACTGTATGTCCATGAAACCCTGGGGCAATGCATTATAATTCGCAGCAGACGCACCAGGCAATTCTTGCTTGATCCCCTGTGCCGTGTTGTCGATCGTCGTGACGCCAGTCTGAGCAATCTGCAAAGGGTCGACTTTACAATCATGAGCTTCCTCGCACAGCGTTAACTGGTGATGTGGACAGACCTGGTGGTTGACGAGCCAAAGGCAACCTTTGCCTCGTGCCCCCCGCAGTGCTGTTAGCAGCAGCAAGACCGCCTTCAGGAACACCCGTGGGATCAACTGCGAGAGATGTGTCACCGAGATATCGTGCAAATCATATGCACGACCACTCACCAGGAAGCTTCTGCTCGACCCCCTGCGCGGGGCTGTTGGCAGCAGTGACGCCGGTCATGGGAACACTTGTGGCGTTGACTAGGGAGCAGGGGTCAACATAATATAATGATGACTAGTATAGAGAGGGATACCTGGGACTTGGCGCACAGGCAACTTTCCTTCGATCCCTTGCGCGGTCCCGTTCATCGTAGAAACAACAATCTTCGGGATTGTTGTAGGATCAACTGCTACAGTGTAAGTCACACCGACCCAGACTTTAACTATGGAAACAAACCTGGTAACTTTTGCTCTGCTCCTTGGACAGTGCTATTGGCGGTTGTTAACCCAGTGATGGGAATTACGGTGGGGTCGACTGCCATGCTGATTACCCATGGCTGCGGTGCTCACGTCCTGCTCCTACTTACCTGATAATTGACGAACAGGCAGCTTCTGCTCAATGCCCTGGACAATGCCGCTCACGGTCTCAAGACCAGTCGCCGGAACGCTAGTAGGGTCGACTTCACATGTATACAAAGTCAGCCATGAGCAATATTCATCCTGCGGAACATAGCGCACCGGGTAACGCCTGTTTAACGCCCTGCACCGTGCTATTAGCCATGGTCGCACCGGTCATAGGGACTCCAGTGGGATTGACTACACATCCTTGTAAGCCCTGACAGTCTTTGTTGATTCTGATTCTACACACCTGGTACTTGACGAGCCGGTAGCTTCGGCTTGATCCCCTGTGCGGTGTTGTTGGCGGTGGAAACACCGGTCTGGGGCACCCCAGTGGGGTCGACGGGCACCGAAACGTTGGGGCCAACCGCGGGAGCTAACGCGATGTCATAGGAACGGTAGGCTATATATATGCGCGTCTTTGAAGAGTTTCGCATCCTCAGAAATGGTCCTTACCTTTGCCTTGACCCCTAGGGACGTTCGGGGCGGAAGATGTGCCCTTGCTGAAAGTGCCGTTCATGGTAGATGACATCTGGGATGCGATCTGATTTACGGTACCGTTCACAGGAGCAGGGATGGAGATATCGTTGACGATGCTCCGTTCGTAGGCTGCGTGTATGCGTATCAGCCAAAATCACCTTATGTGAGGTTATATGCGTACCATCTGATACATGTCCGCTGGGGAGTGCAAGAGCAGAGGCAGCGAGGAGACTGAGAAGGGCGTAAGGCTGCATGATGTAGATGGTGAAGGATGTGAGAGGGTGTGAAAGATTGTTGGTCTGTTGTGTACGGGGGTGATTGTAGGAGGTTGAGCTGGGAATCGGCACCATGTGGGGACGAGGTACTTATACGCTTGCGGATTCGGGAGGTGCAATGGGAGTTCTAGTCTCAGATGGGTATTTGCTTGTGATGTGAGATGGATACAGCGACGTCATTGTGTTTTTCTATCCGTTTAAGGAAAATACCACCGAACAAAAGGGAAGACTCTAGACCTGTCGCACTCAGCCAAAGGTTTTTCGAAGCAGTTACATATATCCCATTTCTTCATCTACGATATTGAGGAATTTGGAGCCATCAAACGCAGGGAAGGGTGCTAGGTGATTCGGGCTGAATGCCGCAATCACTTGTGGCAATGTTCTAGTCCTGAGCTCAGTATATGCGCATATATGTGCTCAAACCTCTTACTCGGGTGTCGAAGCAGTCAAGTATCCTTGTTTGGAGAGAGCATTTGCAAGCTCTGCCTGATGGTTATCCATGAGAGACGTGTTTGGAACCGCGATCAGAGGTTTTCCGGCCCGGAGGACATCAAGAATCGTGCCAGAGCCTAAGGAGTATCTTAGACAAGGGCACGATAATCTGCCATCACGAACCAACCGGCGTGTGATATAACCAAACCAGCTGTTTCCACAAACGATTGTATCGAAGGTGCGAATCGCCAGACATCTACCGATACGCCTTGTGCTGACCACTTCCCTGGTTCAACGTCGCTGTTTCCGCATTGGACAACCAATGTATCATAGCCAGCCCTTTTCAGCGCTTTCAGACAATCATCGAAGACTACGGCCTTGATCAGAGGCGTAAATTTTGTCGACCCGACAGTTACGAACGCAGTGGGCATGAATCGATCTCAGTTTAGTTTATGAGCGTGAGAAACAATCACCAATCACTGATGTTGATCAAGAAATACAGTAACCCTGAGCGGGATCAAAAGGAAGCATGAATCATACATTCCAGACGCCGGAATAATTTTGATCTGGCTCTTCCTCAGTTCAGTCTTTCTCCAGTCACAAAATGGGCTATACACTTTGTGTCATCGGTATGTACACTGTATCAATGCTGGATGTATGCTCAGGTACACGCAGGCTGTGGGACGATGGGCATCGCCATCCTCTCCGGTGTGGTCGACGTGCTCAAGTCACCTTCCCCCTTCCCGAACGGGATGAGCCAGTCCTCGCCTTCTGGAATCTCCACTCCTGTCCCCACACTAGCAACGGTGCCGGATGAATCTCTTCCGTCCAAATTTACTGCCTGTGTCAGCAGAGACGACAGCGTGCGCAGGCTGAAGAGGACATTTGAGGCGCTGGGCGGTCTGGGTCCTGCAATTCAGGTCATAGCAGGGCACAATGCCGACTCAGCTGCTCACGCGGATATCATCATTCTTTGGTACGCCCGTCACTTTATTTCAATCCTTCATGATCGCTCATATGTCTCAGCTGCAAACCCCACCAAGCCGAGGGCATCCTTACCGCACCTGGCATGGTTCATGCTCTTGAAGGCAAGCTGCTCATCAGCATCCTCGCCGGTGTCACGATCTCCCAAATGCGCGGATGGGTCCCCGCATCGACCCGTCTCATCCGTGCGATGCCCAATACCCCGTGCAAGATCCGGGAGGGTATGACAGTGCTCTCTTCCCCTGATGCAGAGCTACATACGCCGCTCCATCTCCTTGCGAAGGACAAGGAGATCTGCACCAGCATCTTCTCTTCTATTGGGAGGGCGAGGTTCTTGGATGAAAAGCACTTTGATGCATGTACGGCCCTCAGCGGGTCGGGCCCAGCATTCGCATGTATCTTCTTGGAGGCGCTGGCCGATGGGGGTGTTATGATGGGGTTGCCGAGAGCAGAAGCGCTGGAATTGGCTGCTCAGAGTAAGCCTGCTCTCCATCTTACCTGTTCAGAAGCCAACGCACATCTACAGCACTACAGGGTGCAGCGCGTATGACACTACAGTCTGGGGCTCATCCAGCAGCCATCAAAGATACCGTGACAACTCCTGGTGGTTGCACCATTGCTGGCGTTTTGACACTAGAAGACGGTCGTGTGCGGTCGACAATCGCGCGTGCAATCCAGGTTGCAACGGAGCGTGCCAGCGAGCTCGGCCAGTCTGGAAAGCAGCCCACCTCTGCTCGCAAGCATTGATGTATACATGATGTAATTGGCAATCATCTCGGAGGTACAATGTAGAATAATATCAATCTTGGTTTAAGAAAGGAGAGTTGTTACCCGAGAAATGGACCGGTTGCCCCAAGTACTGAAGCAGCGGTGAGTAGCAGGCGTGGCAATTCCGGATCTAATGGACTGCCCGTGGTTCATTATTGCTTGCCCATGAAATGAGGGCGGCGCGTGGGTATGAGAACGCCGCCCAGAGTGTTAGGGAGCATCATGACGGTCATGAAAGTCTACACGGAAAAGACAGGGCTAAACAAATGATTATTCTCACTTACTGTCGGTAACTTACAACGTTTATCGGGTAACTGTAACTGTCCCCTGCGTGTGAACCGCAATCGTCTTGAATCCACCGAGGTGATAGACGGAGAGGCAAAACACAGGACGGCTGTTGAAACAGCCCGTGTCCATCTAGCTCCCATAAATGAGCACTAGTCCGTGGAAACAGCGGACATGCACTAAAGTGAAGAGGGAGCTGCCAATCTTCATTCGCACAACATTTTGATGCAATGATGATATATGCGCTGAATATGTATAGTTACAGAGGTAACCACGTCTACCGATCTGCTCATAGTTAGAACACGTTTCGTATAGAGCAGTGATGGTGCTTACAGAACTCCAACGTCTCGTCTCCACGTTTGATCGTTCCCTGTAAAATACGAGCGCGGAAGCAAAGTCAACGCACGAGCCACCAACGGAGCCACGTGATCTTACCTTCCAGGCTTCCTCAAAGTCTCCCGGTAAGATTACATAACGATTCTTCCGCACAGCTGTGTATACAGATTAGGCATTGCAATCAATCTTCAAACCCAAAGATATGCATACCTTGCAAGCCGGCTGCTTGGCAGATAGCAGCAATCTCTGCAGAGGAGATCTTGTCGGGACGGGATACATCTGCGCGAGGGTCAGAGGGCTCATGCAGCAGACAAATGACCGGACATACAATCCTCCAGATCCACATCTGGACCCAGATTCATCTTGCTCGTAACAGTTTGGAAGATCAACCGTTTCTCTCTCCTTGAGGGCAGAGGGAACTCGATCTTCCGGTCTAACCGACCTGGGCGTAGCAATGCGGGGTCGAGGGTATCCGCACGGTTAGTGGCCATGATGACCTGTAGTTTTTAATTTCAGTCTGACGCGCATGAGTATCGTTCCGACACATCGCACCTTGACATTACTTCCTTGGTCGAAACCATCCATCTGATTCAGCAGCTCCAGCAGAATACGCTGTACCTCACGATCAGCACCTGTTTGCGCATCGAATCGCTTGGTCGCAATGGCGTCAATCTCGTCAATGAAGATGATTGATGGTGCGTTTTCGCGCGCAAGCCGGAACACGTCGCGGACCATGCGCGGGCCTTCACCAAGGTATTTTTGGACGAACTCAGACCCAACAACACGGATGAAGGATGCTGTGGTGTGGTGCGCTACAGCCTTGACTAGCATAGTCTTGCCAGTACCTGCAGCAATACGTCAGTAAAGATGAAGGCAAGATGGAAAGCTCGCAACGTACCTGGAGGACCGTATAATAGTACACCTCTGGGCGGGTCAATTCCGATCTTCTTGTAAAGATCGAACTGTGTTAACGGCAGCTCTACAGCCTCCCTAATCTCCTGCTTTTGTGTATCCATGCCTCCGACATCTTGATAGGTAACATCTGGCTTCTCGTCCGCCGACAGCATCGAAATTGACGAATCTGCCTCTGGCGGAAGAATATCAACGAGGGCGTTGGAATGGCGATGTAGAGCAACAGAGGATGAAGGCTTGAGGAGTTCGCGGTCAAGTGTCGACAGGATACGGACAACATAGTTCGATCCAGTGGTCGAGCCTACGATACCGGTGTTCTGGTCGATAGGCTCTAGGAACTGGCCGATAACAAGCGGGACCGACTGTATGCGCTTGACCTCCTCTTGCGCCCGGATAAGCTCGCGCTTCAGATTCGCCTGTTCATCCTTAATATAGCTCTCTTGAATCTCAAGCATCTCAAGGTGTCGTGCCAGCTTCTTGTACTTGATATAATAGTCCTCCTCTCGCTGCATTTCCTCGTAGAATTGCGACTTCTCGGTGACGACCGACTCGAAAGTCGGTTCCTGCGGTCATGGTCAATAATGCCCCCAGCTCAACCGCATTGTCACGGTGTACCTCTTTTGTTATCTCAATCCCAATCTCATCCATCTTGAAGTCCAACTAATGCAGTCAAGTGTTGAAGTGCTGTCCCCTGAGCAAGGTGCGAGCGTGAAGTGACGCGTCCTTGCCTCCGCCTTCTCTCGTGCCAACTGCTTCCGTTCACTAACTTCTGACAGGCGCTCATCAAGCTAGGTCAGCTCTCTCCCACGAACGACCATGGGCAAAAGGAAGAAGTCATCACGCAAACCTGGGGCAGGAAGGGTCAAATTAAAGCCTTTAGGTGCGGCATCACGACAAATTTTGTTTCCATGCATATACTGATTGACAATTTGAAGAAACGACCTTCCAATGCCTCTTCTGCAACCACAACGAGTCAGTCGTGTGCAAGCTTGACAAGACTGAAGGTCTTGGTCAGCTGCACTGTAAAGTCTGCGGGCAGCGGTTCTCATGCACTGTCAACTGTGCGCATATGTCCAACTGTCTGTCAGTGCGTGGCTGACACTATAGCAGACCTCTCTGAGCCCATCGACGTCTACTCAGAGTGGATCGATGCCTCCGAAAAAGCACAAGAGCGGCGACAGCCCGTACGCAAGCAACGACCTGCGGCTCGTGAAGAGGAGGATTTGGATGAGGATGCCCCAAGGGGACCAACACCGCTGGGCGACGAAGAGGATTACGATGAATAATCCCTCGTGCTCGTCTCTGTAATTCAGCCACTTCTATTTCTTGCCATCGGCATCGTGTACTTCTAGCCAGCATACCCTATCATCGACGCAGCAGCAATTGATATGTACGTATTGCGTGAATTGCCTGAAATATCTTCATGGAGGGTCATAACAACAACACCGCTATACATACAGATCTCGAGATTAAACGCTCTAAATAATTAAACGAAAATCATCGCACCGAGTGCAATAGACACAGCACCCAAAATCCCCTCAATGCCAATGCTAAACCCAGCCAGCGCCCCGCTCGTCGGGTTCTGTGTGTTAGGCAGATTGCTCCCAGTCGGTTTGGCAGTGGAGGAAACGGATGCCTGGCTGCTTGCCGCTGCGCACTGCGAGGTGAGGTCGTTCTGCGTTAACCCGTTCGAGGAGAGAATGCACGTTAGGCACGCAGAGTCCATCGAATTGAAAGCGGTGCACGCGCAGAGGACGTCGGTAGAGCTGCAGACGTTGCCACGCGAGATAGCTGCCTGATCAGCGGAGGAGGCGCACGAAGAGTTGCAGGACGGGGACGAAAACCCGCCGCTGCTACTGCTAGTTGGCTGAAAAGGGGCAGCAGTTGTGGTTGTAGTTGCGGTTGCGGTCGCCGAGCCGCTCGCAGCACATTGCGCCTGATATTCTTGGTCTGGAGCACACAATGAGATGAAACCATGGCTATAAGACGGAGCACTTACTAGTCAAACCAGATGAAGAAAGAACACATGACAAGCAGGTGTTGCTGAGTTTCCCCAGCGAGGCGCACTGGCATCCAACATCTGTTGACGAACAATCCGCGCCCTGAGAGATACCTGATTGGTCGGAAACACTGGTGCACGCAGTAACAGTGCAAGAAGTGCTCCCTCCAGTAGGCTGGCTTCCAACAGGGCTTCCACTTGAACCACCGGCTGATCCACCCGCGGCGCATGCTTGACTGAACTGAGTGTTCGAGATGCCCGATATTTGGAGCAGGCAGTTAAGGCAGGCGGAGGTCATCTTGTTCAGCGCAGAGCAGACACAAGGGTCTTCAATCGATGAGGTTGTGCATAGCTGTAAGGAGTCAGTACAGATATAAAGTTCAGTCACGATGAACTCACGTCAGCAGCCTGGTTCGCCGCTGTGTCCGTTGCGTCTGAACACTGTGAATTACATTGAGTAGTTGTTGCGCCGTTGCCGCAGATTTCGCTGAACTGAGACGCTATGGATCTTTATCAGCGTCAATTCACATAGTTGTCGCGAAATTTGTCACCTGAGAGACCAGCAGCAGGAAGCACGCAGGTCAAGCAAGTGGCACTGAGACTCTCCAGGGCGTCACAGATGCAAACAGGATCGGTAGAAGAGCACGCCTGCCCCGAAAGTGAGATCGTAAGTAATGTGACATGTTGTGAGCTTACATTATAGGTGGTAATTCCGTTTTTGTCCGCTGTGCTGGAGCATTGGGTAGTACAGCTTGACTGCCTCGAGCCAAGCTCCATACGGCCAGCAAGCGGATTCGCCATGCGCTGGGCGACCTGAGCATGCTTCACCGTAAGAGCGGCAAAACGTGCATCGTACTTATGCGACGGGATGGCGTTTACGACTGGCAAGATGGTAAGAGTAGAAATAGACGTGGAAATGAACACGTACTTGCTGGCAGAGCAAGGAAAAGAGCAGCGAGTGAGAAGTGCATATTACCAGTAAGAGAATGAACAATGGAGACTCTCAGACTGCTTGCACAAGGTGGTAGTGGAAAGCCAAGACGGAGGAGACGGTGTGTGCTTTTAAGACGTTGAGGGGCGCATCCCCCTGTGTCGGTGTTGTAACGGGTCGCGGGTGAGTGCGGTGCGGCCTGACCTTTTTCCTGCTCCCCTGTGAGCGTCTATTGCACTGCCCACAGGGTCCTATTTCCGTTCCTATGCGTTTTCGTCAGAAATCCACATGCCAAGCCCCGCCTCATACGGCCTTCTTACACGCAACCTTGGGGAACAGGGGAGATTGATCAATTCATTCTTGGAACTTGTGCGACCACTTTAAACGAGCGAACGAAGGACACGAATGGTACCAGGAGGTGCTTTGTACGTAAGAAGAAGTGCTTGCGAGAAAATCAGGGAGCGAATTGCAGTTGGGGCTAAGAGAAAATGCAATGCAAGGGCAGCGTCCGTGGATATCAATACAAAATGCAATGAGAATCGATGACGGTTGATACATTCCCATGTTATTCAAACCAGAAGCCTGCAATAAAACCCATAGAAAAAAGAAAAAGAAAGAAGCGCAATTTGGACAATGGGTGCTCACTCAGACCGCGATAGCCATCGCGTGATGCCTTCTCGGCGGGGTGTGCACTGACATTGGAGCACAACAGCTGCCTATGCTGGTTTTGCCATATCGGGTCAACGGAGTCTCAGGTCCGCATCCACTGGAGCTGCTCAGTCCGCTAGATGACGAACTGCTGGTCGATCTCGTGCTGTTCGACCTCCTAGGCTCGTACTTTGGGAGAGGGTCGGCCATGCGAGTCTCGCCATTCTCATCGAATATCTGGCCGTACGCCGGCACAGGAGGGAGAGGCCTGGTCGGACTACCGTCCTTCTGTACGCGCGGCTGGAAGCAGTCTATGTTCCGTACACTGAAGCTTGGCGAGACGGGAGAGACGCTCCGACTGGTTGCGACGGCGGTGAAGCGGAGGGGAACGGTGCCGGCCAAGTTCTCTGTGTGGAGTTGGCCCAAATCATCCACGTATTGGCAGTCGATGGACATGTAGATGCAGTGATGAACCTGGCAGTAAGGCGATTCCATGTCCGGCCAAATGGTGACTGTGTCCTCGCCTGTCTCCTCTTGGACGATAGGAATATTCAGGTTGATCTTACAGTGTCCCTGGGAGAGCGGGTGGTCAAACGTGTGCGTAACATCATGCTTCGATAGCTCGCAATGCCTTTCCCATCGAGCGTCGTTGGATGACTTGGGTAGGAGGCCGCAGGCGTTGAGCGAGGTGAAGATGTTTTGTGCCATCAGAGGCATGTTTGGGGGATGTTCTTCAGCCGGGGGCAGTGGGTGGTTTGCCTCAAACTCGGGATCCATGGGTGTCCTGTATGTCATCAGCGACTGGGTTTTCCCCTGAGATACAGAGACGTACTGATACGACTCGACCTGCTGTATGTTGAAGGAAACCTTGGTGACCTCGAACTTCCTCTCTTTCAAGAGTTCTTTGCTGATGGTCGACTTGATCGCACAATATACGGGCACCTTAGTCTCCTGGACGCCGACAAAGCTTGGTACACCAATATGCAGGACGAGGCTATTGAGCAGCTTGACCTGGGCGGCATCGGAGAGCATATCGGGGGTTATCCTCAGCTTCGGCTCGAGGATGTAATATGTGTGCGGGAAGAGTGCGCAACATTCTTCCTGCATGTCGATTTGGGACTGAGGTGTGCGGAATCGACCGACGGCGATGCTGACCGGCTTAGCCTCGATGGTTCTCAGTGTGGACTTGGTGTGCCCGGATCGGCCGAGGCACCAAATACTCCTTGCACGCTTCAAGCTCCGCCCTCCCGACAAGGGGTAGATGTTTCCCAATTCAATCGTGCTCGGGCTGTGCGGGAGAAGGAGGTCGGACGCTGAATAATGTGGCGTGGCCTTGACTTTGCAGAACAGGGAGTAGGCGGTGATGCCATCCCGACCCATCCAGGTGGGGGGGAGCCATGAGGGGACGGCGAGTTCGAAGGGGATCCCAAGAGTGTGAACGATTGGGGAGAGCACTACGGGAAGAGAGCCGGGGGGGATGAGTGATTGCTGGATGCGGCAAATGGCGGTGGACGCCAGCCCGCCCGATCGATCAAGGACATCTTGCTGTATAGCTTTGAGTGACAAGACGGAACATGATGTAGTGGACTTACGTGACCCTCGAAGAAGATATCAATGGAGATAACCGTATAAAAAAGCGGCTGCAAGACAGGTAGCAGAGATCGCACGAGCGACTTCTCGTAATTGATCACGACATTGCCTGAAAGTGAGTAGGATGTGAAGGTATTGGCGTCGCCGACCATCGCGACGCAGTCTGCTGTGGGTACGATCTCGACGGTGACAGACATTGGAGGCTATTGTTTATTGTTCTATCGAAGGTAAGTGGGAATGCAAGTCGAAGATGTGAGGGTGAAGGGGATGCAGATATTAGGTATGCAAATGCGTTGAGGAGGATACGATGAAGGGGGGAAGAGAGAACAGACAAAGCCCAGAGACCTGCAGAGCGTAACCTCGATGATGCATGAGGCTTTATGCTTTGGTGAGGCCGTCGTTCGAGGGCGAACAAAGGCATTGAGCGGAGACAGCGTATGTCGACTGGCTAAAGTGGCAATCAGCTTGACCATATCAATGATGATGGGACGCCTTTATTGTTCGAACAATAAAGCGGCAAAGATGAAAGGGTTGGGTGGACAGAGTGCAGCAGGGTGACTATTGTTCTCTTTCCCCGCGAAGGCACAGGAACAACGCGGGTCCTGAACACGCGCATCTCCCTTGCTTCTATGCTCCTTCGGATCAAACAAAAGGTCAGGGATATGCCATGATAGCGTAATATTGTAATGTACATACACCTTCCATTTCAGTCGAGGAGAAGAGTACAGAAAGTATACAATCGGGGCTTAACTTTGATTCAATCGAAATAAAGTGAAAATAAAAGAACGTGACCGCGGAAAGCATTATTACTTCCTTTCATCCACCGTCTGGTCCAAGACAATGGTTCGTCGCACTATCCCATCAGGCGGTTTGCCAGGCTTGCTTAGCCTCAGAAGGCTCAGCCAAAGCCGGAGTCTCGACCCTAGACGCAGCTTCGCCGTCTCGCACCTTCTCCCAGTCGGACTCACTCTCGCTATGTTCATGTTCATGCTCATGTTCTTCGAGAGAGTGGTCTGACTCGGGCTCTGATACCGCGTCATCATGCACGTGGACATTTACTGCAGCCGAGGTCCTCGTGGGCACAGGAGCTGCGGGTGCAGGTGTAAGCACAGGCGCTGGAGGAGCAGCGATAGGAGCAGGGGCGATCGAAAGCGGCTTCTTTTCTTCCCTCCCTACACGAGCTGACGTCCTACGGAACGTCGGTCGGACAAAAGGGATGAAGCTCAGCCGAGCACGCAGGGTCGCGACCCACGCCGGAATCGCGAAGAGGACGTCCAGTACCGGAGCGGGGAGCCGTGCCGCACATGCATACAAATTCGCTGCGGGTTGAACAATAAGCAGCTGTCTACTTTCCGGAGGAAACGGACTAACCTCCCGCACCAACGTTCACCGTACCCGCTTTGAACCAATAGAAAGCCGTACCGAGGGGCGTGTCGGAGTATTGGAAGATCTTCCCGATTACTCTTGTCACACGATTTGCGTTTGTCCACGTACGTCGGCCGACAGAGGTCATGGCTGCCTCCAGGGCGGATCCGTACGCTTCTTTCGCTTCAGGAGGGAGAGTCACATCATACCCTTCACTGGGGAGGGCAATGGTCCCCACGCTGAGCGTCATGAGTTTCGTAGGATCATGTGCCTGCGCAAGCTCACGCCGCATCGAGGTAAGCATTGACCTCGTTGCCTGGGTGGACGCAGAGCTTGCTCCACTGAACGGCGTGCCAGGAAGAGACGACAGCCCAGGAACAAGAGCTATGATCGTTGGCGTGCGGCCCAGGGGCGACCTATGCATGACCGGCAGAAGCGATTGCAGAAGCATGATGGGCGTGAAGTGGGAGGCAATGAGGTGCGGCAGGTACTGCTCCTTCATTGGCAGGTGAGCGATGGGCGTAGGAGCAGGGGAAGGCAAGGACATGAGCGACACGACGCCTGTGACGTATGGGATGTGCTGGGCGGAAATGTATGGATCCCCTGCGGAGTTGGTGGGAAAGCGCTGAGAAAGAGCCACCTGCAGCTTGGAGGGAAACGCTGACGGGCCGTCGTTTGCCTGCGCTGTGGAGAGAACCGGCTCTGCAGGTTCGAGTGGAACGATGCGCAGATAGCCCGAAGATGCCTTGGTGAGCTTGGATGCGTATGAAGGGGTGCTCGTTGTCGCGATGACGATGTATCCTTGCTTCTCGAGGGACGCGCAGACGGGCAGACCAAGGGGATGATCGGCACCAAGTACGACTGATCGGCGACGTCGGTCACATTTCCGGGCGTCAGGTATGACCTATGCTCACCAATAGCCTCACGTCTATGCCCATCCGTAACGAGCGGCGTCCTTGCGAGCTTCCTACTCTTCCTCTTCTTCAAGACGTGCAAGCGCCACCTCTTGTACCCGTATACACTTGCAAGCCCCAGACTAGCAGTGACAACGACGCCGACCGTGATCCTTCTCATTGCGCCGCCTCCGGCCATACCTCCGAACCAGGTGCACCATCCCTTAGGCGCGGGCGGAGGTGGCGGAGGTGGAGGTGGGGCCGGCACGACCTGCACGGAGAGCGTGGGGAATGCGGGCAAGGACGGCGGACCGAAGCGCTGAAGCTCATCGAATATGCGTTGCGGAAGGGAGGGGAGCGTCTCGAGTGCAGGCAGGAGGGAGGCGATGTAGTTCTCCACCTCTGCGAGGTACTCCTCGAGCTCATCGATGGCTTCATTGCAATGTCATTGTCAGCCGTATTCCGTGCGCACGGAGTTGTGATACTTACTAGGCATGATGGCTTATGACTTTAATGGACTAGTAGACCGTATAAGGAGCTCACCGTTGCCGCCTTAAGTAGTGGACGTCGAGGAGAAGAGGCCGAGAGGCCGCGTTGACGTCGTCGCCGGCAGAGAAGGCGTATGCAACGTCGCGGCTTGCTTCGGGATTTAGTCCCGCCGTACCCGCAAGTCATCACAGGTTTAGGTAACGAATCCCTGAACATTGCCGGTTGAATACGTAAATAACACATACAACAGCCTGCCAGAATGGCGAATCACTCCGGCAGTGACAACAGCGAATAAAAACTGCTGTATTGACACATCTATTCGGCAGTGACAAGCCGCTTGATGACCACAACTCCTTTGCCATCCGCAGTAACACCCGCAATCGCACAGTGCACCCCATTACACGACAAGGCGTTCACCTTTGCCACACCTTCGACTGTCTGTGAGCTCACCAACTGCCAGCTCGGGGAGATGCGGAAGTGCAGAAGGGTGCCCAGCAACGTGCATACCAGCAGGTTGGACTCATCGATGTGGTATCTGCATGAGAAGCGTTACGAGCGCCTAAATGGGTAAATGGGAAAAGACGTGCAATCCAATAATAGGTCCTTCGGCAGCTTTGTACCGCACACCATGCCCTGATAGGGCAGCCCAGCGCCGCTTATTATCTTTCTTCTTCTTCTCGCCAGGTCTGTTCGCTGGAGCGATGTAGATCTCGCCGTTCGCCAGGCCACATGCAAGGTCGCCGTTGAGTGCTACATGTAGGGACTGGATAAAAGGCGGAGAAAGGGACATCGTTGCTTGCGTTGCTGTGACCTCTGCTAGCGGGTTCAGCTTATTCCTAGCGATTGACAATAGAAACTCACGTTCTAAACTGAGCTGGTTCGTTAGAGTGCCCCGGGAAAAATCATGTTGGATTATTCGGTAGTCGTATCCCGCAGATATTACTGGATGATGCTCAGTGTTATTTGGTGAAGAGATAATTCGAAACACATACAACCATGGTTGGGCGGTAGAAATGCAACACAATCACACACCTATATCGCGTCCTCAATATATCGGCTCTGAAATGGACGGACCGCCATACGCTGCTGTGTGATATTCTCATCACCCGCTTTGGCCGGTCCGGCGTGAGAGAAACAACACCGACAACGCCGTCCTCCGTAGAGTATACCAGATGTGAAGCTTTCTCGTCAATCGCAATCTGCCATAATCAGAATTGGATAACGACCCCCTCGGTGAGGTAACCCACCTTGCTGATAACGTCCTCCTCATCCCTCAACGGCTCGATCGTCTCCTTTCTCTCCACAGGTACCTCAGACGGCTCCCCAATCTCATACCTCGCAACCTGGCTCCCCGCCGCCGACCAAATCTCCAGTCTATCATCCAAGCCTGCACGTGCAGGCGTCCAAGCGAGACTCGATATCTCCTCCGTCCCTGAGGAGAGCACATTTCCCTCTTTAGGCTTGCCATCCTCGAGCTCGTAAATCTTGATCTGACCATTTTCTGTGCCTAATGAGCTCTCTATTCATCCTACACAAGAGAAACGTACCACATCCAGCCGCCAGGATGTGTCCTCGAAAATCTAGACAAGTCACCGGAGTGCCTAGCTTTATCTCCCACACTATTGGCCATTCGGAGGTCGTCGTCGGTGTTGTGGACATTTTCCCGGTCCAGGGTCCTCGACGTCTTTCTCTAGATCTCCTGCACTTTCCGGGCTCATGGACCAGGGGACGAACGTCGGCACTGCAGTGTTGATATCTAGGGAATGATTCGACGCTTTGGTAGAATTATGCTGATATTGGGGCTAGCACTACTAGGCGCTGCATATAGAGCGACCTGCATTTGTAGGCGACCGCGCTGTGTTCGCACTCATCTGCGGGGTGATGCATAAAGGTGTGCTGCAGGGATGGGGAGCGAGCTTTAGAGCACACATCAAAACCCACAACATGCTCAATTGCGCTCTCCCTCGCCGCCGAGCCAGCGGCACCGTATGTCATCTCCGTGGGGTCCACCCCCACTGCCCACGCGGCGGCTCTCAAACCGCAGCACCTGGCACTGAAAGGCAAGCTGGAGATCCACGCCGGGAACTACCCTTGCCTAGACTTGCAGCAGCTTGCTACCCATCTCATATGTGAGCAGCAGATCGCAGCCACCGTGTTCACTACCGTCGTCTCCTCCTACCCTGATCGGGACGGCGGTGAGGGGATGTGTGACGCCGGCGCGCTGGCGATGTCAAAGGACCGAGGGCCAAACCCCGGATTTGGGGATGTCGTCACCCCAGGATGGGAGAACTGGCGGTTAGGAAGGATAAGCCAGGAACACGGGGGACTCACCCGTGCTGAGGGAAAGCAGGGAAAGGAACTCGAGAGGTGGGCTCAGTGCTCCAGGTCGTGGGGCAGTATTCGTGCCTCACGAGCGCATGCTTTCCCTGGTATTATGTCGTTGATTCGAGTGAAGGGGATGGAAAGACTGTGGTTGATGTTTGGGTGCCGTGGAGAGCCTGGTGAACTGTAGACTAGGGATGTGTACGTTGCACTGACTGTAGAATTGGGTTGAATGTGTAGTTTACAAGAATGAGAGAGCACAGATGTCAAATGACACCGTCCGGTGCAGTCCCACGGACATATAGAGCTTTAAGCATACCAACTGATTCGAAATGCGCTGTCGTTGGTGACAATGACGAGCAATGTTGAACTTGACATACTGATTAAGCCGTCAGGTTGTGCACGGATAGCGTACAATCCCTCTCCAGGAACCCAGATTACATGCATCGAAAGAATGAACCACGTACACCACGAGCCACATTAGTACACTCGTCTCCTCTTGTCCCTCTCCCTCTCCCGGTCCATCTCCTCACCCCGACTTCGAGACCGTCCCCTACGGCCCTCCCGTCCCTCTCTGTCCCTTTCCTCTCGTCCACGATCCCGACCATCACGACCTCTCTCGTCTCGGTCTCGATCACATCGATCCCGATCGCGAACATCACGACCCCGATATTCATCCCGTCTCGGCGGAGGGGAGAAAGAGCCCCTCTCCCTTGATCTCCTGAACGAGCGATCATCCTCCCTCCTTCTTTTCCCCCTTGAACGGTCAGGATCCCTGTATCGCTCGCGACCACGATCGGCGTCTCGCTCTCGGTCATGATCTTCAGGAGGTGGTCGGCGGTCTGGGTCGTCACGATCACGCGAGAAGCCCCACTTGGACTCGCCCAGCGTGCGGGAATTCGCCCCTGAACCTTCGGGTCCTCCTCTTGTCAATTGTGGACAATCTGGTTGAGTCCTCAGCAATCGCACAGACTTGGGATAGTGAACACAGGCAAACCTTTCTTCAAATGCGGTCCTCCGCAGACGAAGCAGCCGGGCCCCTGTCCCGTCATACTAGGCCCCGGCCCCACCCTCCCGGCCTTGTTAAACGCCTTCCCTCCAAACCCACCCGTGCCCGCACTCGTATCCTGATCGAGAAGATGGGTGTACTTGGTCTGCGAGCGCTTCCCAAAGTTCTTTACTTGCATCACTTTGGGCAGGACGGACACGTCGATCGTTGACGCCGTCGCTTCGGTGTAGTCGTGTCGCTTTAATATGTCCTGCTCCTGCAGGACATCAGCGCCTCACGTAAGAGAGCGAGTGAACAGCTACGTGCCTGGTGGAACGCGCCCTTGTGCCAGTATTTCTGCAAGAACTTTTGCTGTCCTTTGGGTTTCTCGTCCCTCAACTTCTTTGCATGCTCCAGATCCTCCTTGAGTCGCTGCTCCTCGGGCATCGCACGCCTTCTCTCGACTTCCTCGCGTTCACGCTCTCGCTCAAGCTGCTCTTCTTGATCCCTCTTCAAGCGGGACAGTTCACGCAGGCGCCAGGCTTCGAACTCCTCTGAGGGGTCGATGCCATCTGTGTCGTCTACTTCGGGGACGAGTTCCGGTGCTTCCTCTGAAATCGTCAAGCAGAGGCATCAGAATAGAAATCGTGAGACTGTGGCCGAAGACATACTCTCTGCAAGCTCTCGCTTGATACTCTCCGCAACGAGCGCCTTGCTCTGGGTCCTCCGCTCATCTTCCTCTTTCTCCCGCTTAGCCATTGCCTCCTCAGAGTTAGCCGACTCTTTTTCCTGTGCTAGTACAGTTTCTCGGCCTCGTCTGAAGATGATACATCAGCATATGAGTAGAAGGCGGAGAAAGAGAGCGCACTTGTGCACGAAGACTGGTCGGAACATCATCCTCGGCACTTCTTCTTCGGTCTCCTCCTCACTGGACTAAGATCATTATGAGTAAATTGTGATCCACACATCACCAAAATATACACACCTCCTCTTCCTCTTCCTCTTCCTCTTCCTCTTCTTCTCCTTCTTCGCTGTCCTCTTCTTCTTCATCCTCTTCCATCCTCGTCCTCCCGACCTCCTCTCGCCCATCAACGATAACCTTGCCACCAACAATCTCCGTCCTCCCAATCCTAACTCCGAGTGCTTTGCTACCTTCTCTCCACTTCTCCCCAGCCTGACGGTCAACCCTCAGGTCATCATCTCGCGCCCCACCCTCCTCTTCCCGCGCTGGGGCGTCCTCGGCTTGCTCCCCAGCCTCCTCGTCTGACTCCTCTGATATGGCGGCGGCATCGACTCCCTTTGGAGCTTTTCCCTTATAATACCTATGTGCAGGTCGCGCTAGACGAGGCGCAGTAGGTCGTTTTGTCGCCATATTTTCGTGGGACACCGCCAAAGGTCGAGCGAAGTCATTCTTCATATGCACAAAATTGCCTCCGATTTCACAATCTGTGCCACGGCCTCCTCGGCACAAATCTGGTCAACCGAGTACTTACGCACGTCGACCAGAAAAGCTGGCGGATGTCGAAAGTGCCTGATTCGGCACTGGCAGGGGCCATTACAGGAGGGGCGTTCAACACTCTACGGCGTGAGTCGTTGTTTTACCTCGGGCGGGCAACAGCTGAGCATGTGTGGTTTGCCGTACAGGTGGCAGAGCGGGCCTCCTGCCAGGTGCGGTCACGATTTGTCTCGCGGCCGTCGCCCTCCAGCTAGCAGCAAACGAGGTATCCGTGACGCGGATCAAATACGTTCGTACTAAATGTGATGATATTATAGGTCACCGCACGCTGGCAAATATCATCGACTTGTACCAGCTACAACTTGCCCGGACGGACTGATCATCCCGAATGAAACAAACCGCCTCCTTGTTGTACCGATAGAAGTTGAAGATGCTACAATTTGGGTATGCGATGGAATGAATGCTATCGGTGCGTGCATGTTGCCCTGGAGTTGAGCTCTTTCTGATGCTTGCTATAGCACAGATTGTGCGACACGCACTCGGTGCGGGAGACATTCTCGGCACCCGCGCCTACATATTAGTAACCTACACATGGCCAAGATACTTTCCGATCAAAGTCCTTTCCTGTCGCCTTTTTCGGTCTATCTACGGACATATACCCTCCTAGTGCCGTCCCCGCTAAGGTGATGGAACAGTTGGCTGGGGTGTCTACACCCGGCTCATGGAATACTGAAGAACGGCCTATCAAGTTAGCCGTGCAAGAGTTCTACAAGGAGAGACTTTTGAGCGTGATGCAATTAGAGCAGTGGGAAGCACTTCTAGCGAGCGTGGGTATGGCCAGAGCAGCCAGACGCATCGGAGAGATGAATCCATCTCCGTGACCGAGGCTGATACAGGGAATTGCGCAGAGCGGCCGTTTCTTCAATGGTGGGTCCCGATATCACTGTTCCATATCTTCCGGTTGTCGTCTGGGTTTCTGACTGTTCTGAAGGATGATGTTCCTTGTCCAGAAGCGGATGTTGCTCGTCCAACGACAGGGTGTCCTCTTGCGCCTCATCACCATGAAATCGCGGAGTTTGAAGACCTTCGAGTGCAAATTCGCGGTAAAACACCTGTCATTTTCTCCAGAGAAACGACCAGTGCTTGGGGCTCCGAATCTGGATTGTTGCTTCGCCACCCTCCCTCCTGGGGGTGTTGACTGACTATTTCATATGCCAAACATATCCGCAGGGCATGTATCCTAATTGATGAGCATATTTTCGCTGGTATCGAGTCTGGACAACCCCAATCGAATGGCGGCAGTGCGACGTACGCTGTCGTCCTCAGACTGGTCTAGCAACAACGTGATGTCTTCCACAACCGCTGCAGAACGTTGACTGGCATCAGGATGAAAAGACTTGAAATATTTCCTCTGTCACTCAAACTTCTTGAGTTCTTCGGGAGGTGTTTGCACCAGATCGTAAGCCACCTGCGCACTGTCATCGGAATATTTAAAGTTGTACCGAGAGCTAGAATCGGGCGCTTCCTCCGTGTATTCCAAGATAGCAAAATAGCGTGGCTTGCGACGTGTGGGTGTGGCACACACCCACAGATTGTGGAATGCCTCCGATTCAGCTGCCAGGGCATATAATGGGCGCATGGCTCCAAAACTGGTCTTCAAAACGTGGGTCGACCCCTCCGGTCGACTCCAGAAGTCCATGTTTCGGAGGCTCAGTTCTTTTGGCACCGTCATTGTACGGGGTATAGATCCGGTATCTGGACGTTGCGCAAAATTAGCCACCTCGATGACGCCACCAGCGGCTGCACGGGCCCAAAGTGTTGACTAAACGCATGCACAGTTATCCAAATTGGCCTTTCACGCTGATAACAGCATGGAGGATGAAAAGGGACTCACCCCTTCCCGGACGGCTCGGCCTTCTGGTAGTGCACTGTTGCGAAGCGCCAGTTCCCGCGGTACTGGTAAGTTTGGCGCAGTCTCCCGCGATGGATCGATCTTCACGTCGAGTTCCAGCCACAACACGGTCTCTTGGGCACCGAGCAATATTCTGAGGGTAGAAGTGTTGGGGAGCAAGACCGCATGTATACTGTTGCAGTGCCGGAGAATGTCGCCGTCATCATCGCCTGAAAAACAAACATCCCAAGAATCGGAGCAAACGGCGGTACGTTTCGTATTATGTGTGACTGGAATGGGCGGAAGACTAGCGACCCGCAAGACCGTCCGGTGTTCATCTCCTGTCTGTCGAAGCAAATACACAAGACTAGACCCATCTGGGGACAGGCATAGACTGTTGATGTATTCGTCTTCACGGACAGGAAGGTGTGCCCAGGATGACGGTACTGCATCGGAGTATGGTTGCAGCACAAATAGCTTAATATCGACATCTCGCCGCACGGCCATGACGAAAGGGTCCGTAGACAGGAACCATACTTGGTGGGGAATACAAACTTCTTGGAATCCTTCCAAAGATTCTATTCGGAATTGTTCTGCCTTTCTTCGGTCAACTGGAAGAGAATCGGTGATTTCCGAGCCCTTGATCAGCTTCTCCTGATCGTAGACGCGGATGGCATCGCATTCAGTGGTCAGGAGTATCAGTTGCCGTTCAGGCTCAATGAACGCCCCGTAAACAGTTCCGTGCTGCAGAAGCATAAGCATAAGCTGGTGGATCCCCAGATCGGCAGCTCACCAAAGCATCCTGCGGGATTGCGGCTTCGAGGCCTTCACGAGTGACAACGTGAACCCATGGTTCACCATTCTTCTCCGCAAAGCAAGCCATGCGGTCGGTCAGCGCAACAGGAGTAGACGACTGATTAATGGGAGCGGCCTGGACCGTTCCATCAACTTGAAAAGTGAGCCGATAAGTGAAGGTAAGGTTATTAGTAGCCATAGGAAGGTTTCCAGAGATCGTCTTGAAGGGAATGAACTGTTGAACATTCCACGATGCCAATACGATGAGGGATGACTTGTCTGTAAGGCATAATTGCGGCGTGCCTCGTAAAGAGACCCAAGTGTTGCCTGACCCCGCTGAGGAAACCGCCAGGTGATTGGGGCCACAGAGCGAACCTCGCTGTCACCGTTGGGTTGCATAAGCTGGCTAATGACGTCCCCTGTAACAGATATGGCCACCTCTCAAGCTGATCCAACATAGAACATAGATATCCCATGCTCCGTTCCATGCCGAACACTGGCACGAGAAGAGGCCAACGTGTACTGACATGGTCGTAAAGATGTGAGGTTCAAGGCCCACTATTGGCTATTCGGAAGTCGCGCTTTAGGGTCCTCGACTTCTTTCTCCAGATCTGTTACACTTTCCGGCTCATGGACCAGGGGGGGACGAACGTCAGTACTGCAGTATTGATATCTAGTGAATAAGTCGACGCCATGGTAGGATTATGCTGATATTGGGGCTAGCACTACTAGGCGCTGGGTATGGAGCGACGTACGGCTTGGTGCAGGGTGGTTCCTCTGGACTGTTTGCTCTGACAACAGGGACGAGCGCTTGTATAGGGACGTCAGTATTTTTTGGTGCGTTCTTTCTTGTTTCTTTCTCAGATTTCAAATAACCCGTAGTAGGGCTGAGAGAATGGGCCATTTCACCCCTGCTCGCGCTCGCTGCCGCACATCGGGCCCAACCAAGCCCCCAATTCGACCAGAAAAGTTGGACAGAGATGCGGATAGTAAAAGTGCCTGATTCGGCACTGGCAGGGGCCATTACAGGAGGGGCGTTCAACACTCTACGGCGTGAGTCGTTGTTTTACCTCGGGCGGGCAACAGCTGAGCATGTGTGGTTTGCCGTACAGGTGGCAGAGCGGGCCTCCTGCCAGGTGCGGTCACGATTGGCCTAACGGCCGTTGCCCTCCAGGTAGCAGCGAACGAGATGTCCGTGGCACGGATCAAATACGTCGCCCGGGACATCCAAGCTGCCCAATCCCGGCCTCCTCAAGCAGAGGAACGCCCACCACGAGGGTTCTCAGAAATGGTGCTCGACCTACTGGGGTACGTGATGCCCGTTCGGCGGGTGGAAGATGCCGAGTTTGTGCGGACGTCAGAGAAGCGCAGGGAATGGATCGACCAGAGGTTGGGGAACATACATCAGGAACTGCTGGATATCGAGGCGGTGGATTCGAACCAAGGCCGGAGTGGACAATAACATCTGCTGCAAAAGCCAGTCTATTTTGGGCTTCATCTGTAGCCTTAATCCTAATGCCACCAACACAAGATCTATCACTTCTACCCTTCACATCTCGATGTGCCAATCAAGCTTGTCTGCCCATTTCCCAGGCAAGATTTCCGAAATCTGTTCGACATCCTTGTCCCCTCTGCCCGATAGGCAGAGAACCACGTCCTGCTCCTTCGGCAGCGTTTTGGCAATCTGTACTGCCCCCCAGATTGCGTGTGCCGATTCGAGCGCAGGGATGATGCCCTCCAGTTGGGTGCACATACGGAATCCGCGCAGAGCCTCCTCGTCCGTCGCGACGATGTACTGTGCCCGGCCAGAGTCCTTGAGCCAGGCGTGCTCCGGTCCGACACCAGGATAGTCAAGCCCGGCTGAAATGGAGTGCGTCTCGATGATCTGCCCAGTAGGGGACTGAAGCAGGTATGTCCGCACACCGTGCAGCACACCGGGCGTGCCGAGGGCGAGAGTCGCGCTGTGTCTCTGCGTGTCCACCCCATCACCGCCAGCCTCGACGCCGAAGAGACGTACGCCCGGTTCTTGGATGAAGTCGTAGAACGTGCCAATGGCGTTGCTGCCCCCTCCGACGCAGGCGACGACAACATCCGGCAGTTTTCCCTTGATCTCTGCCATTTGCTGCTTGATCTCCCTACCAATGACGCGTTGGAAGTCGCGCACAATGGTGGGGAAAGGATGCGGGCCGATGGCAGAGCCAACAAGGTAGTGCGTTGTGGACAGGTTTGTCACCCAGTCGCGCATCGCTTCGTTGATCGCATCCTTGAGCGTCTTGGATCCCGAGTTGACGGGAATGACCTGCAAAGCTGTGATTAGTAAACGATGTCAAAAGGCAGAGGTGGGGCTCACCTTTGCTCCCAACATGCGCATGCGGAAAACATTGAGGGCCTGCCGCCTCACGTCCTCCGCGCCCATGTACACCACACACTCAAGCCCAAATCTGGCACACGCCGTGGCTGTAGCAACCCCATGCTGCCCCGCCCCGGTCTCCGCAATGATCCTCTTCTTCCCTAACCTGCGTGCGAGTAGAATTTGGCCAATAGCATTGTTGATCTTGTGCGAGCCGGTGTGATTCAGATCTTCCCGCTTGAACCAGATGTTCGCCCCGCCCGCATGCTTGCTCAGCCGCTCAGCGTGGTACAACCTACTGGGTCGGTTGATGTACCCGTAGAAACTCTCGAACTCTTTCCAGAACTCGGGGTCGGCGAGGGCCGTCAAGTGAGCCTGTTCAAGCTCTGCGAGTGCGTCAACTAATGCTTCGGGTACGTATTGTCCTCCGAAGGCGCCGAACCGTCCTGGGAGATGGCCAGCTTCGGTGACCTTGAGCGAGTCCGGTGCCGGCGCGGGAGGGATAGGTAGCGCAGGTGGGGGCTGGACGACCTGAACGCCAGCGCCGTTCGCCAGATGTGGCGGGGTCGGCATCGCACCTGCGTGCTGGGTGAGCTCGGCACAGAAGGCACGGACTGTATCGAGTGCGTCTTTGGGGCTCTTGGAACCCTTGATGAGGGAGACGATCCGCGAGCCAACGACGACGCCGTCTGATCCTGCAGCAGCGACGGACTCGAAGTGCGCGCGGGTAGCAACGCCGAATCCGACTGCGAGGGGAACAGGAGTGTAGGCCCGGATGCGGCTAAGCAGTTGGGGAAGCTCGACGTTCATTGCTACCTCTGCGGAGGAGCCTGTGGTACCCATCTATAATCGGTCATTTATCGGCAAGAGGTGAAGACAGACAGGCAGGGCGCACCTTGGAGACGACATAGATGAAGGAATCGGCGATACTGGCAAGAAACTTTATGCGCTGGAGGCTGGTGCTGGGTGCGACGAGGGGTACGTAGGATATGCCCTCCTTTGCGCAGATCGAGCGGAAACGGATGGCTTCCTCCGGAGGAAGGTCTACCATGATGAAGCCGTTGGCTCCAGCTTCGCGGGCGTCTTGAACGGCCTTCTCTTCGCCATACGAGAGGAGGGGGTTGTAGTAGCCTGTGGGTGTTTAACCTGGGATGAAGGGATGAGCAGCAGTGGACGCACCCATGAGCAATACAGGCGTCTGAAGCCCCTTATTCCTCGCATCCTTGAGCATACCCAAGACTTGTGCATAACTGACATCGTGCTGCAATGCCACGTTGTTGCTGTCTTGTATAGCTGGTCCGTCTGCAATCGGGTCGCTGAATGGCACGCCGAGCTCGATGATGTCTGCGCCGCCTTGGGCCATCGCAAACATGAGCGGAACTGTGTCGGTGGGAGAGGGGTAGCCAGCCGTGACGAAAGTCACGAAGGCCGGTGCGCCTTGCGCCTTCTTGGTAGCGAAGACTCGCTTGAGAGATTCGGTCATTTTGGATGTCGTGTGACTGAGCTGCGGCGTCGATAGACAGCAGAAGCAGATTCTCCCTCAATAAACTGATAATGATAGGAGCCAGGCAGCTCTACAACAGGGAAATAACAATCCAGCAAAGGTTAGAGAGAAGCAGGTTGAGATGTAATGGATTGTTGACCGAGTCACGGTCAAGGCGCTCCAAATATTATCAGACTCAGGGTCCAATGGGACACCGGAGCCGAGGTTGCTTCCGTGCATATGAAAGACGAACAAGGACGTTCGCGAATTGATGCCGATAGGAGAAACACAAGATTATCCTCTTTCACACCAATGCTTTCACTGGCTTGATCAACAGTTCAAAGGCGAAGCTCCAAGGAGCATAAACTGCTATGGAGACTCTACCTTTCGCTTCACTTGCTCAGTTGAACATTCTCATCATTCCAATTGGGCCAATCCGTGCATCAGTCTTCAACCATTGGGCGAGCCTCATCCGCTCATTCACCTCCATTCGTCTCGCAGACATCCCTCCAGATCCACGACAGGACCGTTCGAGATTCCTACCTTCAGCGCTCTCGTCAGGTTCAATACATCTTGCATTCCCATCACACCCACCCCCATCAACCGCACAGCCATATGCGCTCTTTCGACCTGCATCCTTCGTACACGGAGTCATCGGCGTCGCCGACTGTTCATCCTCCTCATCGCTCGCTGCCCTCCTCGCAGAGTTCTATGGCGTATTGCATGAGGTTTTCGGCCCAAACCCCGTATTCCCTTTAGCAGGAAGATGCTACGCTTTCGACCCGGCTGACTCGCAGACAGACCTCGACGTGGGAGGAGCGCTCGAAGGGCTCACCGTGATCCCGACCGTGGTGGGTGACAAGCGAATATATCTGGGCACGCTGCTTGCCAACTTCTGCGGGTGCATAATCGGTGAATTTGCGGGGCTAGTGCGTCTTCTTTCTTGCACTGCTATGATGTACTAACAGCGTTCAGGTTCGTGTCCTGGACAACCAACCCAGACTGGACGAGCTCAATCGCTTCCTCCTTCCTACACTCTCCCAGAATTTAGAAGGCGAAGACACTCCCCTCTCCCCCGTATTTGCGTATGCATATTCCTCAGTCACGCCTAACTCCAGTAGTCTGTCCTCAAGGCACAACGGCTCGTCATTGGAGATCAACATTGAGCGCTCGGACTGTCCCGACACCCTGCCGTCCTTAACCCGAAGTGAGACGCTTCCCTCCCTCTTTATCCCCGTCGCGCCCACCGCGCGCTTCCCGAATGGTCGACCTCTCTCCGGCGCTTCTGGACTCGGCATCCAAGCTCCATCCCCAGTGCCCTCTGCACCTCCAGGGCGAACACCCTCCCCTCTCCCATTTATCCCTAAACGCGCTGCCACCGCGTCGCCTGCAAACTTCCAGGGATTCAAGTCGCGCTCTGCGTCCATCGCTCTCGCTGCTCCGCCAAAGCGCAAACAAGGAGGTGGTATGTTCTCTCACAGCGCCAGGCTGGGTAAGATCACCGCAGACTTGTTCCTGCTCAGCGGCAGGCTGGGAGATGCAGCACAATGGTATTCAGAGGCCGTGGGGAGCTTGAAAGGCAGTGCGGATATCATATGGTGTGCGGCTGCGCTGGAAGGATGGGTGGTAGCGAACGTGCTGGATGCATGGGGCAAGCAAGACCAACCCGTGCGTCCATCCTCTCACCACCGTCATCAACGCTGACATGCTCTACCATGTATCTAGACACCACCCCAACCCACGTCAGGGCATGACCCGCCTCCCGACCCGTGGGTCGACCCCCTCGAGAAGCTCACCCAGGCGGTAGCCCTCTACTGGAAAGCGAGCCCCACTGCTCCGGACGACACCTCCCTCGCCAAATTCGAGCTCACAGCAATAACGACACTCTACTGTGACAGCGTCGTGCGCCTTACCAAATTCCTCTTCGCTATCTGGGCTGCGGGCGGGTGGGGGCATGGCGCGTTCAACATGCTAATGAGTACTGGACCGCCGCTCGGATTCAGCCCGCGTGGACCGAGCCCGGAACAGATGCTTCGCCAGAGTCAGACGACGAGCATCACCCGCACACAAATCGCCAACGTTGCTGCCCAAGCACACGGGCCGTTCCTGCTCGCCCTCCTCCCGCTGGACAGGGTACGCCTGCTCTCCTTCCTCGCGAGCACGTACTCCCTCCTAGGTTTCTGGAGGAAAGAGGCCTACGTACTTAGGGAACTCAATGCTGCACTTATGGAGCTCCTCATCTCGGCACGGGAGGAAGCGCAATCTGCCGGGCCTGAATCGACCATGCGGTTCACTGCGGGGCTCGCTCAGACTTCCCTCGGGAGCGAGTTCAGCCTTGCCCTGCCCTCTGGAAGGACCCAGGCGCAGGACGGCGGCATCGCTATGCGGGAGAATGAGCGAGTGGATGGGAATGATGCCATTGTACAGCTTATGCAGCACGTTTGTGAGGTGTACGGTGTTGGCACAGACGCTGTGCGCATACGGGACGGGATGGATGGGGGAGAAGGGTCAGGGCCGGACGAGCAGCGAGTGGAGCAGAAGCTAGGCGTGCGGGGTACATGGGAACAGTTTGGTTGGCCTGAACTGCAAGTTGGCGTCATGCGCGAGTCGATCTCCCTTGTCGAGCTGCTCCCGGACTATCCTGCCGTTGCCCAGCTCGCGCTCAGCGCCATCCGCAAGCTCGGTCGGTACCTCCCCTCTTCTGAGCAACTCCATCTCTACGCAGTTTCGATGCGCGCCCTGGGCACCGCTCGCAGAAGAGGTGATACTCGACGCCTCCACTATTGGAGCGACAACCCGCTTGTTCGGATCGAACCTGTGCCTTTGCCACTCGCACGACTTCCCACTGTGCATGCCCTGAGTGATCTCCAGCCTCCTAGACCTGAATCAGACGCTCAGGTTCAGGCGGGGCAGAGGAAGGACCCGTTCTTGTACAATCCGAGGTTGCAGGCCGCGTCTTCCGCCAGCGTTATCGCAGTACAGTACGAGCCGCTGGAGCTCATCATCACTCTGCGAAATCCACACGCATTTGATTTCGACTTGCAAAGCGTGGTGCTCGATACACGAGGAGTGCCTTTCCGCACCCAGCCGGCAAGCGTCTCAATTCCGGCCAACGCGTTCCAAGTGCTGAGGATGAGCGGCGTGCCCCTCGAACCGGGTACGCTCGCCATCCGTGGTTGCACTGTGCAAGTGAATGGCTGCCTCCCACGGACATTCCTCTTCCCCCTACAGACGAAGGAGGATGAGCTTCGCCTTGAAAAGCGGCAGTTAGCGCTCGAGCTGGATTACGAAACAATCAAAGATGGAGGATTGGATGCACGAGCGCTCCCGTTCGTCATCGAAAACAAGCGCCGCTCGATACTCCTCCCGACCGAGGTGGATGAGTCGCGAAAATATCTCGAGTGGAACGTCCTCCCCGAGCAGCCGATGATGCGCGTCAAGCGGACCTCCCTCACGCACGGCGCTCTCATGCTCTACGAGGGCGAGACGGCTGCACTTACCCTCACTCTAGAGAACATGTCCAACCTCAAGGTCAACTTCATCCGTGTCACATTTGAAGACTCGACCATGGCGCCTGCCCAGGCTGCACTCGCTGAGGGAGAGCTCTCGACCGCAGCGCAGTATGAGACGGAGTTCGATCTTGTAAGGAGACCGGTGTTCAAGTGGGAGCGGGCCGGGGATATCGACATTCCCGGAGGGAAAACCTCGACCATCTCCCTCACATGCCTTGGCAAGCCTGCATGCACGAGTGGGACGGTGCAGATCTCGTACGGTTGTCTTCCGGATGAGCCGGCGGAGAGGGCGCAGTTCTACACCCGGCAGATTCTGTATCCTGTGCTGGTGACCGTCTACCATAACCTTGAGTGTCAGTCGATGGACGTGATGCGCTTCTCGCCTACAGCGTATTCCTTGAAGGACAATCTGGAGAAGCAGGATATTCGGCGCACGCTGCTGGATGTGCCGAAAGACGGTGATTGGTGCTTGTTCACTGTTGATGTGCGAAATATGTTTGGCATCCCGTTCGAGGTGACGTTGGAGCGAACGCAAAAAGGTGAGCAGAGTTCATTACCACGTGTTTCTTTTACTGACCCAGCTCAGACGCACCGGAAGGAAAAGCAACGCAGATTGTGCCGCCCGGTTCAACTCTCCGTTTGATGCTCCCCCTCCGACGGGAATACCTCACACCCTCATCAACAAGCGAACCTATTCCCTCCCTCCTGCAGCGTCAATTCCTCGTCTCCAAAGCCCGCCTCTCCACGCTGGAAGAACGGGAACAGCGTCTCCTCTACTGGTACCGCGAGCAGCTGTTCTCCTCCGTCCGCGCGACCTGGCGCGAGCCTATATCGGGCAGGGCAGGGGAGCTGAGCTTGCGAAAGCAGAGGATGAAGATGCCCATGCTTGAAGCGTTCAGAGCGCAGAAGGTGCAGGTAGAAGTAAGTGTGTTGGCGGAGGGGGAGGGAGAGGTGAGGGAGATCGAGCAGAACATGGGGCGGTATGAGGTCCCATCGAACGACTGGGTTTATTTGAGGGTAAAGGTGACAAACGTGCATTGTATGTTTTTTTTCTCTTTTCCATGCATCTGCATGTGTTTGACATGAGCACTAGGGCAAGCGGCACATATGGCTCTATCTTTCTCAGCGATACCACCCACACCTACCGCTTTCGTTCTGCACGAAGGTTCCCTGACTGACCTTCCCCTGGGCGAGGTCGCGCAGGGAGGCTCTACAGAAAGGGAAGTTTGCATGGTTTTTGTCGCTGAGGGCAGATTTTCCTGGGCAGCGACGGTGAAGATATGTGACGAGCCTGAGGAGGCAGGGAGGAGGGAGATCAGTTTGGTTGCAGGCTCCTGCACAATCTGAGGGTAAAATGGCGCGCCAGCATAGGTGATTAATTCGTATTTTCCATCTCCCTTCGCTATTCTATTCTACTCTGTTTTGCATGTAGCACTACAGCATGTATGATACCCTCTTAGAATACCCTCCCCAAGGATTATTTTGGTGTTCTCTTCATATTAGAGCCACAGCGAAGGATTACGCCGCAGTGCCGCGGGAGAAGGCTGAAATTGGTCCCGTGTGCTTCTGAGGGATCGTCCACTGTGCCGTAGTCGCACCACTTCTTGCCTGGTCAGTCAACTCGTATCTCCCCTCGGAGGGAATTCACACTCCCTTTCATCTCCCAATCAAAGTTTAGAAGCAGAACCTTGGAATAAACCACAGCACAACCAATGGCCGCGGGTCTAAAGAGTACGTGTCCTCTCTCAACTACCACCACCATCCTCGCCGAATGGACACAACGCTAACGTTTCGTCACACTTGGGCAGCTGTCATTCTTCTCTCCTTCGTCCTCGCAGTAGGATTCCTCCTCGTCATCCTCTCCTGCGCTTTATGGGCAAATTGGCTCCCCTTACTCGTCGGTAAGCCGCTCTCCCAAGCACATTCTAACACTCTGAAAATAACATGCGGTGATTAGCGCTCACGTTCGTCCTCGCCCCTCTTCCCAACTCGCTCTTCCGCAACTGCGCATCGGACGACTTTGGCGCTCCTGACATTAGCGAAGGTTCGAACGCTGTCGACTTGGGACACTTTATCACTTCTGTCATCGTCGTCACGGGCTTCGCACTGCCCATTGTGCTCGCGCATTCGGGGGTTATCCACCCTATGGCCTGTGTTATGAGCGTTATTGGGGGCGGGCTGGTGTACGCGACGATTGTGAGCTATACGGCGGTATTTAGGCAGGATGCGGACGAGTTCTGAGCACATTAGTTGACAGTGGGAGAGCAAGGAGATGTCGGGGTATTTGAGAGAGAGTTGGTGTACTATTGAGGACTGCACATTGGCGAAGATGTTCGCGTTGCGTCCGTCCGACTCGCATATATGCGCTTGAACATCGATTACTTATTATTGGAGATCCATTTCTATCCAATGCAGGCTTCTTAACCAGCAATACATGCTGCTAGCTATCTACGAGCTCCTCGCCGGACATGTCCCCATTCCCACCCCATGTCTGTGGTTCAGCGCAGTAACGACGCATGCGTACTGAGAGAGTGCGGCACCTACAACAAATACGTGGAATATCTGGTGAGAGGTACCAAAGATGTCGAACTTTCCGGGTGCGAGACGTTCGGGGACACGTCCAGCGCTTGAACAGCACTCATCAGTTCTTGGCCCGGATATTGAAGACGAATAAGACGAACTAGATCAACGCGCCGATGACGTACATCGCCCCGCTGGCAAGGAGCCAGTCGAGTCCCATCTCGTACTTAATTCTGTAGTAGCCACTGGCCGAAAGAGCGTGCGTGACGGGTATGACGGCGCACAGTCCAAGGACAAGGAATACGGTTGTACGCGCCCAACGATAGGAGGGGGACGCGTACCGCGGTGCGAGAACGACGTACATAGCGACTAGCACGAATCATTAACAACCGATCCTCCAAATAAGAAGAGAGCATATGCACGTACATCCACCAGCGATGGTGATGGCGATCGTGTACCCAACTTGTGGCCACGGATCGCAATAGAATCCATAGTACACCGTAGGGTAGTACGATCCCACTGTCAGTACTGCATCGCGCATCAAGTCATGTACGCATCCGTTGGAGTAAAGAACCCACCGACAATGCCGATATAGTCCAGCATGTGACACCGTTTGGACACCTGCTGCTGCTCAGCCCCGGTTCAGAACTCGAGAAACCCGACGCACCTCCTTCGAATGGCAGCTCAACGTATGAAACGTCGTACTGCATCCCAGGCAGAATATAGCGCTCAGAAGGTAGATGACGAACCCGACAACGTCGATCCAGATGACGGTGGCGTGGTGTGGTGAGAGGGGGATGTACACGGTTAGTAGGAGAATTATGAAGGTGAAGAGGCCCCAGAGATGGGTGTGAATGTTCACTGTCTTTGATCAGATACAGGTGATTGAATCAGAATAGGCACATACTGCTTTCATTGTGTAGATCTGCTCAGGCATTAGTAACAACTCTCCCAGCGTGGCTGACCATACTTACATCCAAACACGGAATGAATGCACGCCTGCACGTCTCCCGTCACCCTAATCTCTTTCTCAGCGTTCTCTCAAAGTATAATAGATTGAAGACGCACCTCCGGTACCCGCTCTTCACATACGCATTATCCTGCATCCAAGGAGGACTCTCGTCAAAGGTGACAGTGAGCTTCTCGCTCCCCTTGCCTTGCACATTCGCATTCGTCGACGCACTCGCAGCAGCAGCGACTCGTCCATTAGCAGCAACGGCAGCAGTCCTATGTCTAGGCGGCATTATGATTTGAAGTTGTTGATGGTTAAAGAGAATGATGTAGGGAAAGTGTGCTATCGACAGACATTTTGGGGACAAAGTACGGTTGGAAATAAATACCAGAACCCTTCCGGCCCGATATGCGGACGGATTTTCACGTGCTTACGGCATCCGTGAACCGGCGCTTCTCGTCTCGAAAAGGCTTGGGCGCAGTCAAATACCGGCAAACATCACGGGACAGTGTTTGACGATTAGGAAAAGGATATTTTACGCGAGGTGTACCAAGTAAATATCTACCCGGCGCGCACGTTACTTCGTCTTCTGCTCAATCACATTAGCCGGTACGAACCGCTTTCTCAGGGCGGCAATCATCTTGTAGAACCTGCATTCGCTTTCAGAAATAGAACGGTAGTAGAGAGCGAGATTTAGGTTTACCAGTACCAGTTTAGCCCCTGCAAGAATACGTTTCCGACTGTGTACAGAATCAAGAGTGGCATCGGAACCTTGTCACGGATCTCTCCCATGGTGTGCCAGAACTGTGTGGACTACAGAAAAAGGTCAGTTCGTACAGCATGTTTAGGGCAGGTATAGCGCACCTGGTAGCCGCCAAACATCAAACGAACGCAGAAGAAGGCGGTCATGAGAATGACCCCATTGACGAGTTGGAAAGTCGTGCCAGTCTGTCCTGTCTTATCCAGCCACCTAAGAAAGTGTATCAGTACAAGACTGCGGAAAGCAGCGTCTGCGCCTACCAATGGATGTTCAAGAAAATGGTGCTAGTTTCCCAAAGCAAGAATCGAGCCGCGTAATAATTCAGGAATGGGCGCTAATGAAACGCTTAGTTAATAAATCGGGGGAATGCGATGGTGCTTACGAAAGTACACAAGAATATACCTAAGCATGAGCAAGCTGGACCCAATGGTTAGCACTGCCTTCTCGGCCATACAAAACAGATCTCCTACCGTGCAATAGAAACCCAATATTCTCAAAGTTTGTAACAGATTCTATCACATCCCATAGAAAACTAGATGCGCCAGATTAGACACACCGGCCAAGCGGTGCATTCCAACTCACTATCTGAAAGGTTGTTAGCTACAGGTTTCCATGTGCAACCCGGTCACTCACGCGACAGCGATGCTCGCCATGGTACCTGATTCTGGATCCCATCCGAATGCACGATCTTGCACTAGAGCTGGCTTGTCCATCGTCCTCCAAGCCAAGTAGACTACCAGTATGGCGTGCACCAAACTAGTGAACCTGACGTCCCACGCGTGTCTGGTCTTTTTCGGCAACGTCGCGTACGTCTTTGACACGTATGGGGAAAGCATAGACGAAAGGATGTTGCTGAAGTTGAAAGCGATAAATGCGCGTAGGATGACGGGGACGTAAGCCGGCAGGTAGGGAAGGTGAAGCGTACTCCCTGCCCAGTCGGCGAACTTGTCCATGAGCGTTGCGGATGGAGGCCAGGCCATGGCGATGTAGTGGTGGTGGTTCAAGAGCACAACGAGGAGAAAACACGGAGTTGATCAGCGAGCATCTATTTAACGGGCCGTGTACATGCCGTTGATATTGGAATATCAATCGGGAGGAAGAATATGAATGTAAATCGAAAGAAGCGCTGTAGCGGGACCAAGAGTATTCCCTCAATTATGGTCCCTGATTCCCGACTTGTCCGCCAACACCATCTATAACCATCACGACAATGGCAACGACTGAGAATCCCGTTCTCGTGTCTGTCCACAAGTTTCTCGCTCGCTTCCCGCTGTATACGTACCCAGCATGGCCCCTGTCCACCACCGCTCCGCCTTCGGGTCTGCCAACGCTCTGGATCCACCCGTCGACGAAAGGGCAGGAACCTCTCAGCTCGGACGTCGAGTGCTTGAAGTGGCAGGCATGGCTAGCTCTCAGAGGTGTAGCAGTGAGCTTGAGGTCGGATGTGCATCCAGATGGTGGTGTTGATGGTATGTATGTACCAACGCTTTGTCCGCTATAACTAATGTTCATTGCAATCACAGGGAAACTCCCTACGCTCCATTTGCCTGACAACACTGTTCATCCCGCGCACGCCATACCCTCTGCTTTATCTATCGCCTCACTACCGCATGAAGGATATGCCTCCGCTGAAGCTGAACTCGAGTCGAAAGCTTTCCTCGCTCTGCTGGAGTCCACCTTGCACAAGGCTCTTTTCCCGGATGAGAACCCACCACGGGGGCCCATCACCGGCATCTTGCCACCAGAATGGCTCGCGAGCGTCAAACCAGTCAGTTTTGTAGAAGCAAGAGAAGCGATCACAGCGCTTTCCGGGAGGTTGGGAAGCACTGATGTGTGGTTCTTGGGATCCGAGTGCGTACTTTGTCCAAGAATGGGGATCCGTCGTTGACGTGATGTATAGACGGCCAACCGCTCTCGATGCAGCAGCTTTCGCATATCTTCACACTGCATTAACCCTCAAGGTGGGACACCCTGCGGAAGTGATCAAGCGGGAAGTGGAGCGGCGCCCAAATCTCCTACGCTTTCACCAGAACGTAGAAGAAGAAGTTCGGAATGCATTTCAATGACAGGACAGGCAGCGTAGTGGAAGTGAGATGAACGATGAAAATACAACATACTGCTGGGAGAAAACCAGTAACAGAGAATCTACGAGAGATGACACGGACTACTTAGGGAAGTTGTCTCGAGCCTGCGACCTAACCTTGCGCTCGTACGCTGTTTTATCATTCCTAGTTTAGGGTCAGCAATATCCGCGAATAATGTTGAAGATGTGACACACTTGAACATAGTATATGCATCAGACTGGGCAGGATCGTTCACATTCGGGTCGTTCAGAAGCTCTTGGATACCGAGTAAGATCTGGAAATTCGTCAGGACCCAGGCACTAGTGTAAAATTTGTGGCCTTCTGACCTGTTTGAAAGTGATAGCAGGTTTCCATCCTTTTTCTTCATCCAGAATGGACAAGCATACGGTCCCCGACGGGTAGATGTTGGGGTGGAACAGCGGTGGTGTGAACTTGCACTTCGGGGGTTTGGACGGGTAATCTGACAAACATTGAGAATCAGACAGCTTGTCGCATATAATATGGTACATGCCTTCCGGGAAGGTCATCGTAAGCTTGTATATACCGCCCTCCCATGGAGTCTACCTAGGCCATCAAAATCTCGCTTATATACCAGATTAATGGTTACTTACGTTCGGCTTTCCAGGGATGCCGACTTCCCACTGTAGCAGATCGAGGGATCCATCACTAGCTTTCAGCGGTCTGGCATAGAAGCCCTGCAAGATGACTCAGTTTGGGGAGTTTGATGGCCACGCTGACCGTATTACGTACAAAAGGGTGGTCCTTCCTCCACTGTTTGCGTTCTTCTGAGAGACGTGTGCGGCAAATACCAGCCATGTTCACGATATATGAGAGAAAGTGCGAATAAAACAGACGGTCACAGCGAGGAGTTGGTTGTTCGTGAACAAGGAGCGCTCTCAAGCGAAAGAAGACACTTCAATTGAACGGATGCTGAATTTTGGGCCCTGAGAGAGCGTGTTTGGTAGGAACTTGAAGGTGCAAGGCTTCTATAGGAGTGACAATGAGAAAGGTACAGTAATCCCTGCCCATAACAATCCGGCACAATAACGATTCTTTGGGGTTAAGGTTGAGGTTGAGGCGGAACGGACTCCGTAGATAGGGAAAAGTGACCAGTTAAGGATCACCCAGGATAATGATAATGATCACTGGTCTGGGACAGTTTTTCATAGGTGTGATTGCTGTCTGGGGGGAAGAAAATCCTAGGGTGACACGTTGACCCTGAACCCTTCATCTCTATTTGCCCATCATGCCTGCCCAAAAGCATCAGAATTACACATATGCTGAGAAACTGGCTGCTATTGAGAAGATCCAAGCAAAAGGATGGTCACAACATGAAGCTGTTGAAGGGCTCAAGAAAGAAGGATATCCAACCATCTCCCAGAGTACGCTCTCTGCCTGGCTGCATGATGAAGCTGGCATCTGTGAGAAGGCAAGCAATGCCACAACTGCCTCCTTTAAGCAACCACAGACTGTTGAGCATCCAATTGTTGAGGTGGCACTGAAAGAATGGGTTGAACAAGCACAGCAGAAGGGTATTGCAATAACTGAGCACATCTTGAAAATCAAGGCAAGACAGTTTGTGGACATGCAGGGGATTCCGAAGGAGAAGTTCTTGTCACTCTTGAATGGTTGGGTTCAGGGGGTAAAGGGAAGGCTGGGATTGAGAGGGGTACAGCTACAGGGGGAAGCTGCATTGGTTGATGTTGAGAAGGCTGAGGAGGAGGTGTTGTGTCTGAGGAAGATTACCAATCAGTATGCCCTTCAAGACATCTTCAATGGTGATGAGACTGGTCTCTTCTATCAAATGCCACCAAACCACACCCTTGCTACAATGGCCTGCTCTGGCAGGAAGGGTGATAAGACTCGCATGTCTTACATGTTGACAACAAATGCAGATGGCAGTGAGCAGCTTAAGCCATTGGTTATCAGTCATTCCAAACAGCCTTGCTGCTCTCAGTGCAAGACACCACAATCCCTTGGCTTTGATTATCATTTCAACAAGAAGGCATGGATGACTGGAGTGATTTTCCAGCTCTACATTACAGCTTTTGACTACCAAATGCAACAACAGAACCAGAAGATCCTTCTTCTTGTCAACAACCACAAGGGGCACATGTGGGATCCAGCAACTATCACAAATGTCCGAGTTGAATTCCTTGCCCCCAACATGACTGCACATATTCAACCAATGGATTGTCAGGGC